GACATATCCTCTCAGCTGAGAACCACCGCAATCCCACATATCATGGGTGGGTTAGGGTTAGGGGGTTTGATCGCTGCAGAACGAAGTCAGGAAGTTTGCTGGAAGCTAACTTTGCTGATCTTTGCACTCTGCGGCACAAAGACAGAAATAGAGCAGCATTCACTTTGGTATAAATAATCATTTAAGCCTCAGGGGACAGATTTATCTTCTCAGAGAGGTTAGGGAGTGTTGCGCCGCCTGTTTTCCTCTAACTAAACAAACTCCGATGCTGCACTTTCAGTTATCTCTCTTTAAAAAGGCGTGTGCGTTTATAAAAAGCTGTTCTAAACATGTCCCAAGTTCAGCAGTTTGTCACCGATCCTCTTTAGACGGTTAGCTAAAACAGGTGGGTTTTATGTCACTTCATATAAGGAATGATCTAATTCCACCATCAGCTACAGTCACAGACCTGAGGTCAGGTTCTCACAATAAACAGTGAAGTAATTCTTCATCAGTGTGACGGTCTGAATGTTTTAGAGAGGCTTCCACACAGGAACCCAGCGGAGGAGACAAACGCCCACCACAGGTTTGTTCTCTTTTATCAACAGATACTTAACTAGTGATGCACCGATATGAAATTTTTGGGCGATACCGATATCCGATTTTAAGATCACTGTTGTGGCCGATAACCGATATTTGCCGATACCGATATACCGACATTAATGCTTCTAAAATCAGCAGATTTTGTATAGAATTAAATTATTAACCCTGATTCTGATGCATGAATTATGGAATCTTCAACCATGATTTTTTTAACCAATTTTTTTTCATTCATCTTTAGGTGTGAATGAAACAAATTTCAACCAATTTTTTTTGTAACGTTTAATAATCTACAAATAATTTATTACACGTCCACCTCAGTGGACAGCGTGCGCTCTGAACAGGAAATATGTCGGCTCGACCTACTGAAGCCCAAGTGGAGGGGCTCACATGCAATAAAGTCTTCAACAGCTGTGTATATGTGTGTCGATGGTCTACACTAGTTGTTCCCAAACGTTTCACCTTTTGACCCATAAAAGAAAACTCTCAGAAACTCACAAATACACGTACAACAACTTTGGTTTTTAGCTCTTCATAACATTTAAGTCTAAGTCTGTCATTGGCAATCATTTTTAAATTGGATCTAATGTTTGTCCATCATCTCCAGACCCACCCCATGATTGACGACCTGTCTGATAACCCACAACAGGCTCCAACCCCAGATTTGGGAACCGACAATCTACACAAAAAGCCAAGTATGAAATAGTTGGTGCTTACCAGAGAAAGGCCTCCGGACATCTGTGTTGGAGAAGCTGTTAATTGTTCAGAATGTTAACAAAACTCATCTTAATGCTGAAACACAATTATTCTGCTGCTGTGACTAAATTAGACAACCTGTCCGAGGAGAGGTGCTCATACTTACAGCAGGGCTGTGGTTTCTGAGCTAAGCAGCTCGCCGACAAGCACACCATCAGGATAACGACTCTCATGATGTCAGACAGAGGAATGACCATCTTCTGCAGCAGTGACAGAAACCCAGAGCCTACTTCTTATATTCAGACCAGTGAGGTCTCATGCCTGCATTTAAGAGAATTATCAAAAAAAGGTCACGTTGATGGTGTGAAATGCGGTGTGTCCAAGTATGACTGAACTTAGGGGCTGTTATCAGATAAAATCTGACTGATTAGGTCCCACAAATATGGCAATTATCTATGCTTTTTATTCATGTAGTGACATGACCACCACATAGTCACATTACTGCTCTTAAGTTTTTTTAAATGACACGGGTTATTTTACAATAAAGCTTTATGTTACATTAGGTCTAACTGGAACAGTTTTCTGCATACATCTGATGAACCAGATACTGGGAGATTTCCATTATGGATCAGACTTGCTAGCATTTCTGGGCACCTGGATTCTCGTGTTCAACAAGAAAATAAACAGATCCACATTAAATATGTTCAAGAGTTCCTGAATGAAGACATTTTATTCAATAGACGTCTTCTAGTCCTGCAGACGACTTTTATTAGAATAATTGTGTAAATAATGTGATCCCTGTTTCTACAAAATGAGGTAATTGAGCCATTGACATAATTTGGGGAGGGGGGGGGGGGTCTTTACAGTACGCTCTAGTGGGAAACAGGCGTCAACACAAACGGTTGTTTTCTGCTTGGTCCTAGAGCTCAACCAGTGTCAGTTTAATATAAAGTAATATTGTTTTTGGATGGTAAAAAGTGCAGGGGTCAAAATTTGAATTTGGAAAAAGTGGGGGGGGGGACATGGGGGGGGGGGACCAAACGCTAGCTTTTGAAAAAATAATATATATGATAAAGACAGATTTCAATTAGAAGATGTGCAAAGTAAGTTAACAGCATGTTTACAGAGAGAAAACAATACAAAAAGGAAAGGAGATGGACCGTGTCCCACCGTCGCTTTTCAGGACTTTTATTTGGTGTTTTTTGCACTCTGCTTCCGCACATTTAACATTTTGACTCTAGCTGCGTGGTTTGGGCAGATTTCGTTCACTGCTTCTCCAGTATGTTAAAAGTATAACGCGCCACTCTGTCTCGCAGCCTCCCGCCCGCCTACCGGGCGTTCGTCAGTAGCTGAGTGAGAGAGGCTGAGAGGGAGAGAAACTCAGAGAAGCTTTAGAGCTTTTTTACTGCTGGAGAAAAAAACGTAGCAAGTCATCATCTTCCTAAATGCAGTTATTCTCTTCTGAATCAGCACTTCTTTAAAGAAGAAATAGTTAAATGCAACAAAGGGAAAAATCCTTTTATTCAGCCTGTTCATGCGACTTGTATTAAAAATAAGTCTGAACAGTGTTAAAGGTTGTTCATCTAAAAAATAAACCTTGAAGAGTTTGAAGATTTTTTTGTTTTACTAAGTTCATCTTAAAACATCTTTCTCAAGTAAAATAAAGTTTCCTCTGTGAGGTCAGATAGGCCCATCGGTGCTGTTTTGAAACAGAAATAAACAAATGAATCATATTTGTCCATCCAAATACTTAAATGTCACCAAAACAGGAAGGACAAAAACACCGTCAAGGTAAAGTAAGAAGTTTTATTTTTAAATAAGCGGCTGTTTGTGATTAATCATGAGTTAACTATGGACATGATTTATATCATTATTAAATAGCCCATGTGGCCTATAGGCTATGTAACTGAGATTTAATATGAAAAATTAGACTAACCTATTTTCAAATGAGGTATTTGCTCTATGTTGATATATATTTCATAAACATTTACGGGCCAAGAGGAACATCAGCTGCTGATGGTATAATTTGAAGAAAAAAGTCCATTATGCTAACCTCCTCCCTTCATATTCAGAATTTTCTAGTTGTGTATAAAATGTGTATATTGTGCCTCTCTAGTCCTTAATAAAGGTTAAATAGTTTTGAATTTAGTCATGTCACATGCCAGTGATTTATAATATAAACCTATAAATAATCTATTGCAGTATTTTTTTACCATGGTTTAAAACTTTTATCTTATTATAGAATGAATATGACAAATGATCTTTTTGTGTCTGAATGCAGGCTCAAGGAACAAGTACATTCAAGGAGGAGCTCATGCCAAAAGTTCAGATCAGCCCTCCACCAGCAGTTCAAGAGCTCAAGATCAGTTGTCAGCCATCACGTCTGAACCTTCTACAACATTAAACCCAGCCCTGACCAGGAATTACAAAGTAAAGCACACCTACAGACCGAGCACAGCCCACGGCCAGCACTTCTGAAGGCAGAGTGAGTCCTGGGTCTGAAAAAGCATCTGAAAATAACACTGGAGAAACACGTGCCACAACCGGTGCTTGTGGTGTGTGTGGATCTGTTACATAATTCCATAATAACAACATGGAGATCATGTGTTGAGTATGTTATACTATGTTAATATCAATCCTGCTTTTTGGAAACAATAAGCAGTTTGTGCATACAAGAGAATTAAAGAGAATTTAAGGCGAAACGCTTGCACATACTGTGTTATTGTGTTGTTTTATCTGCGGGGGGGGGGGGGGGGGGGGGGGGGGGGGCACCACGGAGCCTTTGTGCTTAGGGCACCAAAATAGGTGTTCTGTGATCTGGATAGGGGCTCTCAAACTGACTAGTCCTCGGCTTCCAACCTTACAGCTAGTGTACAGTCTCGGTGTGCTGGATGTTGGATGAAACCCTCCATGCACGGTTATAAGCTTCCGTGTCTTGACATCTGAGGCCTGTATTTCTTTCTCTGGTCTATTATTCCAGCATGATATCTGATTACTGGTAGGGCGTAGTTATTAACTGCCCAGATCTTGTTCTTGCCGTTGAGCTGACTTCTTAGGACTTGCCTTACCCCCCGTAGGTATTTGGCAGTGGCTCCTTTTCTTGCGGCTTTATCAAGGTTGCCATTTGCTTGTGGGATACAGAGGTACTTGCTGCTGACCTCAATGTCTGCTATTGTTCCTTCTGGGAGTGAGATCCCTTCTGTGTGGAATGTTTTCCCTTTCTTCCGACTACACTTCTCAAGTCTGAATGACAATCCGATATGAGTGCTGTAGATACTGGTGGTGTGGATCAGTGAGCCGATGTCTCGCTCAGTTTTGGTGTACAGCGTTATGTCATCCATGTAGAGGAGGTGGCTGGTTGTGGTTCCATTCTTGAGTCGGTATCCATAACCAGTGTTGCTGATTATTCACCAGCAGAGTGTGACCGTAAGTGTATGAATAATGGAAAGTGCTTTTGGGTGTCTTGAAAAGCGATATATAAATCCAAACCATTATTATTGTTATTATTGTTATTATTATTATTATTTTCATCTGACTGAGGGGGTTCAGACCTATGCAGAACAGCAGTGGGGACAGGACATCTCTTGGCATAGCCCACATTTGATGGAGACGTGTGCAATTGGCTTGCAATTGGACTCAAGTCTGGTTTCCCACAGCCCCATTGAGTTTTCAGTGAAGGTTCTCAGAGTCATGTCGATATACATCTCCAAGCATTCAATGAGCCATGAGTGCGGCATTGAGTCATAGGCTTTCTTGTAATCAATCCAGGCTTTACACAGGTTGGTGTGTTGGGTTTTGCAGTCTTGACCTTATGTGCTATGCTCATGTATTGATCCATGTGCCCACTTGTCTATGCCTAACATGAGCTTCCATGTTGTGGAGAGACAGGTTACTGGCTGACGTGGAAATGGGACTGTACCCTTGAAATGGTCCATCATGATCAGGATTGTGCACCCTTCAGTTAGCCAGTGAGTCCCTTCTTTTAGCAGTTGGTTCATTTGTGCATACAGGCACTCATGGAGTGCAGTGAGCTTCTTAAGTCAGTAGGGGTGGATCATGTCAGGTCCTGGTGCTGTCCATAGTGTTTCCATAATTTTAAATGCAGTTTTTACAGCAAAAGATGGATTCAATAAATGTGAATACAAACAAATACGTTTAATTCAAAATTAAATATACAATAGCATTGTAACTACCACGAACATAAGGTTATTTACTTAACCATTTAGAAAGGAACTGGTCTACAAAACAGCAGAAGAATCAGCGCAGTTTCCGATAACAAGCAGGGCAAACTGGTCACACACACACACACACACACACACACACACACACACACACACACACACACACACACACACACACACACACACACACACACACACACACACACACACACACACACACACACACACACACACCAACGGTATGGGAGTCGGGTGGGGTGGGGATGGGGGGTTGGAAAACAGTAGGCATGAGCAGAAGCACTCGACAAAAATTCTCGCCTGTTGTGAACAGAGGAGCAGCGAGCAGTGCCCAAATTTTGTGAGCAATCCACTTCGCGGCGCTGCACAGGTAACGCAGCTGATGTGATTCTTCTGGTCCACCACTCGCCGTCATGCTCACAGGAATTCATACCGCCTGGCAGCTGATCACTCCTTGTCAGCTAGCCTCACCAGGACAGCTAATGTTCATGGATGTGACAGCACTACCGTCAATTTCGGCCTTCTCAACATCCACTCTCTCACTGGACAAGGTCATTTCATTCATGATCTCATCAAGGACTGTGGAAGTGACCACGTGCCTCAGCGAAACTTGGCAACAGCCAGCTTATTTCTCCCAACTCAATGACGCATCTCCCCTCCCTGCTCCCTCTCGTCTCCGCTCTCATACACACATCCCTTTCCTCCGGTATTGTTCCCTCTATCTTCAAAACTGCTGCAGTTACTCCAATACTTAAAAAACCTGGGTCGGATCCTAACATTTTTACTAACCTCCGCACCATCTCCAACCTACCCTTTGTCTCCAAAGTTTTAGAAAAAATAGTCGCTACCCAGCTCCACACCCATCTGACACTAAACTCCTTCTATGAACCCTTCCAGTCCGGTTTCCGCCCACTTCACAGCACAGAAACAGCCCTCCTCAAAATAACTAAGGATCTCCTCATTGCTGCTTATTCCGGTCTACTATCCATCCTGGTCCTCCTTGATCTGAGTGCGGCCTTTGACACAATATCTCATTCCATTCTCCTCCATAGTTTATTTTCCATCGACATTGCTAACATCCCACTTCAGTGGTTTCAGTCCTACCTATCAGGGTCGCACTCAGTTCATCACTCTCAAATCCTGCCGCTCACAGCCCTCTTCTGTCTCTTCTGGTGTGCCCCAGGGCTCTGTCCTGGGGCCCCTCCTTTTCATTATATACAACCTTAGCCTTGGCAATATCTTCCACAGATTCAATATTCATTTTCACTGCTACGCGGATGACACCCAGCTCTATTTGTCCAGTAAGCCAATTCTGCACTTCCTCCCTCCTCCCTCATCACCTGCCTTCAAGAAATAAAATCCTGGATCAGTTCAAACTTCCTAAAATTAAATACAGACAAAACAGAACTTCTTTTGGTTGGTACCAAGAACACCCTCTCAAAATTTGACAGTTTATCCCTCACAGTTGATAATACTTCAGTTTCCCCCTCTCCCCAGGTCAAGAGTCTGGGTGTCATCCTCGACAGCACACCATCCTTCCAATCTCATATCAATAGCATCACATGGTCAGCTTATTTCCATCTTCGTAACATTAATAGTCTTCACACCTCCCTTACCGTCCACTCTGCTTCTATTCTTGTCCATAGTCTGGTTACATCACGCATCGATTACTGCAACTCTCTTCTCTCAGGCCTCCCTCAGAAAACCCTCCGTCAGCTGCAGTTGGTTCAGAATGCAGCAGCACGCATCGTCACTAAAACTCCCATCTCTCATCACATCACCCCCATCCTCAAACAACTCCATTGGCTACCAGTGCACACCAGGATTAACTACAAGAATCTCCTTCTCACATTCAAGGCCATCCATAACCTCGCCCCTCACTACCTCACAGATCTCGTTCACATCGTCACCTCGTCCCGTTCCCTCACGTCCTCCTCCTCCATTCATCTCTCTGTGCCCTCCTTCCATCTCAGCACCATGGGGAGTAGAGCCTTCAGCTGCACCGCTCCCAAACTCTGGAACTCCCTTCCCCCTCTCATCAAGAACATTAACTCATTCACAGAATTAAAAAAACAACTCAAAACTCACCTCTTCATAACCACATATCAACTTTGAATTTTAGACTGCCTTGTTTGTTATCATTGTTTATTTGTTTTCTTATGTTGTACTCATGTCTACTTTTGTTTTATTGAATGATTTGTGTTTTTATTCTGTACGGTGTCCTTGAGTGACCAGAAAGGCACGTTTTTAAAATAAAACGTATTATAATAATAATTATTATTATCCTAGCATTAGGCCACAGCCTCGCGACCCGACCCCAGATAAGCGGCCGAAAATGAATGGATGCAATAAATAAATGAATCTATAACATATAAAAACTTCACTTTCTGACACGAGTTTAGAAACAAACTACAGCACTTTTTCCTGTTATTCTATTTCTCTTTTATTTATATCTGTGTTCTATGATTGTCATGCTGTGCCCTGACGCCTACTGATCAGCTTTAGAGCCTGTGATGATGTCATACTAACTGAATATTTCAAATCTTAAATAAAAAAAGGGGCACCACTGCAAAGTACAGAAAGATTAGAGCAGGTGTAGCGTTGGAAAAGTCCAACAAGGTTCCCATTTTTTTGTTCTTTTCTTACAAAGTTTAGTAAAGGTTATTTGTTTAACTTATGTTTCAGCTAGTAGCTCTAGCTGTCCTCCGATAAACATGTTTATTATTTCATGACCTATTTCAGATCTTAAATGTAATAAATGAGTCTACTTGATGGTTTAATAATGATTTATTATCAGTTACATTCACATAATAATATCAGTATATTAGCAAATAAATGTTTGACAGATTAATTTAACATTAACCCTCTGATGCATGAATTATGAAATCTTCAACCATGATTTTTAAACCATTTTTTTCATTCGTCTTTAGGTGTGAATGAAACAAATTTCAACAAATATTTTTTGTAAAATTTTATAATTTACAAATAATTCATTACATGTCCACCTCAGTGGGCAGCGTGCATTCTGAACATGAAATATGTTGGCTTGGCTTACTGAAGTCCAAATGGAGGGGCTCAAATGCAATAAAGTCTTCAACAACTGTGCTTAATAGCAAAAACAAATAATAACAATTTTGAGTACCTGTCCATTGTAGTGACCATTATGCATCAAAGGGTTAAGTGAAATCAGCTTTTTTTTTGAGTGCCTGAGGAATGTGTAACGTCTGAGGGTCTTGGTAAACGCCTATAGGGAGCCTAAGTGACGCCCATCTACTTCCGGCCCACGGGTCCCCCGAAGAACAAAAAAACGAATGCAAGTCAACGGGGCTAAAAACGCCATTTTCTAATTCTGCTTGTTTTGTTCCATGGATTTCACATATGATGTCCGTCAATTTTAAAGACACATTTTGATACCAAGAACACGGTTATTTTTGAACAGGGAGTAATGCTATTCAGGTTTTGTGTGAAAAGAAGTCCAGAACTACAAATGTGCTTCATGAAAGTGACATCATCGAACCAGACACGGAGAAAACGGAGGGAAAATGGTTGTAAGTTCAGCTAACTTCCCACAGGAGGATAGAACCACCATAAATGTGGTCATGTGTTAAGTAGCAGCTACGCTAGGAGAGAGGAGATTATGTGGTGACATCACATATGCAACGTGCCGATTTCTGGTGTGTAGTCATGCTAATTACGAACTTTTACAAGCTGATAAATCTTAAAGTACGTGACAGGCGTGGTCGAAACACCCATTGTTACTTTTCATTTAAAATGCAGTACAACACATTTGCGATCCAGGGCGTAAGGCAAAGCGGATTAGAAAATAATGTTTTTAGTCCCACTGATTCGCATTCGGTTTTTCGTTCTTCTGGGGCCCCATGAGCTGACCGGAAAGGGAGGAGACTTAGGCTCCCAATACAAACTTTTCAGATCTGGTTTGCCTCAGTTTATATACAAACAAACAGAAGTGAACTCACTTCCTATTTTCTCCAGTTTCACCAGAGCTGCGAGTTCAGCAAACGCTCACAGCTCATACCAATGACCATCCTATGGGTCATCAACCATATTTTTCAGTGGCAGCTTAAAGAACCATCCTTTTAAAAATCAATCATTATTTGTTCAATCCACCACCAACTCATCAGACGTGAAACCGTCTGCCAGAAGCCACCTGGGAAGTACCTTTTGAGCAGTCGTGCGTATTCTGAGGGGGCCCTACGAGCTTCAGACACATCAGAAGTCCACTCACTCGCTCTGCAGAGACGGCTTTGCTTGCAGATCGGATCTCCAAGAACTTCCACCATCCTGGTGTGAAGGCCATTCAAAGGTGTCAGAGTGGTTGATATTAGTTTGATAACTTGTTAAACTACATCCACCAAACAGCCAAATTTATTTTATAAACCCAGACATCACATCGTTCTGAGTCACTTAGTGATGCTCTTAAACACACCAGGTCATGTTTCATCAGTTCATTCATTGTCTCATTTAATATCACTTTGAGTCACCATTTATAACCGTTTGCCTTTCATCATCATTAATATAGTAATACAGATTTTAATAAACTATATTATTGTTTGAAGCGTTGTTTCCCTGGCGTTCCCCAAATTACCTAGTTTCATCCTCACTGGAATATTAAAGGCTCAATGATATTGATAATCCATGTTTTAGGGTTGAACACCTTTATATTCCATTGACAATTTATTAAAAGTAACCACTTACAAAGCGTTACACTGGCTTTGACATCGACGTATACAACTGAACTTTAAATGTGTCTTGTTTCATAAATAGTAAAGCTATTTGAACAGGGTTATAGTCTAGAAGCAACAACAACATTTACCAAACCATCTACCCAGTAATGGAAGACAGCAGCTACACTACAGTGTCTCTTTACAAAAGATTTTCCAACAAATAAAACATTCCAAATCTTGGCAAATGTGACTGTTTTATTTCTTGATTTTGCTGTTTCGTATGAGATGATCCGTTACTCTGAAATCTCAAACACTTCTGCACTGAGAGTTGAGATGTTAAACAGATGCTGTGTAGCACAGCCACGTCAGCTAACTATGCAACATTTCACAATATACGCCTTTAACGTTTACAAATGAGCGAAGTCTGAACTGTTATAGGGTTAGGGTTCATTGTCTTATGTTTGTGTTTGACAGGAATCCAGTCACCTAACCAAGAGCCAAGCATGAACTGAAAAGCTTAAAATGAAAAAAATAAATAAATAAAATCAAAGAGTAGTTTTATTAAAGTCAGACACTCGTTTTTGTGACTGAAGTCTGAAAAAAAAAAACTCCACACATGGAGATGGTACGGATGCTTTTAGATTTCTGTTACTGGGTACAGAAACTTTCACCAAAGTCACACAGATCCTTGTTAGTGTTGGACATGTACTCCAAAATTAGAGACACCAATAAACTTGTATACAAATGGTTTCTGTTTCTTCTAAGTAAATCTTCTCTCTTAGGCCTAGTCCACACGTAGCCGGGTTTTTTAAAAAACGAATATCCGCCCCTCCAAAAACTTGCATCCACACCACCTCGTTTTAAAAAAAAACTCTGTCCACACGTACCCGGATAAATACGTTGTTAAGGACATGCCAGACCTGTAGGGGGCAGTACTTCCCCCGTTCTTAACCTCGTCCTTCGTCTGTGGTCTTCCGCAAGCAGCAGTAATTCTGCTTGCAAAAACAAACAAGCAAAAAGCGCTTGGACCATTGATAAAGCGAGCGCAGCTCTGAGGGCATCCATGCTGTCGGCTAGTGTAAACACAGGTCGCACACGTGATGTCAGCATTTATTTGTCGCGGAAGGTGACGTTGCGGACCTTAAAGCTCCGGTTTTGTCTGTCCACACGCAGACACCCAAAACGGAGAAAACGCAGATCTTCACTTTGGCCGGAGTTTTTAAAAAGATCCGTTTTCGTGTGAAAAAACTCCGTTTTCGTGTGGATGACAGGCCAAAACGTAGAAAAGTATCTACGTTTTGGCAGATCCCCGGCTACGTGTGGACAGGGCCTTAGTTTTAGTTTTTAAACAAACTGCCTGGCCAAAAAAAGTCTGCATGTAGCTTTGACTACACTTTGGGCAGCTCCCATGCTGCGTTTTAAACGTGCTATATAAATAAGCTATGGTACGGTAAGGCTACGGTACAGCACATGTTCGCTGTGGCATTGTTTTGATATGCTTCTGCAATGTAACAAGATTTATTTACATCTAACGTTGCATTAAGTTTTTACCGAGATCTTGCATTGATGACAAAGATTCTCAATGGGGTTAAGGTCTGGGCTCTGTGGTGGCCAATCGATGTACGGAAATGATGTCTTATGCTCCCTGAACCACTCTTTCACAATTTGAGCCCAATGAATCCTGGCATTGTTATCTTGGACTATGTCCGTGCCATCAGGGAAGATGGCCCCAGTGGATCTCCAACCAAGTGCTAAGAGAACGCACGCGCCAGCCCAGAGCATCTCGCCTGGCATGGCAACGCTACACCTGCAGGCTCGGCCATGTCCTCCATCTTTGTTTTGACCAACCGACCAGAGCCACTCTGCAGTTTGACCCGAGGGCCGCAGGATGGAGACAAGGTAAACCCAGCACCTGACGGCTCGATGTCGTTGCTGGCAACCTCCAACAATTCAGAGTTGCCGTAGTGAATGCAGAGCAGCTGGCACAAAACCGCCAGCACTGGAAACAACTGGTACACCTGGTAGGCTCAACGCACCGGTGCGGGATGACACCTGACTCTTCGCAGGAGCCTTGACGATAAAGATCAGGGAAGAAAACATCCATTGATGGAATAACCAGGTCATTCAGTTCATTCAGGTAGTCAGTTGACCTCATTCTTGGAGCGCATCCTGTTGCAGAACCTAGACCTGACCAACTGCAGCAACCCCAGATTATAGCACTGCCTCCACAGGCTTGTACAGTAGGCACTAGGCATGATGGGTGCATCACTTCCATCTGCCTCTTTTGTACCCTGATGCACCCTTCACTGTGGAACAGGGTACATCTGGACCCTTCTTAAACAGATCACCAGATGGGTCTTTCCACGTGGTTGTTTAACAAGTGAGAAGAAACTAATTGCACCAGTTGGGGTAAAATAACTTGTTGCCAGCTGAAAGATGCAGTAATTATCCAATAGGGGGCTAGTACCTATTAACTTAGTTAAATCCAGGTGGCCATTTTTTGGGGGGGCAGGCAGTGTATAAATTGTGTGTGTGTGTGTGTGTTAGGCCACTGGAGGCAGACTTAGCAACTGGCAAATGTCATTGCACTCTGGCCCATGCTGTTCTTCTAGGAACAATCTGAGTCCTGAGGCAGCAAAGTTGGCCGGACCTTTGGGTATCCTGGTGGAGTGGATCTGTGGATCGGTGAGGTAGGTCAGTCCTTTACCGTTGGCTGTCACCCATCCTGTCAGGAAAAAGTACATTAGCATAAGGCTGTACACCTAACATTTTAACCCTCTCAGGCTCAAAACAAGTTTTGATAAAAGTAAAAACAACTAAGTCCTTCAGGGGTACTTCTGAGTTAAAAAAATGCTCATGAAGTACGTATGTGGAGTAAGTAGGTAGGCTTTAACGTTGCAAATCTGCAACGCCTGCCTCCAGAGGGTTAAGACAGGCCAAAACTGTCAAGTTACCGATCCTTGAGCCAAAAAAGGTGATTTTCTCGACTTTAAAGGAGTAGTTGACTTGGTCAGTAATATTTGCAGTGGATTTTGGTAGGAATGAATGCCTTGTAAGTTGTTTAACTGATATCTAGACATCTTGCCCCAGACTGGATAACAGCAACGTGACTCTACCACTGACATGCAACATGGATGTTTTATCCCCACAAGTAACACAAACCTGGAGGAGCTTCTGCTGTGTGGTGGTGTTGCTGATGCTATTAGCTTAAACTAGCCTAGACGTTCTCAGGCAGTTTTCCGGACATTAAAACAACAACTTTCCCTGTCGTGAGTCCATAAATGCTAAATCAGTGTGACATAGATCTGTGAGGATTTGAAAACCCTAAAGTTTCACTGTCTATCAGAAGCTAATGCAGGAGACAGGTGTAGCATTCTACTTTCATGTTCGGCATGCATGAAAAACTCAAGTGTGACTGATTATAATAATAAAAAGAAAACACCATTAAAAATGTTTTTTAGTCACCCACAACTTTAAAAATGCAAAAAATTATTTTGATGACAATTTTCCATGTCTACTCCTTAAATAGGTTTCAAGGTAGAAATATAAAATGTTAAAAAGTATTAATCTGCATCAATTAGCCTTTGGTAAGTGAGCTTCTCCTGTTTTATGTGTTTTTTATTCTATTCTATGCCCTGCCTCTATTTTTAGTCATCTGGTGATTATGCCAGGCTTTTTTATGTGTTGTTTTTATTGCTTGCCTTGGTTTTCATGCATTTCTATTGTCTTTTCTTGTTTTTGCTCTTTATGTGACTGCATCTGAATCTTTTCATTTGATTTTTCTGGTGCCCTTCTGTGCAGCACTTTGTTCAGCAGGCATGCTGTTTTTAAATCTACCAATGACCTGCTGGAGAGACAAAATGAATCATTCTAGAAATGCAATTGGGGGCTGCACAAAATCTCTCCAAGGACTCAAAAGGACTCATGGGTAGGGTCGGGCATCGACTGGAACTGGGACTAACTGTCAGATTTTCCTGGAATCATTCAAAGTATTTCATTCAGATTCCTAGTTTCGATTCAACAGAGGGTGTGGCAGTATTCCAAGGTATCCTGCCACCATAACAATAACGTATCTGGTCCACCATAGTATATTTACTATTGTGTTTACATTGTTTTAAGTGTTTAACAGGGACAAATATGTCCCTCACTGCTCTCCACCTCTTTATGTGACCTGCACCACTAAACTCCTCTAAACTAAAAAAAAAAAAATCAATATTTCTCTATAAACATATATTTTTTTAATGCCGTGGACTATTTTCTTTTTGTTTAGGTTGTGTGAGTGACAACCATGTGTGTGTATGTGATTAAAGCATGTTTATTATCTACAATACCACTTGGCCTCATTTTATTCTTCACGCTCATGCTCTAAGACGTTTATTCATTAAAAGTTAGTACCCCAGACAAAAGCTCCTTAAAAAAACCTTTTCTCTAAACTGCAATGTGTGACCTTGTCCAGCCTGAGAATGTTCTCTGAAGCCTGTATTGGTACTATGTAAATTTGAGTAAACACGAAATTCGTTTAGTAAAATCTTGAGATATTTTAAGACTGTGGAAATTCAACCTAAAAATGCTATATATACATATATATATATACACATATACAGTATATGTATATATATATATGTACATATATATATATACACATATACAGTATATGTATATAAATATATATACATATATATATATACATATACTGTATATGTGTATATATGTATACACATATATACACATATATATGTATACATATATGCACATCTATATGTATACATATATATACACATATATATGTATACATATATATATACACATATATGTATACATATGTATATATGTATACACATATATATATATATATATATATATATATATATATATATATACACATAAATACACATACATATGTGTATATATATATATACACACACATATATATACATATATATGTGTGTGTGTATATATACACACATATATACATATATATATATATATATATATATATATATATATATATATATATATATATATATACACATACATATGTATATATATATATGCGTATATATGTGTATATATGTATACACATATATACACATATATATATACATATATATGTGTGTGTATATATATAAAAAAACCAGACTAGTAATCAGTGACACACTGGAATTTGTACCTTGCAAATCCACAACAACTTCCTGTCCGCCAGAAAACAAGTAGGTGAAATGTCCGAAGGCGAGACCATACTCTGTAGCCTGGAAAGTCTTATCCTTCTTTCTGGTGTTGTTGGTCAGTTTCACAAAGTTCCCAAGCATGTACGGCTCCACAGTCAGGCATCCCACAATCTCATCTCCGTTCAAAATCTGATCGTAGACAAAGAAAGACGGGAAAACACTGTAAAACCTTTAAGGCCTTGTTGATATGGAGAAGTTCTCTCTACAGGGCTTTTACAACATAAATGTACAATGATGTTTACACTTAGCGGAGAACTCAAAACTTCACAATAATGTTAAAGTTTACTAATCTTTGCAGTACTTTCACAGGGAGAAGAGAGTCTTCTCACTTTCACTTCTAGGGTTTGATCTGATCTTTATCAGGTTCTAAAATTGTTCTAATCTCACCTCAAGTCCAAAAACTTACAAAAAACTGGCTATGATGTCATTATTTATTATACTGAGCAAAATGGTAAAGCTGGCTGCACAGTGGTGCAGTGGTTAGAGCTGTTGCCTTGCAGCGAGAAGGTCCTGGGTTCGCTTCCCGGCCTGGGATCTTTCTGCATGGAGTTTGCAGCAGCTGGTCTCACATTTAGCTGACTCTGATCTGTTTGAGGTTTTCCAATCAGGGTTCAGGTCTGGCCATAGCACAGAGTCTGCTCTACTGAGGGTCCTAAATGACATCTATCTATCACTAGATCACGGAACATCTGTGCTGCTTCTGTTATTAGACCTGACAGCAGCCTTCGACACAGTTGACCACGCGATTCTACTTGATCGCTTGGAACGATGGGTTGGGATCAAAGGGTCAGCTCTGGATTGGTTTAGATCGTATCTCCAAAACAGGACATTCTGTGTTAAACTGGGTGGTTTTTTCTTCTTGGGAGGGGCTCCGGTGGGGGGTCCCGCAGGGGTCGATCCTTGGTCCTCTTTTGTTTGCCATTTATCTGCTACCTCTGGGGTCAATCTTTCGTAAACATGGCCTATCATTCCATCTGTATGCTGACGATTGTCAGATTTACTCTCCATTGTGTCAGGAGAAAGGTCACTCTATTCAGTCCTTTGTCTCCTGTGTTAATGAGGTGAAGTCTTGGCTAATGTCCAACTATCTGCATCTGAATGAGGGAAAGACAGAGCTCATTGTTTTTCACCCCAACAGCAGGAATGTGGATCGTTATGTTGATCTTGGCCCTCTTTCTCCATACTCAAAACCAGTTGTTACCAGTTTGGGGGTGAAACTTGATGTAGGACTTAAATTTGATGCTCACATTAATTCTGTGGTCCGGTCCAGTTTCTTTCACCTGAGACGCCTTGCTAAAATCAAGCATATGCTGTCGAGAGCCCACCTGGAGCGGGTACTGCATGCCTTTGTAATTTCTCGGCTTGACTACTGCAACTCTCTCTATGCAGGGTTGTGTCAGTCATCACTGCATCGCCTACAGGTTGTGCAGAACAGCACAGCCAGGTTCCTGACTGGGACCAGGAAACGGGACCACATCAGTCCAGTTCTGGCCTCCCTGCACTGGCTTCCGATTTCCTATCGCTCACAATTCAAAATACTCGTCTTTGTTTATAATTTCTTCCAGGGTGGTGCTCCCCCCTATCTGGCCACTCTCCTGAACAGACATTCCCCATCACGTGCTCTGCGCTCCTCTGACCAAGGCCTGCTCGCTGTCCCTCGGTCTAGGTGTCGTACCCGTGGGGACCGGGCTTTCTCAGTCCTAGCACCGTTACTCTGGAACCAGTTGCCACCCTCAGTTAGGCTGTCCCCTTCTCTGCCAGTCTTTAAGAATCACCTAAAAACACACCTCCTCCGCTTGGCGTTTCCAGAACATGTTTGATTTTGGCCCTCTATTATGTTGACTCCATTCCACAGTTTTCATTGGTACTCTCAATCCATCCACTCAATCCAATTGTGTTTCACACATTTGTATTTTACCGGAATGTTTCATCTATCTTGTTATTTCCATTTTGTATTTTGTAATTTGTATTTTGTAATTTGAATTTCTTTTATTGTTGATTTATTCAGTATAATTACTTACAACTGTACCATGTTCAGCGCTTTGGGCTTCCTGACAGGGTTGCGGAAGGCGCTTTATAAATAAAGCTTTGATTGATTGATTGATTGATTGCATGTTCTCCCTGTGCATGCGTGGGTTCTCTCCGGGTACTCCGGCTTCCTCCCACAGTCCAAAAACATGACTGTTAGGTTGATTGGTCTGTCTAAATTGTCCTTAGGTGTGAGTGTGTGTGCGTGATCGTTTGTCCTGTGTGTCTCTGTGTTGCCCTGCGATGGACTGGCTCTCTGTCCAGGGTGTCGCCCGCCTGATTGCCCGTTGACCGCTGGAGATGGGCACCAGCCCCCCCGGCGTGGACAGAGCGGGTTCAGAAAATGGATGGATGGAAAATGGTAAAGCTGTGTGTTAAAACTCACCTTCCTGCTTCCCCTTAAAGCTTTATTGTTAAATAGTAAATGGTCTGTATCTGTATATCTTCTTAGGATTCTACAACCCCCAAGGTGTTTCATTCATACATTCATGTGGGCGACGGTGGCACAGGAGTTAAGTGCTCGCCCCGTAATCGGAAGGTTGCAGGTTCGAGCCCCGCTCAGTTTGTCACTGTCGTTGTGTCCTTGGGCAAGACACTTAACCCACGTTGCCTGCTGGTGGTGGTCGGAGGGACCGGTGGCGCCTGTGCTCGGCAGCCTCGCCTCTGTCAGTGCGCCCCAGGGCAGCTGTGGCTACATGGTAGCTCATCCCCACCAGTGTGTGAATGTGTGAATGACTGATTGTGTTGTAAAGCGCCTTGGGGGGTTCCAGGACTCTAGAAGGCGCTGTGTCAAATACAGGCCATTTACCCATTGACACACTGGTGATGGTGAGCTACAATGTAGCCACAGCTGCCCTAGGGCCAGGCACACTAACAGAAACAAGATTGCTGAACAAAGGCGCCACTGGTCCCTCTGGCCACCACCAGCAGGCAAGATGGGTTAAGTGTCCTGCCCAAGAACACAACCGCAGCCTTCTCTGGTGGGAGCCGGGATCGAACCAACAACCCTCTCATTACTGGACAACCCGCTCTACCTCCTGAGCTGCTGCTGCCCCCTTTTTATCAGACAGGATCTCCTGATCAGGCGTAAGAACGACCTCATCCTCATCAGCTTCTCTAGAAAAACAGGGCCCACATTTATCAACCATACTCATGTGATGTGATGTAAGTGGTTGCTTGTATTAAATGATCAATAAGATGTGATACTCCACATGAATATGAATTATCAACATTATTGATATTTAGAAATTTGATCTAAGGTTAAAGCAGGTCTTTTTGGTAGTTTAAGGAAATCAAACCTTCGTAATAATTTGAAACAGAGGCAGAAATATAGTTGATAAAAATCTATTTAATACTACACTCACCTGCTGTAAAGGATTATCAGGACCACCACACTAATACGGTGTTTGACCCCTTTGGCCTTCAGAACTGCCTTAATTCTACGCGGCGTTGATTCAACAAGGTGCTGAAAGCTTTCTTTAGAAAAGTCGGCCATATTGACAGGATAGCATCGTGCAGTTAATGGAGATGTGTGGGATGCACATCCAGGGCACGGAGCTCCCGTTCCACCACATCCCAAAGATGCTCTATCGGGTTGAGATCTGGTGACTGTGGGGGCCGTTGTAGAACAGTGTAGAACATCGTCATGTTCAAGAACCCAGTTTGAAATGACTGGACCTTTATGACATGGTGCATTATCCTGCTGGAAGTAGCCATTAGAAGATGGGTACATGGTGGACATGAAGGGATGGACATGGTCAGAAACAACGCTCAGGTAGCCCGTGACATTTAACTCATTCACTGCCATTGACGACTAAAGTCGTCATTTGCATTTTTCTACTGTTTGAGCATCGGAACCAGCCCCCGCGCTGAGAGAACAAACATCTCAGCCCTGAAGCCGATCTTCCTCATACGTCACAGATCACATGATCAGGAAGCAACACATCCATGTGTTTGGAGATCGTTTTGGGCCGTTCCTGTAAAAAAAGTGAGGCGCGAAGCAGAAAAGCGCCTGCCGATCACAATTCAACAACGGATTATGAAAGAACAGATAACGCTCGAAACACACGGCTTCTTCCTGATGTAAGAGGTGAGTCTCTTTGTTTTGGTTGTTTTGGCGTCGACATCATGCTAGCGCGCAACGTTCTGTGACTCTTAAAAAAAACAGTAAAAACGGTGAGAAACGCTGGCAGCGAAGGCCGTTAGTGATCAGGAAAAGGCTGGCAGTGAGTGAGTTAAACCATGCCCAGTTGGCACCAAGTAGGGCTGGGCGATATGGACCAAAACTTATATCTCGGTATCTTTTTGCTGAATTCCGATATACGGTATATATCTTAATGTTTTTCCTCCTGTAAAATATTTACAAGTTAACTCACTTCAAGCTGTCTTGAGAAATTATAAACATAAATCAGTAGATTAAATGCATAAAGACGTATTGATTCTGGTCAAACTTTAACATTAGTGCCTATTCTCTGTTACAGCTGTCTGCAAACACACACACACACCTAAGGACAATTTAGACAGACCAATCAACCTAACAGTCATGTTTTTGGACTGTGGGAGGAAGCCGGAGAACCCGGAGAGAACCCACGCATGCACAGGGAGAACATGCAAACTCCATGCAGAAAGATCCCAGGCCGGGAATCGAACCCACGACCTTCTTGCTGCAAGGCAACAGCTCTAACCACTGCGCCACTGCAATGATTGCATTTTCTGCCTATTTAAAGTTGTCCAAGGATAAACCTGGATTTCCTAGTGATTTTCTGAACTCTTGTAACCTTCTAGTCACATTCAAAGCTGGGACATCTGTGTTAGATGCGTTTTGGATCTCAATTTGTTTCCTTTCTTTGCTCAGTTTTAGCAGGACTTCCTTCACTTTAAGAAACCATGCAATAGCTACTTTTAGTTTCTGCCAGCCTGAATGGTAAGCTAGCTTTGATGGTAAGCTATTAGCTCTGATGTAGGACTGACACAGCTGGTTGTTGCACAAGCCAATGCCATCTGTTTTATTTCTGGGTCATCAGCTGGTAACTGAAAGCTTGCAGAGTTTTGTGGCCATTTTTGTCAGGCTTTGACAGAAACGCGGGGCTTTCCACCCACTTTTGCTTCAAATCCTCACCTGATGATAACCCACGTGAGGCATGATCAGCGGGGTTTGACCCTGAAGGTGTATACCTCCACTGATCCACTTCAGAATTCTCTCTGATGGAGTTTATGCGATTAGCTAGGAAGGTTTTGAAGCGCTTGTTTTCATTTTGAACGTATCTTAGAACTGCTGTACTGTCGGTCCAAAATCAGGTTTTCTTTAAAGGCAACCGACGTTCTTATCCAGCTTAACTGCTGCCACGGCCGCTGGAAGCTCCAAGCGAGGGATGGTAACAGGTTTCGATGGAGCTACCCTCGCCTTGCCAAATAGAAGTGAAAAATGTACGTCCTCCTTGTCGTTTTTGAGTCTAAGGTACCATACCCACTTTCACTTGCATCGGAAAAGTGATGCACTTGGGCGCTGATCACCTTTCCAAACCCTTCTGGCTTAAGGGATCTGCTGACTTGGAAATTTGTTACATTTTCCAAACCCCTCAACCATTTCTCCCATTCTTTTGGGAAAGCGCCAGGTGCAGGATCGTCCCAACTACACTTCAGTCTACACAGTTCCTGCAAGAGTAACTCGGCAGGTAAAAAGACAGGAGCTAGGAATCCCAACGGATCACTGACGGCATTCCCCTTTTGGTAGCAGGCTTTTCTTTAACCTTTGGTTTGAACATGAACTTATCGGTTTCAACACACCATACCATGCCTAACGCTCTACTCACAGGTAGATTGTCTTTATCCAAGTCGAAGTCAAGGAGCGTTTGTGCTCTGCGGCTTTCTGAAAGGTTCTGAAGCACATTTCTCTTACTGCTAGTCCCCTGAGTTAAGGTACAACCTCCCTTGCTGCAGATGGACATGAGGCCCTTTGCCATGGTGATTGCATCATTTTCGGTTGGCACACTTTTAAGAAGAACATCCATGTAAAAATTTTGGTGGATGGTTTCCACAACATCTGGTGCATAGTGAGCTTCATTGTCCTCAGCTGTCCTTCTGTCTGCCTGCCCCAAACAAAGTCATGTTTATCCTTATCTGACACCATAGCAGCCTCTCAAGGCTGCTTCAACACACCCCCACGAAAGGAGGAATGCCGACAGATGCTGTGTCCCGACCTTCACCCTCTTCCTTCAGATTGAGACGTCTGCGGGAAACTTCAATGTGCTCTCTGGTCCTTATCTCTCCCTCCCACCTGTTGGTCTGCAGCTGGTCGATGCGCCGCAGTGGCAGCTCCCATTGGAGGCTTCAGGATCCCGCCCATCCCCGCCTCCCCATCGGACTCTGATGTTGTGTCTGTGCTGTTTGTGCTTCCATGTTAAAGGAGTTTTTTTTGTATAATAGTTACTCCCCGCTGGGTCTAACTCTGCTATGCCTTTTTTTTTTTACCTTACCCCCACTTATCCTCATGTAACACCCTTTTCATCTATTATTAAGGTAGCGCGACTCATGTTGTGAATGACCGCAGTCACCAATTCTTGTTATGTGTCTTACCCACGTATGTCTGATCTTTGAATTGTGTGTGCTGAAACTGAATTTCGTTTCTCTGTATGTCCTGCACATGTGGAGAATATGACAATAAATGACTTTGACTTGACTTGACTAAGGGCATAACCGGCACAGCTCGGGGACGAAACAGCTCCAAACAAGTGAGCGGTCACTCTGCGCTCTTCTGGAATCTGTTCTAAATCAGCTTGTTTAACAGGAGCGTCGATGACTTTTGAAAGTGCCACCTGACTGTACTTCACGGCGCCTCACCAGAAGTGCTTCAGAGGGAATGAAGAATATCTGAGCCATGACGTCCTTCTCGTAGAGGCTCTTATTGAATTCAGTCACGTAGTGCTGCGCCGTCATCTGTCTCTCCACATCCATCAAGTAGACCTGGATCCCTCTTGGCTTCAGGTAGTCCTTGCCCACATAACTACGGACATCAAAAAGAGGACAAAATCAGGCACCAAGACATCACAATTATGACTTGAAAACACACATTTAACAGCATACCTACTTAACCGCTCCTCCTGGTGGAGAAAATTGACCCATATCGCTTCTCTCTGTGAGCCCTTCATATTCATGGACTTCCCAATGTACACACACGTCTCCTTGGCTGTCCACAGGTCTGTGGCTTTGGAGAATTTTAAATGAAGAGCATCTAGTTGGGACAGCGAGAAAAAAAATTAGCTGCCTTTTGCATTATATCGTTCATTCTGTAAAACAAAAGAAGGATTTTTCTTGTGAGGATCAAGCATCCACAGTGTTGCTTTAGATAGAAGGTTGATGCAGCTGATCAGACGAGTTTCATCATCACAGAAACCAACTTACTGTGGGCAGTTTTCTCTCTGTTGAGCTTAACTTTAGCCTCGTCGCTGTGTAACCTCTTCAGCAGACACTGGTGACAGACTCCAGCCAGCAGAGCTCGGTAATCACGCTGGGACAGAAGGAACTGTTCATCAGGAGGGACAGGAGCTGATCTGCTGGGGTTCAGACAGGTGTAGCACAGAGGGCTCTTCCTCTGAGGTCTGGCAGAAGTTTCAGCAGAAGTCACAGCTGTGAGTTGGTGTCCATCTGGACTCAGCTCCAGCACCTCGAATGAGTCATCTGTTCGGGTTTCTGTGACTGCACGCAGCTCTGGGTTGGACCGGGCTGAAGAGTTGTCAGCTGCTGGTTTAATAGGTTCAATCTCAAAATTTGGACAAATGTTATGTTCCTTCTGGTGCTGCGGCTCAGACAAGGCCCCGACTCTCCGTTGGTTCTTTGTGCAATTGAGGTCCGAAGGGCTGTCCTCAGAATCATCTGTTTCCATGATGAAGAAGCTCCCATCTGAATCTAAAGACTCGCTGATTCTGCCCCATCCCGGTTTGTTCTGATGGCTTGGCAAAGATTTAGTACACATGGGAGCGTTCCCGTCTGCTGCGATTTTCCCCAATAACGACTGAGAGCTGAAACTGCCGGCGAGGGAACTGGAAGATGTTTGGAGAGCTATCTGGGACAGGGAATGCACAGCTCCTTCAGCTCCTGATGGTTTCTGCATCACACCAACACCAGCTTGCCATTCCTCTTCGGTGTCCAGTATCTCGGTTTCTGCTTGCACCATTTCAAACTTTTCAAAATCACCGGATGAGGAGCTAGAGGATGTTGCATGACACGGACCAACGTTTGAACCTACGCCGGAGTCGTGACGCTGCTCTGTTTGCTTTTTATCGTTGGGACCTAGCACACTTTCTGACCTGCCGTCATCACAGTCAGTGGTGACACAGCGCTGATTACACATCTTTATTCCATGTCCAGAGCTACAACTTCCGGACCGGGGAGAACCTGAGCTACTCACGGAGAGCCTCTGCCATGAGGAGCTGAGAGGGTCAGAGCTCTCCAGGGTGGGACACAAATCCCACCCTGGAGGCGTATGCTCATAGGATGAATCTGAGCTTCGTTGTTGTGGCTCGTCGACTTCAGCTTCACTTTCTGTATGGAGCGTCTCGAGGGTTGTCCCCAGTGCTGTCAAACACAGCTCTGCCCCATTTGTCTCATCTTCGGTCTGCTTACAACCTCGGGCTGTGGCCCTACACAGAGACTCGTGATGCTTTTTAAATCTCTGCATCAACTTAGAGAAAACTTCCAGTGTGAAATCCACAGAGGAGTCTTTGACATTCCTGTAGCTATCAGGGATAAAAGACCCCTTATCTGATTCAGGGAATGGATCCACACACAGCAGACGCTTGACTTGGCCAACCAAACGCATGATTTTAGTACAGAGGAGTTCTTTTTCTGGAGGACCGGCATGGCAGTAATCGTAAAAATGGGTTAAAGCTTTCTGACAAGCTCGGCTTGCCGTGGCCACGACCTCCACAGGGGCGCCGAGCCATTTGTGGGTAACGGTGATGGAATAGGCTGCCTTAAGGAATGTGTGGAGTTCCTGCTGGCTTGTGACCACATCGCCCTCAGCTTTGGTGAGAAGGCCAGTTGCAAACGCCTCTCGGGCCTGCTTGAGGAGTGATGACCTTTGAGACGGAGGGCACTCCAGTGAGAAACAGTACGACAGCAAGCAGGTTCCCTGAGAGGTCTAAAGAACAAGAATAAAACAGAACGTTTAAAACCAAAACTCTTCCCAGCTCATCAAAAGTTGTGCCGAACCATTTGGTGTGAAATGCGATTCTGCTGGTCTCGGCCTCGAAGCAGATCTGAAACGAGGTCAGCGTCATCGTCAAAGACGTTCAGATGATCTCGCGTGTCTCACACCACATCAGTGTGCCGGTCACAGAAGGCCATTCAGTGGCTTATTCTCCTGCTCTTAGTTTTCTCTTTGAGCACACATCCGTTTGGTTTCTCAGCGGTGCACACAGTCATGTGGTTTAAAGGATGAAACATTCCAAGCTCCTCCTCCTCACATTTAATGCCAGCAGGAAGTCAGATGACCAAATACACGGGACTTTTCAATGTTTTTATCCGGCACATCTCTGTTTATATCCTGTATGTATGCTGGGGTGACGGTGGCACGGGAGTTGAGTGCTCGCCCCGCAATTGGAAGGTTGCAGGTTTGAGCCCCGCTCAGTTTGTTGCTGTCATTGTGTCCTTGGGCAAGACACTTAACCGTCCCTTCCTGGTGGTGGTGATTCAACGAGTTTAATTATGGTCTGCGTTTGTTTAAGTGGGGATCGTACAGAAGCCAGGACACCTTCGGAATATTGCTAAGATTAGAAGCATCCTTTCCAGGAGTGATGCTGAAAAACTAGTTCATGCATTTATTACATCAAGACTGGATTACTGTAATTCATTACTCTCAGGAAGTCCACAGAATGTAGTTAAAAGTCTTCAGCTTGTCCAAAATGCTGCAGCTAGAGTTCTGATGAGAATTAGAAAGAGAGATCATATCTCTCCTGTCTTAGCTTCCCTACATTGGCTACCTGTTAAATTCAGAATAGATTTTAAGATCCTTCTTCTCACATATAAAGCTCTTAATAATCAAGGTCCATCATACATCAGTAATCTGACTGTTCCATACGTTCCTAACCGAGCACTTCGCTCTCAGACTGCAGGTCTACTGGTGGTTCCCAGAATATCTAAAATTAGGATGGGAGGCAGATCTTTTAGTTATCAGGCTCCTCTCCTGTGGAACCAGCTCCCAGCTTTAGTCCGTGAGGCAGACACTTTGTCTACTTTTAAGAATAGGTTTAAAACATTTTTATTTGATAGGGCCTATAGTTAAAATCTGATGTTAGCCTAAATCTGGACAAGTGGGGGAGTAGAGGGAGGTGGAGTGTACAGTCGGTAAAGACGGCTCTCCCTTGCCCTGCCTCCAACATGCCTCCATCTAAATAGGATAGATTATCCAGAGTTATCTCTGTAGTTATGCTGCTATAGGCTTAGACTGCTGGAGGATACACTGACCACTTTTCACACTCTACTGCTTTCTTCTACAGTCTGCTCTTTAACTGTATTATTTCCTGCTATTTCAGCTGTTAACTTTATTTTCTCTCTAAGTGTTTTTCTCCCCAGAAGAAGCTACAACGATGTTCTGCTGAGCTGTGGTGGCCTCATGGAGGGGGCCATCGTCTAGCACACTGCTGCTAACCACTTAAACATTCTCCCTCTCCTGATAATAACTTTTACTTTCTTTGACGTTGGATGTGCTACTACTAGTTTACCCGTTTAATTATAGATCCACTAGGATAAATACAATAAAGTTTATCTCTCACCAAACAGAATATTTACTAAGAAATCACAACGTAACCATAGAAACACTACTTGGTGTGTGTGTGTGTGTGTGTGTGTGTGTGTGTGTGTGTGTGTGTGTGTGTGTGTGTGTGTGTGTGCCTGCTCTGTCTTCTCGATCCCCAGTGAGTCGTGGAGGATGGCTGCTTATACTGAGCCAGGATCGTCTGGAGGTTTCTTCCTGTTAAAAGGGAGTTTTCCTCTCCACTGTCGCTGCATGCTTGCTTAGTATGAGGGTTGCTGTAAAGACTCTGACAACTCAAACTAACTTCTGGTTCCTGAAACAGCAACACTATAGCTTTTTCCCATAGACCCACATAGGACTCCCTACACAGACGAGGCAAACTACAAACCATTGCAAATGTGTTGAGAAAAAACTAAACAACTGAACTGAAGCTGTTGATTTATATCCTAAGTGACCAGCTGCAACTAAAACAGATGATCAGACCTGATGTATGCGTCATAAACTGATGAAACATTACAAATGCAGATGAGTATCTGTCATGTTTACTACCTAGAACTAACTTCAGCACGGTTTCATTTTACGTTTCATGGCGCTGATGTAGATATTTCAAAAACCAACATTTGTGGGACACGTGTGTGCTACTGAAAAGTTATCTTAACTGCTCGCTGGTGTTGATTTGGCTGCCTTTTGGTCAGCGTTCGCCCACCGAGCACTACCTTTTTGTGGCTCTTTCGTTCCTGCTGCTCTGCCCTGTGTTTCGCCATGAGCACCGTGCTGGACTCCACTAGGCGAAAGTCTACTTCGCGTCCCCGTCCTTGGGGTTTGTGGGTTTTTTCTCCAAAAAGAAGAACCTGCACGAGGTGTGTGAGTTCTGTCGCAACAAAAATCAAGCAACAGCGATGACATGAGAGTTTACTCAACGTACCGCGTTGGTCAGCACATACAGAGGAGTGTACTGGCCACACACCACGGCCATCTTAGCTGCATGAGCGGCTGAAAGTAGACGATGACTTGTGTTTCCCAGTAAAGATTTCTAAAAAAAAAAAAAATTAATAAAAAGCCACAATATAAACCCAGGCATAGATACTGTAGAGTTGAAACTGTTTAAATACAACCAACAGTGCTGCCAACTCAGCTGGACTCACCATGTCAATAACTGGATTTGTCCTAAAAGTATGGAAGTCTCCATCATTCATCGACACCATTATGTTAGCTAGCAAGCCCAGAGAGGTTCCAATTCCCTATAAAACCAGAAACAAAGACTGATGATGCTGTGGATCACAGAACTTAGGACAGAAAATCTGATGTTCTGTTACCTTTTTATCAGGCTGAGGAAGTGAGTAAAAGCCAACCAGGGACGCCCAGATTAGCTCTGCTGCCTGAAGCCATAGGCCTCGAACAAAAACAAGATCTTTATAAAAATAGGTCAAACAGATCAAACGTCGTTTAATTAGCAACAATAATCTCACCCAGCTTTTGCAAAATTACGCCACGAACTTGAACGCTAACAGCTTGTATGAGAACCCTGTCGCTGTCTGTGTGGTAGACCCAACAACCTGGAACCACAGACGAACACTTGTTACCCTTTGAGTCATCATTAAAGTTATTTAACACAAGAAGATAATAATAATAATAATAATACATTTTATTTAAAAGCGCCTTTCAGTGCACCCAAGGTCACTTGACAGAAAATAAGTTCAGAAAATACATTAAAACCGCAATAAAACGCAAAGAAGAAAAAACAAAGAGAGAAACAGTTCAATAAGATCAGAGGTTGTAGGCAGATTTAAACATGTGTGTTTTGAGTTTGGTTTTGAAAAGGGTAAAACTGTCGATGTTCCTGATGTCTGGGGGAAGTGAGTTCCAAAGACGGGGAGCAGAGCGGCAGAAAGCTCTGCTCCCCATGGTAGTGAGACGGGCAGAAGGAACCGCAAGATGGATGGAAGAAGATCTGAGTGAACGGGATGGTGTGTGAGTACTTATAAGGTCTGAGATATATGGAGGAGAGAGGTTGTGGATGGCTTTGAAGGTATGGAGGAGAATTTTGAAGATGGACCTGAATTTAACTGGGAGCCAGTGAAGCTGCTGGAGAACCGGGGTGATGTGGTGAAAGGAAGGGGTTCTGGTGATAATACGGGCTGCTGAATTCTGGACCAGTTGCAGTTCATGAAGGAGTTTGTTGGGGAGACCATAAAGAAGTGAATTGCAATAGTCGATACGGGAGGTGACGAGGCTGTGGACGAGAATGGCGGCAGTGTGAGGGGTCAGTGAGGGGCGGAGACGGTTAATGGAACGTAGATGGGAGTATGCTGACCGAATTAAGTTATTAATGTGAGCCTGAAAAGAAAGTGAGCTGTCGAGAATGACACCCAGACTCTTGACGTGAGGGGAGGGGGAGACTATGGTGCTGTCAATAGTTAAAGAAAAGCTGTCAGATGTTGAGAGGGTGGAGTTAGTGCCAACTAGAAGAAGTTCAGTTTTATTGCCGTTGAGTTTGAGGAAATTTGAGGTGAACCAGGATTTGATTTCTGAGAGGCAGAGTGTAAGGGAGGATGGTGGGAGAGTTGAGTTGGGCTTACTGGAAATGTAGAGTTGGGTGTCATCCGCGAAGCAGTGAAACTGGATATTGAATTTGCGGAAGATTTTGCCGATAGGGAGGAGATATGCTATGAAGAGGAGGGGCCCCAGGACAGAGCCCTGGGGCATGCCTGACTTGACTGGGGAGGGTTTTGAGGTAAAGGATTTTAACTAGATGAACTGAGTGCGGCCAGTAAGGTAAGATTGAAACCAGCGGAGGGGGGTGTGAGTGATGCCTAAGGAAGAGAGTCTATTGAGGAGGATGGGATGAGAAATGGTGTCAAAGGCCGCACTCAGATCGAGGAGAATGAGAATAGAGATTAAACCAGAATCAGCAGCAATGAGTAGGTCATTAGTGATCTTGATGAGAGCTGTTTCTGTGCTGTGGTGGGGACGGAAGCCAGACTGAAACTGTTCATAAAGGTTATTGCAGGTGAGATGGGAATGGAGCTGAGATGCAACAGTTTTCTCTAGGACTTTGGAAATGAAGGGAAGATGGGAAATGGGATGGAGGTTATTGAAATCATTGGGATCTGAACCACGTTTTTTTAGAATAGGGCTGACTGAAGCGGTTTTGAAGAGGGATGGGACCGTACCAGAGGATAGTGAGGAATGAATAATGGCTGTTATAAAAGGGAGCAGAGAAGAAAGGCACGATTTAACTAAAACAGTTGGAATAGGGTCCAGTTGACGGGTGGAAGGTTTGGATTTGGTGATGTAATCTAATATTTCTGAGGGATGGGGAAGTTCAAAGGAGGAGAACTGAATGGAGGGTTCAAATAAATCAGGAGAGGGAGGGGAGGAATGAGGTAGAGAGATGGATTCTATTGACCTTCTCATTAAAAGACTGAAGGAGAGAGTTACAGGTTTCTGAAGAGTAAAGATGGATGGGTAAGGAGTCGGGAGGCTGAAAAATGCTGTTCATGATGGAAAATAATGTTTTAGTGTTGCTGGAGTTGGACGAGATGAGACCGGAGTAATACTGTGATTTGGCACGGGAGATGGAGTCCTTGTAGAGAGAAATCTGAGCAGAACATAAGTCTTTATGGATGGTGAGACCTGTTTTCCTGTAGAGTCTTTCAAGCGTCCGGTTAGTAGCTTTCAAGGAGCGTAGGGCAGGGGTGAACCATGGAGCAGACCGAGTAAAATATACAGAGCGGGATTTGCTGGGAGCAAATGAATTAAGGATAGAAACCAGACCGTTATTGTACTGAATGACAAGATCATCGGGACTAGAGGATGAATCTTGGGTCAGGGTGGCAAAGCTGGAGGACAGGGAGGCTAGATCAATGTCCTTAATATTATGAAATGAAATGATAGTGTCATGATCCGCCCCAGCCTCCCTGACTGTGTCTCTCCTGCCCTGATTAGCCTAATTGTTCTCACCTGTCCCTGATTACGCTGCCCATGTGTTCCTGATTCCCTTGTGTATTTATATCTCCCTCCTTGTTGCTGTCTTTGTCGGTTCATTGTCGTTTGTGCATGTTCGTTTGTCCTGTCGCTCCCAGTCTACAATTAAACATCGTTTTATTTTTTTCATCCGTCTGCCTGATCTTCTGCCTCCTGGAACCCACCACCACACATGGTCTGCCACCTCCACCCGCAGAACATGACAGATACGGGGTGACTTGATGATGGAGAGACGGAGGGGAACAGAAAAGGAGATGAGGAAGTGGTTCGTGAAAGGGAGCGGGTCAGCTGTACAGTTGGAGGGGGTCGGGCCGGAGCGGCAGATCAAATCCGGGGTGTGACCTTTAATGTGAGTGGGAAAATTGGCATGTTGATGAAAACTGAAGAGGATGCTACCTGTTGTTCCACTGTTGTTGATCAAACTGCTCAGGATGTATTCTGCCTTCTGAAGTCTTCCTATAAAATGTTGAACAGACACTCCTTTTTAAAAGTGCAGTCTACAATATATGAGCTTGATATGTTCTTTCCCACCACTCATCAATAGGTACCAGAGTTAACATAGACCCGAGCCTGCCGGATGACCAGCTGAGGGGCTATGGGAGTGTCAGGGTGCTGATGGTGGAGCAGCTTGGCGATCTTCAGCAGCTGGCTAGATTCATCTCTCCAGTAGATGAAGCGGTCCACTAAGAAGACCACCGCCATTGCTGAGGGTCCCTCCTGAGCCATGATGGATGTCTTCAGAAGAACCTGGAAGAACAGAAAACCGGTTTAAAAGGTCAGGTGTTTTCAAAGCTTCCACACTGCAAGAAGCTGTATGGTTGTTACCAGTAGTTGGGTCAGATGTTTGCTGATGAGATCACTGAGGTTGGTCTTGTCATTGAAGCTGACCGACTTCTTATACTGCCACTTCTCTGGCACAAAAGGCCACTTCATCTCCACGGCCTCCTGCAGCAGAAAGGCCAGCTCTGCGCATAGCAAGTCTACGGGGAACAAATCCAACTGCACTGACAGGCGACTCAGAGGAAAAGAAAGCATCTGAAGTAAGTTGTACCTGCAGCAACTTCCGGAAATTCTAACATGCTAAATTTCTTCTGTGAATCCCTTCATGACTTACTTTGTAATGACCCAAGCTCAAGACAGCATGCCTTAAAGGGGCATTATGGAAGTGTGACAGCCAAAACATGTATAGAAATAATAAAAGTCTTCTTCATACATTCTCCTGCAACGCCCTGGTCCTGTAGAATGAGCCCTGGCATTTTTACTGTGATTGCCTGTTTTTCTGTAAAATCACAGAAAAAGAGAGATGCTCGGGTCGAGCAGGCTGCTTCATGCGCGTTCACGCTCAGACATCGCCCGTAGCATTTGCTATCCGTAGCTTTAGCAGCAGAGAGAGAGGCAGTGCCACTTTGTCGCTGTTCCTAACGCCTAGTGACAAAGCTAGCTACATTTCTGAGGACCCTTAGCTACTTTCTGTAGAACTTTCTTCTAGATATTTCCTGCTAATTAGCAACAAAATAGTCAGTCACTGTGTCTCGTTATTGGCGCTATTTAAACCAATGTTGTAAAATGACTTCTGCCCAGCCCAGATGTGCTCACATGTGCACCCGTGAGCCGTGGTTCCGCTGGATCGCGTCTGACTTCTGACAGATGCACTCTGAACTTCAGATCTTCAGCGTGCTGTTAATAGCCTGAATGGGAATCATTTCTTGATTTTTTTTAGTTACATCCACAATGTTCTGTGTGTGAGGTTTACAATGTCAGAACACCTGCATGAGACAGGTGTTAATTACAATCTACCAGAATGACTCGCCACCTTCAGATTTCTCCAACACCGTTAAAAATGATCAAATACGGAACATATCGGCGTGCGCAGGCCAGAGCGCTGAAGCTCGGCGCATTGTTATTATGAAGCTAGGGCACATGTGGAGGACACGCGCGCAAAAATATACTTGTTTTCAATTACATTTATTGGGCCCACTTACTTTTTCTTAAGCCCACCCACAAATGAGTTTCTGGCTACACTAATGGTGACATTTGACAGACTTCTCTGAGCTCCGCAGCCATTACACTTTTCACCTCGCGCACCCCCTAGCGGCAGCTCGCGCACCCCTGGGGGTGCGCGCACCACACTTTGGGAATCTCTGTCTTAAGGTAATAACCCAGCAGAGCGTGTGTGTGTGTATTTGTTAGCGGCTCCGCCCTCTCGATCTTCTAGGCGACAGCATTTGTTGCATTTTTAAAACAGGAAGTGGGAGTGGAGTAATACTCTGGTAGGGGGTGACTTGCTCTTTAAAAGTTGTGTTTCATTATTTTGTGCTGTTTGTCATGTTTAGAATGCTAATAAATCTTACAGCGAAGGGCTAACGCAGTAACATCATACCAAAGTCCTGTCTGCTCATTTAAAGAGCAAGTCACCCCCTACATTGTTGATGTAATAACTGTCCCAGGCGTTTTGTGTGTGCCATGCCCTCTCCTAGCTTGCACAGCAATCTGAGGTGTGCTGATCGCACCCCTACCTGGTTCAGATGAGCTTTTTTGGTTACTTTTGTGCAGTTTTTGATTCTCAAATAAAGCAAACAGCACCATCTTGTGGCTGCTGATTCCACAGACTTTTTTGGAAAAACTTTCTCTTTCCTCAGACTCTTTCCACTCTGTCTCCGTGTCTGGTCGGAAATATAAGGCATCCAAATAACAAAGTTTTAAGTATCAGGCCTGACGTTAAAGTAGAGCTTTGATGCTCCACCTGAGAGTAAATCTGTAAGGCTGGTCACCATCATTCAGACATTAACTCTGTTTGCTTCACAGCCAGACAGGACACGGGAGAAAAAGAAAAACGGACAGACATCCTCCTTTTGGCCCTCAACAATTTTCAACTAGATCTGATTTGTTTTTTAATTAAACACCAAAATGTGTCTGACCTCTGGAACTGCTGTAGTCCATCCTCATGGCTGCAGACACCACCGGGTTGAGCCGAGATGCTTCTGCTGCTTTGAGACATTCCTGGAGTAAATCCTCCACCTCCATTCTGGTGGGCTGAATCTAAGTTGGTGCCAGGAACGTCCGAGTCCTTTTCAGATTTGTTTTCTCAACAAGAACACTGCAGGAGTGAAAACCCTGTTAAACGAGAACACGTAGGTTCAGGACAGCTTGTAATATAAGATTATTGTTGTTATTAAATGTTAAAATAAAATGATAATAAAAGATTCGATTTAAATAAAAACATCTAAAGAATCATTTTTTCCTGAATGCAACTGATTCAAGGTAAAAAAATTCTGTTCAAATGAGATATTCCCAGGGAAAATAAAACAGAAAGTAAGTTATGTATACTTCCTGTAGTATTTGATGTAAGGAAAGCGTTACCAGTAAGCAGCAGTACTCTGATTCTCTGGTAGGCTAACTGATAGGACCACTAGGCCAGACACCCTTTCTTCGATCAGGTTATAATGAAACCATATTAAGAAAAGTGAAATTACTCCAAACGACTACCAATAGCAAATAAATAAACAAATAAATAAATAAAAAGAAAGACAGAAAAAGTCAATAACGTTACACTCGGTGTACTATTATATTAGTGAACTATTTATGAAGAATAGTCTAAACAACAACTCAGTCACAGACACTTCCGGTCTTTGATCAGGTATAATAAAACCATATTTTGAAAAGCGAAATAACTCCAAACGACTACCAGTAGCACAAAAATACATAAAATAGACAGAAAAAGTCAATAATGTTACAGTCGGTGTACTATTATATAATCGAACTATTTATGAGGAATAGTCTAAACAACAACAACAACTCAGTCACCGACACTTCCGGGTTCTCGGAGTCTTTCTGGAAGGGCTGGCCGGCGTCATTTGGAATTCTAGGATGTCCAAGGAAGGTCCCGCCTTTCTCGCCTCTGATTGGCTGGAAGGACACTGCTACGACTGGCTATTTCGTGTAAGAGGAAACGGTTTTCTCTCGCCGCAGGTTTTTATGTTTACAGCCATATCTTGAGGAGTTTTTTTGAAGAAAACTAAGTCTGTTTACAAGTTAGAGCACATCTCTCATCATAAATTAAATGTATATCATTTAATCAAAAAATAAGTTAAAGCTTATTATGATTTGTTTTTCACCAGTTTTCATTATTCTAGAGAAGAAACAGACCTAATGCACACAGCTGGGCAGAATAGGGTAGTTTTATTAAATGCCAAATTCAGGTAAGGCACACATGCTTATCCTAAGTACTCTAGCCAAGAGATATAAAGTAAGTCCAACAGCTTGATAAATGCTACAAGATTTAAATTCACATTTTACGTGTTTCAGTTTTTTTTATGAAACATATAATATTTTGCAAACCAGAACAGAACGTTTATTACAGCGCTAAGTTGACATTCTGTTTACTAAACTCCCCAAAACAGCTTTCCTCTGGTGGCAGAAGGACACAACAGTCATCACGTAGCGAGGACAGCCAGTTTGCTGTTAAATGAAATAGCCAATCGTAGTGGAGCCTTTCTAGCCAATCAGAGATGAGACAGGCGGGACTTTCCTTGGACATCCTAGAATTCTAAATGACGCGGCCGGCCCCAAAAGTGATGCGTTCATGACCGTAGGAAAGCTCGTAACTAAAGCATTTGGATCGTTCAGGCATTTTGAAATGAATTTTTTTACATGTTTAGCGTACGCAGCTACCTTTTGGGTCACACACGAAAACACACCAGGTTCCGTTTCTCAATAGTTTTGTTTCCAGCATTCGAGCAGATTTGCGTTTCCTCCTGTGCGGGAGTGCAGATTATTGATGCGCTCCAGCTTTGGCACAGCACACGCTCCTCTTTCCGCAGACGTGCACGTCCCAGCGCACCGCCGCAAAAACCCCTCACTACACTCCTTATGCACTTTTTTCAGATATGCATTAACGTTTTCGCTTTTCTCTCGTCTTTAAACATCCTCAAAGTTCAAACCTTCAGACGCAGAACACAAAGCGCTGTAAAAAAAAGCATGCTAAATGGAACTAAAAAGCAGTGAAAGGTGAACCATAACTGCACTGATGTTTGCTGATTTTGGTTTGAAACAGTTTTTCTGTGGTGTCACGTGTGCATAAACAACGGGTGGAATTGTTCCGTTTTGTTTTTGGTTTCTGGTATATTTAGGGAGATGTTCTTGGAGGGTGGTTCTGTTTCTGTTGATAAATACTCAGGTGTCAGATCTGTTGTCTGAAGAGCTGCAGAGCATCAGTTCCTTTGCCAATGCGCGGTTCGGTGTGGATTCTGGACTCGTTATTTGTGAGGTTGTCCCAGTGTTGATGGTAATAAGCTGCTGTTATGTTGAAGAAAGAACCAAGAATAATTAAGGCTTGCTGCTATTACATGTATTTATATAAACATGTTAAACACATGTGTGGTTTTTTGTACGTGGCTTATCTCAGCACCCCCTTATGTTCCCACGGCACTGCTTGGTAGACTGACCCTATTGAGAACTTTTGTCCCAAAGTTGATGCAACATAAGTGGGGCTCATGTATGTTGTTGTCCACTGGAAGTTAATTCCATTGATTTCAATCAAACTTCAATACTCCGTATTCCTAATGAGTTATTATTCAAAAACTGCACGAGCTCTCTTTTGCATCTTTTGAAGACGTCCAACCCAGAGGAGACCCAAGGAAAGACCCAGGAGATCCAGACGATGTTTTTTTAAAGGGCCAAGGAAGGTTTGGAAGATGTTCAAGAGTGAAATCCAAATAAATGGTGTAAAGGAGGTCACAATGTCAAATATTGGGGCTTCTGATAAAATAAATCTCACTAGGAATCATATTGGGGTAATTCTAGGACTTTTAGTGATTTAAACAATCAATCAATCAAAGCTTTATTTATAAAGCGCCTTCCGCAACCCTGTCAGGAAGCCCAAAGCGCTGAAACGCAATTGAGGTAGACAGTTAGTGGAAGCATTTAGTTAGTGGAAGGGAATTTGTTAGTGGAAGAGAAGTAGTTGGTGAAAGTTTACAGTGGAAGAAAGGGTGAAAACCCTTCTTCCACTAACTTTTTTCAAATCTGGAAATGACTAAAAAATAAGGAAATAGCGCCCCTAGTGGTAACCGAATTCTGGAAGCGCAATCTGGAATTTGGATTCCAAAATCGTGCTGGACAGATGAGGAAGTAGAAGTACGATTCTGGAAGTTCCACTTTCCAATTGGATTCTGATGGAAAACCCTAACCCTTCATTCCTGCACCGGGGCACAATTTGCTACAGAGGCTGACCGACCGTATCAGACAGTGACAGTGAGACCTACTACACAGCAGGTACTTGAATCCTTTGTCCACAAGACATGACACTTACATTAAAGACACATATGACTTAGTACAAAGATCAAAAACCTAAATATTCCTGATGAAGCCATCCTTTTTACAATGGATGTGGAGAGCCTCTACACTAATATTGATATCCAAGAGGGCATAGATTCTATTAAGAGTGTTTTTCAAGTATTCAGACAGTAAGAGACCAGACAAAGAGCTGCTGCAATTGTTAGAAATCAACCTAAGATGAAATGACTTTGAATTTAATGGAGAATATTTTCTACAGATTAAAGGTACGGCCATGGGCAAGAAGTTTGCTCCTGCCTATGCTAATATATTTATGGCAGAATGGGAAACGACTGCCCTACAGAAGTGTGGTAAAAAATCCTTATATTTTAATAGATTTTTAGACGATATTTGGGGAATATGGCCATACTCAGAACAGGAGTTTGAACAGTTTTGACAACCCTCAACAGCCACAACAAGTCCATTAAATTAAAAGCCTCAACAAACTACCTCAGTGGATTTTTTAGATACAACCAACTTTAAGTGACCACAATTTCATTCTTCTCACACTCTTGACATCAAAGTCTTTTTTAAACCAACTGATTCACACGCATTGCTCCACAAAACTAGCTTTCATCCAAAACACACATTTGCTGGAATTGTTGTTGAGATTCCACAGAATTTGCACACAAACCTGTGATTTTTCAGGAAGCAACAAAAACACTTGTCCCTGCTTTGTCCAGCAGGGGGTACTGCCACACCTTTCTCAGGAAAATTCATAAAACCTTCCTGGAAAAGAAACCCGTTTACGTGTCACCTCAAATGCCTTTGGTTATCCCATACTCACCACAAATGTTGGGCTGTATCAGGTTGGTCAAAAAGAACATTCAGACTCTTGTTCACAGCACAGGAGAAACAAATACCTCAGCGACGACTTGGTTAAAGCTAAGCTTAAACTTAACAATGTAAACAAATCCAGAGACCTGGGGGATTTTGTAAACACAAACAGTGGATCCACAATGTGTACTCTGACACAATCTACCTATCGCTATGTAAAGGGAATGCTCGCATTTCAAGCTGTGTTTATCTGATGTCATGTACAACCTGCTGCAGAATGTTTGTGAGGGAAACTAAAAACATGACCTGGTCAGATTCACTCAACACAATTACAACATCCTGAGAAAGAAGGAGACCAGCACACATTTGGTTCAACACTTTATTGCACATGGATGGAAGTCTGTTAATGCCACGGCGATCGAGTCAAACCCTGACTGGACCACACAGCAACGGAGAAGAGCTGAGAAGCTGTGGATTGTTAAGTTGGACACGGCACATCCCAGAGGCTTAAATGAGAGCAGACCTCGGGCTGTGACAGTTGTCTAAAACCACCCCATCCATCCCGATTCTACCCGGTTATGTTGATGCATTTTACGGTGTGCTTTGAAACAGGATGGACTGATCTCAGGTAACACTAGTATCTTCTTTGTTTATCCAACCATGTATGTGATGTGGGTGGGTCTGGAGCAAGCCCCCACAATGCGGGTCAAAAATTGGTATCAACCCGGAAGTGCCAAAATTGCAGTTCCACCCTCATCCACTAGGGGCTGGTGTCAGAAGCGAGCAAATCCTCATTGACTCCCATGTTAAAAATACCAATTTCACAGCAGAAATAAACATGTTTACAGCCTGGTACCAGAACATGTTTTAGGTTTAAATGATCTAGTTTACACTCATGACAACTCTGAGGGGGGTGATTTTTTTCTCACTCTTCTAAGTGTATTAAAAGCCTAAAATTCTGTATAATTAATGAGCATCAGACCCACGTGACCACAGAGCTAGCTCCGTGGAAAGGCCTCAGTAGAGCCTCGGTCTGGCCTGGAAACTGCTCCAGGATTTTGAGTCTCTGTGTTTGTGTATTCTTGTTTGGATATTTTTTGTGCAATTGTTGGACAAAATGACTTGCTGTGGCATTAATTGCACTAATACAGCGTCCAAGGAGTCTCCACTTCATTTTCCGCACTTGCACTAGCTGAGCTTAGATTTTAACATGTACTGTTTAACCATGAAATTTAAATGTAATAGGGTAAAACCCAGTGCATTTAACATCAGATCAGATTTCAGATTCAGATTTCAGATTTATTGGCCAAGTAAAATTACATTTACAAGGAATTTGTCTTCGGTAGATGTTCGCTCTCTAAAACATACAACAACCATAATAAATGAGAATAAAAAAAAATGCTGCATAATGCTGCACTTTAGAAAATGGGTTGAAATATAACATGTTGGTGGAGCTGGGTTCCCACTATCGGCTTGTGGAGCTCTCGGGAGACCGATGTTTTCCACCCGTTCTCCCCGCAGCTCGGCGCATCTCTGTCTGATCGCAGCTTCTGTCTGCTGCGTGGGCTGTCGGCTTGTGGAGTTCTGGGATGGAAACCTTTCCACCCGGTTCTCCCCAGCGGCAGCTCTGCACATCTCAGATCGCAGCGGCGCTTGTCTGCTGTGCGGCTGCCGGCTTGTGGAGCTCTCGGAGACCTCTGTGTTCCACCTGGTTTTACCCAGCGGTCAGCCCGGCGTATCTCTGACTCAGAAGCTCTGGTGTTGTGCACAGTTAACTCCGGTTGTAGCGAGGTTGCTACCTCCGTTAGCTTAGCTCCCACCTCCGCATTAGCTTTGGGTTAGCTTCAGGTTAGCTTGTAGCTAGTTCGACCGGGTGTCGTCAGTTGATCCCAGCCTTACAGCCCCACCCTCAGCTCCACCTCTCTTCTCTGTTGTGGAATTGTCTGGGCTTGACGGAACCTGTGACATGGTCAAAACGACGGTGGTGGCCGCCTCCCATTTGGCCTCAAAAACGTGTTATTGGAGCCTATGGAAACCCATTGTCCAATATTTATATGTCAATGGTCTGGAGGTAGGGCTAAAAGAGGCCCCTCCCGCAACAACCTCCTAACCTTAACCAGGTAGGGTCTGGATCCTCTCCCACTCCCCCATCCCACCCTGACCCCCACCCTGAGGGACTCACTGTACCCCTTTCTTCAACCCGACCCTGTGGTGATTTTAACCTTCTTTGTCACACTTCATCTTAGAAATCTGATCCCTATGGGATTTACTAAACCCCATGGTGAAGTTCAATATGGGGGGTGGACCATCAGCATTTGGGTGACCCAGACTGGGTGACCTTCGGCGGTGACCCTTTTCAATACAGTTTCCCCTAACCAAAACTGGTCATCTGATAATGCTAACCAATGTTTTTTCCTCAGCAGACACTGCAGCGGGGTTCCTTCTTGGGTCTCAAGGAGGGGCAACATTGTAATTCCACCCAGCTTACTGCAGGAGTGCCCGTGCACTGGAGTTCTGGAGGGTTCTGTCCTTCAGAGCTCTCTTTACATAACTCTTAACCATGGGACTTTGTTCCTAACACTGCCTTGTACAACACTTCAACAACGACAGAACATTAAAATATCCATAAAAGACCAACGTGGATCACAGTTCTTGTATCCACACCTAACCCCTTCTCAAACAGTTACTACCTCTGGACAAAGTACGTAGAATGATTTAATACTCTAATGAAGGGATGAAATTAGTGTTTCTTCCAAGGGAAGGAATCTTATGGTGACAACCCACTCATAACCCACAAACTTCAAACAAAGAGAGTTAATATGGACGACAGAGGTGTGGATGACATGCATCGGCCCATGCATCGCCTTTGGCTCCCCATTTCAACTGTCTAGTCGTTGGATGAGGCAGGGGGAGTCATCGAGATAGCCAATACAAACCTAACCCAGGAACGAGCACGGATGACAGCCTTGAGTAAAAGCTTCACCAGGATGGTTGACAGTTATGTGGACCCATGGACATAGTTTTTTTTGGGGGGTGGGATGGGGGGGTCATGTCCAAAGTCACTTTTTGTCCCCTGAACATTTTACCGTGCAAAAACAATATTACGCTGTAATAAACAGACACTGGTTGAGCACTAGGACCAAGCAGTGTTGAAGCCTGTTTCCCATCAGAACCTTCCATAAGCTCATCTATTGGCTCTGCTGATACTTGCTAACGTGTGGTTGGCTGTTCCTGCCACTTGTGTACTCAAGAGTTTAGCATTCCCGAGATTGCATAAAAGAGCCTCTAGGCTGTGGTTTTATACATATTTTTGTATACTTCCTGTAAAGACGGCCCTCCGGTCCTCATGCCAGTTGTGTGTGTGTGTGTGTGTGTGTGTGTGTGTGTGTGTGTGTGTGTGTGTGTGTGTGTGTGTGTGTGTGTGTCCCTTCTAAAGTCAAACCTACGTCCAAGTGGGAACCAATGGTTCAGATGATCCACCTGGAAGGAAAAGATCCTCCGCAATACCTTTCAGCCAATTTTTCTCTTGTGTGTGCGGCGGGTCCGTGATTAGAGGTAATAAGAAGAGGTAATTTTGTTTTACCATTTCTGTTGCTGCTGATTCCCTTTGTGTAAACCAATTAGTTTAAGTTGATTTTTTAACACCAAAGCATGCATCCTCCTCGTGACCCCTAGGCCCCTAGAAGGCCTGGGATGTAACATATGTAATTTTTATAAATCTGGTATTAAACAATATAACTCTTTTAAAGTTGTGTGTTAAATGCTTCTGTAATGAAAATCTGATGCTTTAGAAAGAAGAAAGCAGGTTTGTGTGACATAAAATATTTATTGTTAAGAAATACAAGCTTTTCAGATTGAATTTGTAAAGTTTTTACCATAAAGATGGCAGAAATTCAGCCTAGTGCTGTGTAGTTTGTGTGTGAATAAGGTCTTCACCCTTAATAAATCCAATATGATAGTTTGGTGAAATACAAAATCAAAAATGTAAACAAAAATATGACAAGATAACCCTAATAGAGGTCATTCTAGACAAATGACGGGTTTTAAATGACTTTGGTCAGTACTGATGTCTGAAGGATTAAGCTGAAGGACAGGACCCAATACTGACAGCGCCACTGACCAGAACCGCTTTATTAAAGCTTGCCTGGCTCTTGTTGATGATCAGGTTCTTCATACAACCCACGTATGGCTTTCTGGTGGCAATGCTGTCTGGGAGGAAGAAGTCTGAGGAAAGGAGAGACCAATGAGAAGATACAGGGCTTTATTCTCAGAGAAAAAACCCAGGAGGAAGTCCTGTTACGCACCTGGAGCTCCACCGATGAATACCGGCTTCCTTGTGTCTGTTGAACTGGGGCTAACAGGTCCCACAACGTGGCTGATGGCTGAGTCCATGTTCAGCTGCACCACGTTGGCATCCCGGATCACTGAGCAGGACACAAGCCAGAAAGCATCACTTCCAGTTATCTTTAGTTCAGTTCAGTTCAGTTCAAACATATACATTCACCAACATTTCATAAAATCATTCCATGCAGTTGTTTGAAAAGGAGTAGGGAGAAGTGTATACTTATTTAGCCCTACCCCCTCAGGTTTACATCCGCATCATCAAAATTTAAACAACATTTACAATGCCTTCAAAAAAACACAAAACAACAACAACAACAAAAAAACAATAATAATTAATAAATAAAATTCTCATGTTCAACTAGAACTATATTTAGATTTTCTAATTTGTAGAAGAGATTAAACATCAGTTTGCATGCCGTCCTGGGTTAATTGCATTTTCTTCATTCTTATACTTATTTAACATTTCTTTTTTGAGTTTTATTTTAAACTGGTTTAACTAATTAGACGTACATTTAGAATGAATGCAGGGTTGAAAATGGATGGAAGAGCTGCCGTACTTCTTTCTATTAAACGGTTATATTGATGTAACAAAAATAGAACAGAAATGTATTTTGTTGTCCCTCAATGAGGAAATGTTGGTGTAACAACAAGCTTCACAACAATAAAATACCGTACAGTAAACAAAAATGTTAAGACTGAATGGATTTGACCACACATAAACCCTAACCTTTTAAAGATACGGTTAAAGGATTACTGGTTTTGTTGGGTGCAGTGCAGGGCTTAATTTGAGTCGGATCTTGCTGGAACAAGATCCGGGAACCATCTTATTTTGAAAGGACTGTTCCGGCAACTGTCTGCTAGGATCTGGCAACTCACGCGACAAACTTGTGCTATACGCAGGGTCCAAATTACAGGTGAGCTAGGGAGCACCTGGAAGCCCTCAACGTCCACACCCAGTGGGAGCCCAAAACGATCCTGGTTCTACTTATATTACATTACTCATGTGGACTCTCCAGGGATTATTCTGAGCTGAGAGGCGCAGAGCTCTGATCGTTGACGCGCTCCAGACAGATGCGTCCTGAGCACGGCCACAGTAACATTCTCAAAGGGGGGTTGTTCCGGGATCTGTTTTGCCTTTAGCGAACTTTGGTTTGACGTCAGTATTTGCGTTCCAGGAATGTTCGATTTACAAATTGAGCACTGGGGCAGTGTGGTTTCTGGAGTCTAATAGCTGTTGGGAGAAAGGACCTACATTCCTTAAGGGAACACCTGGATCAGAACTAATTGGACGTAAATAAGACTTCTTCTGAAGCTGGTGTTCACACCTTCTGGGAATAGAAACCTGACTTAGGCCCTGTCCACACGTAGCCGGGGATCTGCCAAAACGTAGATATTTTTCTACGTTTTGGCCTGTCATCCACACGAAAACGGATCTTTTTAAAAACTCCGGCCAAAGTGAAGATCTGTGTTTTCTCCGTTTTGGGTGTCTGAGTGTGGACAGACAAAACCGGAGATTTAAGGTCCGCAACGTCACTTTCCGCAACAAAAAAATGCTGACATCACGTGTGCGACCTGTGTTTACACTAGCCGACATCATGGAAGCCCTCAGAGCTGCGCTCGCTTTATCAATTGTCCAAGCGCTTTCTGCTTGTTTGTTTTTGCAAGAGGAATTACTGCTCCTTGCGGAAGACCACAGACGAAGGACGAGGTTAAGAACGGGGGAAGTACTGCCGCCTACAGGTCTGGCATGTCCTTAACAACGTATTTATCCGGGTACGTGTGGACAGTTTATTTTTAAAATGAGGTGATGTGGATGCAAGTTTTTGGAGGGGCGGATATTCGTTTAAAAAAAACCCGGCTATGTGTGGACTAGGCCTTAAGCTCAGGTGCCCTGGTTTTCACTTTTGTATAATCATTAAACTTTGATGAATAAAATAATTTTAAGTTGACCAAATATGATAGCTGGAAAGTCTTTTTTTACATTGCTGCAGCTTCGTTATCAGTTTTACTTCATATAAACTGTTGATAGTTCAGGTGTGACCAAAGCCAGAGCAATTTTTATTTTATTGGTTCTGCGCAAATTCAACCGGTCTGACTGTCTTACCTGTGATTCTGTGCCAGCTTCCATCACACACACTCTGTTTGGGTGCTACTTTGGTAAAGAACTCATTTCTCCCGTTGTTTACAAGTACCACCACCTGCAAAAAAGAAACCGCCATGTTTACATAATCTTTGTTCCCTGTGTCCTGTCTGGCTGTAAAGCAATCAGGATTGATGTCTGAGTGCCAAAGACAAGCCGTACAGTTTTATTCTCACAGGTGGAGTGGTATAGCTTCAGCTGTAATAATGATCACCTCGCACCAAAACTTTACTGGAAATATTTTCAGTTGTTTTAAAGCCGAACGGGCACAAAGACAGAAATGAAAGCAAAATGGGGATAGAGGAGGAAGAGGTTGGGGGGGGGGGGGGGGGGGGGGGGGGGGTTGGGGTCACAAGAATAAACAATAAAGGATGTACAAGAATGCAAAAATAAAACAGAACCAAAACATCACTGCACCAACTGCACGAGGATGTATAACCATAACATTGCTTTGCTCTGTAATAAATCACAGTGCATTTAGTGCCAACCACAACCTTAAGACGTGTGTTGAAAATGCCCAACTCCATCCGTATAAGAGCACCATGTGAGCACCTGTGTGTGTACACGTTCTTGCATATGTAAGGTTTCTCTATAGCTGTGGTTCCCAAACTTATTTAGCCGCGCACCCCCTTCTATGTCCCGACCATGTCGACGCACCCCCCAGCCCCCACATCAGGGCATGGCTCTATATATATATATATATATATATGTATATATATATATATATATACAGGTGCTGGCCAGTAAATTAGAATATCATCAAAAGGTTGAAAATATTTCAGTAATTCCATTCAAAACGTGAAACTTGTACATTATATTCATGCAATGCACACAGACCAATGTATTTCCGATGTTTATTACGTTTAATTTTGATATTTATAGGTGACAACCAATGAAAACATCAAATCTGGTATCTCAGAAAATTAGAATATTCTAAAGGCCAATGAAAAAATGTTTGTTTCTCTAATGTTGGCCAACTGAAAAGAATGAACATGAAAAGAATGTGCATGTATAGCACTCAATACTTAGTCGGGGCTCCTTTTGCCTCAATAACTGCAGTAATGCGGCGTGGCATGGACTCGATCAGTCTGTGGCACTGCTCAGGTGTTATGAGAGCCCAGGTTGCTCTGATAGTCGTCTTCAGCTCCTCTGCATTGTTGGGTCTAGCGTATTGCATCCTCCGCTTCACAATACCCCATAGATTTTCTATGGGGTTAAGGTCAGGCGAGTTTGCTGGCCAATCAAGGACAGGGATACCATGGTCCTTGAACCAGGTGCTGGTGGTTTTGGCACTGTGTGCAGGTGCCAAGTCCTGTTGAAAGGTGAAGTCTGCATCCCCATAAAGTTGGTCAGCAGCAGGAAGCATGAAGTGCTCTAAAACTTCCTGGTAGACGGCTGCATTGACCCTGGACCTCAGGAAACAGAGTGGGCCAACACCGGCAGATGACATGGCACCCCACACCATCACTGACGGTGGAAACTTTACACTGGACCTCATGCAACGTGGATTCTGTGCTTCTCCGCTCTTCCTCCAGACTCTGGGTCCTTGATTTCCAAAGGAAATGCAGAACTTGCTTTCATCAGAAAACATAACTTTGGACCACTCAGCATCAGTCCAGTCCTTTTTGTCCTTGGCCCAGGCGAGACGCTTCTTGCGCTGTTTCTTGTTCAAGAGTGGCTTGACACACGGAATGCGACACCTGAATCCCATGTCTTTCATGAGTCTCCTCGTGGTGGTTCTTGAAGCGCTGACTCCAGCTGCAGTCCACTCTTTGTGGATCTCCCCCACATTTTTGAATGGGTTTGTCGTCACAATTCTCTGCAGGGTGCGGTTATCCCTAGAGGTTGTACACTTTTTTCTACCACATTTTTTCCGTCCCTTCGCCTGTCTGTTAATGTGCTTGGACACAGAGCTCTGCGAACAGCCAGCTTCTTTAGCAATCACCTTTTGTGTCTTGCCCTCCTTGTGCAAGGTGTCAATGATTGTCTTTTGGACAGCTGTTAAGTCAGAAGTCTTCCCCATGATTGTGGTGCCTTCAAAACAAGACTGAGGGACCTTTTAAAGGCCTTTGCAGGTGTTTTGAGTAAATCAGCTGATTAGAGTGGCAGCAGGTGTCTTCTATATTCAGCCTTTTCAGAATATTCTAATTTTTTGAGATACCAAATTTGGAGTTTTCATTAGTTGTCACTTATGAATATCAAATTTAAATGTAATGAACATTGGAAATACATTGGTCTGTGTGCATTGCATGAATATAATGTACAAGTTTCACGTTTTGAATGGAATTACTGAAATATTTTCAACCTTTTGATGATATTCTAATTTACTGGCCAGCACCTGTATATATATATATATATATATATATATATATATATATATATATATATATATATATTTAATTTATCAGATGTCAAGCTAAACAGACAGGGTTAAAAAAATTCCCCATCACTTTCATTTTTTAAATAGTAATTAATAAGCATTCGATACCATTACAATTTCCTTTGATTTAATTTTAAATCAATATTTAGAGTGCCCAGGTAGCACATAAACAATGCAATTTAACGGTTTTCTTAAAGTAGGAACGTTTAACCTGCGGCCAGAGCGCTCTCCTTCCTTCTGCTCTGCGTAAACCTGAGCTGATCACCTACTTGTGCGTAATCAAATGTCTATAGGGGACAAGATATAGCCATGATGTTCACTTCACAGATTACCGGTAATAACGTGTCAGTGCTGTTTTTATTTTATAACATCCAGAAATATGAATGTTATCAGCGCTGTTTTCTTTTCTAAACTTGCAGACACGTTCACCCGTGTTTAAAATTCATTTTGTTGAATTTAAACAACAACGAAAAACCTTCGTGTAACATCTTCCTGTCTATTTATCTTACGTTATGGCCGTGCATGCGCTGTGCGCCGGAGACCTGCATGTGGCTGCTGCGCCGCGGCTTGTATTCGAGTGTGGTGTGTGTGTGTGTAGAAAACCTTTTTTTTGTTGGTGCGGCTTATATTGAGGTGCGCTCTATAGTCCGGATATTACGGTAGGTTTTGATATGGATCATGACATTAACCCAGATAACATTTTTACTTCTGCAAATAATAACTGAAGTCATCATTATACTGATGAAATATACAATCAACAAAGAAGGCATATTCTCTGTTATGCATATAAACAGTAGAAGTCTCTATGCAAACTTTGAAAATATTAGTTTTCTGCACTGTACCAAGCAAACATTCAGTACAATTGCTATATTTGAGACGTGGGACCACAAAAAAATGTAAATTTTGCATTGGATGGATATTATTTTATACGCATTGACCGAAGAAATGGTGCAGGAGGAGGGGTTGCATTATTTCTGGAGACTAACTTGAGTTTTAGTGTTGTGGAGGACATGAGTCTCACCCTTGAGAATATATTTGAATGTTTAATAATTCATTCATGTTTATGTTTATTTATTTGGTAGACGCTTTTATCCAAAGCGACATACAATTTTTAACCTATAGGGCATGTTGTAATCTGTAGGGGAAACCGGAGTTCCCGGAGGAAACCTACGCATGCATGGGGAGAACACGCAACTCCACGCAGAAAGGCTGCAGCCGAGTTTCGAACCTGCAACCTTCTTGCTGCGAGGTTGCAGACATCGCAAGACATCGCCTCGCAAGGCCAGGCGCCTTGACATTGAGAAACACCCCAGGTCTGGTCCTTGTTGACTCTATTTGTCTGGTAATGACTGAGTCTGATTCAGAAGAAGGATATTGTCTCTCTGATGAAGATGTTCACTAATCCAGTCATAAGGAGTGACGCTGCTGTGCGGAGCAACAGAGAGTCTGTGCTGCACGTGAAGAAAGTAAGGCTAATGAGCTAAAACGTTCCACACGCCATTCCGAAGCTCTCCCACTGTGATCGGGACATGGTGGATGTAGGAAGGATAGTGAAAACACTGCAAATGATGACAGACGTGGCGGGAAGGTAAAAAAAAAAAAGCCATAAAAACAGCAGGCGCCTTAAGTATGGAAGTGAAAGAGTGCCACATAATCAAATGAATATTCCACACATCCCAGCCATCTGAGGTCCAGACAGGGACCTTTTCCTGGAGCAGATGATCCTTACATTCAAGGGAAGGCCGACCCTGAGGATGTTCAAGCCTAAACAAATCCGACCACTATTGTTAAAAATGCATTTCACTTGAGTGAGGCCAGTACAGTGGCGTGTCCAGATCTTTTAAAATGAGGTGGCCCAGGTGAGGCACAACTTTGTGCATGGGTGGCACCAATGGTTCTGCTTCTTTTGTTTTACCCCCAAGCCTTTTGTGGACAATGAAAAGCCGATTTAAAGGTAAATTAGTGTGGTGGCACCTGGGGTGGCCAATCAGATTCTAAGGGTGGCATGTGCTACCCCAGGCCCTGGACACGCCCCTGGGCCAGTATAAATATTAAAACTTAAATGTGTGTGTGTGTGTGTGTGTGAGAAAAGCACAATTCTGAGAGAAGGATTTGACCATGCAGCCATTTTTAATCGCCATTATTTCATTAATTTGTCAAATTGAATCAAGTAACGATCGATTCAAACTCTTAAGGATCTGAATCGAATCGATTCTTGAAATTTGAATCGATACCCAGCTTTAATCTACATTGTGATAATAACGGCACACTCTGGTGCACCAAGCAAAAGGAGCGGGTGTCTCACGATACCGTATCATACCATACCAATTTATTTATAAAGCACCATTTCAAAATCGCACGGCAGCTAACCAACGTGCTGTACATAAAAGAGCCAAATGCTTGAACAAATCAACAAAACACAATGAAAGCAGGATGCATAAAAACAGCATAAATAATGAAGGATGAAAATTCGTACTAAAAACAAGAGAATAAGAGAACAGGTAACAGCGCTATCAAAATAAAAGTAATGCGTCGAATGATAAAGACCATTTGAAATGGCACAAATAAAACCAAAAAAAGCTACAAGATGGTGCGAGGTGTTAAAAGTGAGCTACTGAATCGTAAAAATGAAATGAAATAAACCCGGTGCTGGATTTTCATGTAAAGTGTCACGGAGGGAAGGCAGTTCTGAAAAAGCGTGTTTTAAGGGCCGACTTGAATCTGCTGACAGAGGGAGCCAAACGCACACGGAGGGGCAGAGTGTTCCAGAGTGTTGGGGCTGCATGAGAGAAGGCACGCTCCCCCCATGATTTGTGCCGAACCTTCGGAACAACGAGCAGCAGATGATCTGCTGACCGAAGGGCACGGGTGGGAACATACGGAGTCAGCAGGTCCGTCAGATAGGATGGGGATGGGCAGTACAAAGCCTTGTATGCACATAACAAGACTTTGTAATGAATCCTAAATTTGACTGGGAGCCGGTGTAAATCTGCAAGAATAGGTGTGATGTGCACGCGTCTGTCGGTGCTGGTTAAAAATCTGGCCACCCATCCTTGTGTCACTGAAGGAAGTTCAGATGAGCCACAGAGCTGGGTGTGTTACTGGGACGGTGGTTCAGACTCCCGCCGACTTCATTTACCAAATGCAGGAAGAGCGAAAGTGTCTGACGGCTGCAGAGCCAGAGGCTGCAGGTTTCTGTAAAGGAGTGAATCTGCAGCATCATCATTCTCTCTCCTTACTCCTGGAATAACGGTTCAGAGAGCAAACGGTTGTTGCTAATCTGCAGAGAATATCTACAAGAAAGTTCCACAGGAAGTCTCAAAAGGTCCTCAGCAATGGTTGAATCGTTGAATCGGGGTGCAGTGGTCAACAATGCAGCTGAGAGGTCAAGGAGTAGATTTATACCACGAGAAAGGGGGACTCAGGGGGGACTCAGTACTATACAGGGGCCTGAAAACAGACTCAAAATGATCCAAAAGGCCATATTTTTCTAAGTGTTGCATTAATTGTACCAACACGTTTTCCATGACCTTAGGAAGGAATGAAAGTTTTGAAATGGGGCTGAAATTGGAGAGATTGTCATGACTAGTTTCAGCCGCTCTCATTTGCAACGATGAGGATTTGCAGAGACCGACCTCGCCAAGAGGGAGCAGCAGTTACCATGGTGGGGCTTGCTGCATCTTAGCCGCACCTGTGCAAAGTGGCCTGAACGAGCGCATCCCATTCTAGAAAGCTGTTCAGACTCACCTCCCCTTGATGAATGTAGATGACAAAATAGCCCTTTCCTGTGCGCACATGTAGGAGCACCCCAGATGCCACACGAGGGCGCACCTCCATTACCAGCTCGAACCTCAGCCCCAGATCAAAGGACTCATCTGAGGAGAGAACAACACAACATCTCAGCTTTGAAACGCATTTAATACATGTTCAGAGCTTCATCCCCATCAGTTTGGCCAGGTCACTACAGCAGGAGTTAACAACTCCTTTACCAGAGGGCTGCTATCCAGCATGTGTTAGTTGTTTTCCTGCTCCAACACATTGTTCATCAGTTCATGCAGAAGCCTGTTAGTCACTCGCTGATTAAAGTCTGGTGTGTTAAAGCAGGGAAGCCATAAAAACATGGTGGGTAGTGTCACCTTCCTCCAGGCACACTAAAGACCAGTAGCCTCACCCTAACCCTAACCATCAGTTCGTCACGTATGAGGTAGGGATGTTCTGATCGCGTTTTTACTACCGATCCGATTTGGAGTCAGTTTATTTTGAGTATCTGCCGATACCAAGTCCCGATCCAATACTTTTCAGGAAAGCATGTGGCACTCTGGCACTGTCCCGGTGGGCCGCTTAGCCAAGTGGGCTGCTTGCCCAGCTTGGGCTAACACCACCCGACAGTTGGTGATCTGTAGAACATTAGCGACATGGTAACCTGAAGCTAACAGTTCTTCCAGGCCTTTTTAGCAAGAAAAACGCGGTAGAGCGATGATGTAGGAGTTGTTTTACCGTGTTAGCATGTAGCTAATGTCTCGCTGATCTCCGCCTGTGGAGACTGAGCTGATCTGGAAGGCCACGGCTCCCGGTCGCAGCTGTCTGGCCCTGCTTGTAATTTTACAGTCCTAGCCCATATTAGATCTCACATTCGGCCTAGAGACGAGTCCGCGGGCGGCAGCACCCCTCACCCCCACCTCTCTCCCAATTGGGAGGGCCAACGATTAAATGCCAGGGCTGAATTTTGGTCCCAGTCCACCCCTGGTTACGGCCATTTCTGAAACCAGAAAACCTGGCCTTCCCCCAGCCAGATGAAAAGGAGATCTCGTTATTGTAACCTTCCCTGCAATGTGATGGACACACTGGACTTTTTAGTGATTATTTTACTTTCCAACTCTTACAAAGTTCACCTTTAGGTTTCTCTCTCACTTATGTAGGAAGTACACTGATTAAATAACCTGTTTATAAAATATAAAATATTTAAAGTAGCAGCGTTATTTCTGCTGTCTGAAAAAGTTCAGAGAGCTGACTGAAGCAGTTATATGACAGGTATGTAGTGCTCCTCCTGTAACATTCTGAGCTGGGGGTGGGGGTGACACAGTCTCACGGCTGAACCCGACCTGGGGGCCACCTATAGAGTACCACGGACGTAGAGGAACCTTAATTAGGCCCAAGCAGCGAAGCTGCCAAGGCCTATTGTATCTGCTCTGTTTATTTTCTCTCCCGACAAGTTAATTGGCTTTTTGGAGGCCTTAACGTACCCGAAAACTCAGGAAGTTTTGCACATGTGTCAGGCATGGTGTAAAATTTTGTATTTTAAAGGTCCCAAAAAAATCGCAGTAAAACTAGCTCCACAGCGACCCCTAGAATGCGAAAAACACCCGCCTCTTTAAACCTTAGTTTGTTGTACAGTTATGAAATTTTGTACGCTTTTAGTACTCAACAGTCCGCACAGAGAAGCCTCTTGCAACCATGGTCAACATCAAACAAGAAGTCGGCCATTTTGGTTTGAAGTGGTGATTTTGACCCCGTTTTGGCCATTTCTAGGGTCCGCTTCTGATTAATTTACTTGATAATTTTTCGCACGATTGTCTTGAAAGTTATGGGAAATTGCTCAGAAGTGATGAGCGATCAAATAGAAAAACTAAAACTGACTTTTCGTATATGCTGAGGGGGCGTGGCCAGGCCTCGAAGTTCGACTACTCGCCAAAAAATATAAATGGCTATAACTTCATACTCGAATAGAGTTACAAGAATTTCTGTGGTCATTTGACATCTAGCCACAAACTAAACTGAATGGTTGGATGATGACATCACACAAGCCCTGCCCCCTCAGGACCAAAAAGGTCAAGTTTTACTGTGATAGGTCCCAAATCGCCCCATTTCACTTAATCACCACAAATTTGTAGCTGGTAACTCAAGACAAGTGTTTCTTGGCATCACTTTATGGGAGTTTTCAAAAGAGGGCGGGGCTGTGGCGGCACAGTGAAGTCAGGCGTACCGCCGTGGCCATACGTTTGCCTCTCATTTCGTCATTTCTAAAGATATCGCCACAAAACTTCTGGTGAGTGGTCCTAGTCCGGCCCCCCAAAAAATCTGATTGAAAATCTGGTGGGCGTGGCCTATTTTCTCAAATAACGCCCCCTAGGACCATTAAAATCGTCAGCCCCAAGCCATGCTTTGACTGAGGATTACAAAATTTGGTACACTAATGTATTGTCTCAAGACCTACAAAAATGTCTCTTGGAGCCAAGCGCAAAGTCGCACAGGAGGTCAGCCATTTTGGTCCAAGTACTCAATTTAGTGGTTTTTGCACACGTAGTTTGGAGAATGAGGCCTCGCCGCCCTTTTCACTGATCACCTCAGGATGAATTTTAAAACGTCATGTTTGTTGTTTTAAAAGGTTAAATCTGATATTTTTCTCCTGTTTCTGATCCTTGTACAATCACATGATCGTATCAGAGCATCCCTAGTATGAGGCGTAACTGAGTGGGAGGAAGAAGTTCACACAATTAAACCTTTACTAAAACAAATACATAGTACTTCTCTCTGTAAATGACATAATAAAAACAAACCCAGAACGACGTATCCTCCCTCCTTTGAGAAATAAGTTCCTGCCTCAGACGGTCCTTCGAAGCATGGACTGACCCCAAATGTCTCTGCCAAAGGAGACAACTTCTGTCCGTTCAGCTGAGCGTTCTTCAAACAGCCAGTAAAGCTGTAGGCTGAGTTCCGCTGGAGGGAAATAAAACAAAAGGATTTGAACACACAGTAGAACAGTTTCCAACACATGAAATGTACGTTATTAGAAAGAACCATAACAGCGGCTAGTACAGATCAGATGTGGAAATAGTCTTTTAGCTTGTCCAGATCCAAGCTGGGGTTAGTGAGGTTAGCTCTCACAATCTTCATCCATCCAATCAACTCTAACTCTAACTCTAACTCTAACTCTAACTCTAACTCTCTCTCTCTCTCTCTCTCTCTCTCTCTCTCTCTCTCTCTCTCTCTCTCTCTCTCTCTCTCTCTCTCTCTCTCTCTCTCTCTCTCTCTCCTCTCTCTCTCTCTCTCTCTCTCTCTCTCTCTCTCGCTCTCTCGCTCTCTCGCTCTCTCGCTCTCTCTCTCTCTCTCTCTCTCTCTCTCTCTCTCTCTCTCTCTCTCTCTCCATATATATATATAATCTTCACCTCGTGTCAAAATTGACACTTCCCGTTATAAGCTACACCTCCTGTCATTATCTACACCTGTCATAATCAACACCTCGAGATGTCAGGTGCACATGAACTGTATGAAGAAAGTCAATGTCAGGCCATTTAATGAAACACAGGCCTTGGGCTAGAGCCCTGCACTGAAGCCCTAGGCCCTCGGGTCAGCCCGAGGGCTGGGCTTCGGGCCAACGACTGTGCAATTACCTCAGACACGGGCCGGGCGCCTTTATTTTTAATCGAATTCATAAAAAAAATTGAAACACTTAAATGCAGCAGTAGAGCCCTGCGCTGGACTGTTTTCTTCATCCCGCTCTCGCTGAATTTCTGACCATTACCGCCCGCACCCGCGATGTGCATGTCTACTCCCGCCCACAACCGGAAAACTGGGAGAAATTATTACTGCACAATAAAAGAGATGTATTGAGTTTTCGTCTTCTCTGGTCCTGGAGAAAACATGTCATTTTATAGGCTATACCAGGGGTCGGCAACCCGCGGCTCTTCCATCCATCAGATGCGGCTCTCTGTGCTTGTAAAATAATGAATGGATATTTAAATAAAATGCTTTATATTTTATTGAATTAATTTTACATATGTAAGTCAATTCTAAATGTAAAGATTGTCTGCGTAAACCTGAACAGGTCCAACCCGGTCTTACTGTGAGACCGGGTTGACGGGTCACGCTTGTGCGTAATCATAGGCGTTGTCTGAGCTGAAGAGGATGTGAGATTCTGGGTTTCTCCTCAGACGACTCCTGGATGTGTCGCCACATTGGAGACAGGAACAAGCGCTATTCAGCCAAAGTTTCATAATCAGGGAGCATTCTCTAAGTGACAAGTCTCTCTGAGAGACCGGGTTTGGAAAACACTCGCTTCAGTGGGAGGAAGCTTCCCGCATGCGCTCTGGTTCTGCAACGCGCTCCAAGCCAATCTCAACAACTTCAGCGCGCTGTGGACCTTATGTAGTACACGCTGACAGCGAGCTGTGCTGAGCAGTGTCCAGCTCAGATGTTCAGATGGGAATCTTTTATCGGGTGATTTAGCTACATCTGCGATGTGCGTAGAATAAAATGTCAGTTCGTCTGCATGCGTCGGGGTAATTCTTTCTATTCTTTCTCCGTCAAAATAAACGGTCAAATACGGGAACTGTCCGGTCAACACAACACAAGCCCTGCTTTTAACTGTTCTGTTTTCTTGTGAAAATTGTTGGAAAGAGATCAAATTTAACTTGATTACCACCAGAGCCAGTGCGCCGTTATCTCCGTGACGGTAAATGAGGGAAAAACAAATTGATCGGATCCTGCACGTCTTTTAACACATTGGTCAGGTTTGACACACTTTGTTTTCATTTAGTTGGTTAAAAAAAGTCAGGCCGGGTCGGGCTGTGGCTCAGATTTTAGGTCCGTGCAGGGCTCTACCTTGGGCCACGCTACGGTTGTTTTGGCCAGTCACTTCCTTCCCACCCAACCGACACAAGACTGTTTCGGGCCCTATAAGGCTCCAATGAAGCGTGGCTTGATTGACATGTAGAGCAAAATTATTCTGCTTTAGCTACTGTTATCTAGCTAGTATCCAGCTGGAGAGCTGCACCCTGTCAAAGGTGCACAACTTGTCATACGAGTATTGGAAGGGGAAAAAACAGGAGAAAATTTTGAAGAAGAAAGAAACTAGGCAGATATTTTTACTGACAAGTGCAGAGATGGAATGCAGCCCTCAGTATTAAATTTCAGCAAGTCCAGTTAATTTTGTTATTCTGGTCTTCGTGTATACATTTGGCTTAGCAAAGCTGGTTTGACATTCAGAACACTAGTAGTAAAGGTCCTGTTCGCTGCTGGCAGAAGGTGTTTTGGTTTACTCATAAACAGAATTGTTTCTCGTACCTTAATACTCTTCTGGCCTCTCCCTGGAGGAACTCCTCCAATAAAGAGTGAGTCGCTCATTCGCCATTGGATGTTGTTTCCCTGAGCTCTGTCTTCCAGCCCTGTGAAGCCATTGATTATAACCTGGCCCATACTCCCGTGGCGCTTCAAAAAAATCTAAGACAACAGGAACAGAGGTTGTCAGACAAAATTTCTTCAGTATACATTGATGACCTGAATATATACTATGCAGACAAAATGTTTCAGGAGCTTACATTGTGCCATGTGCCATCATTAAATCTCTCCTCAGTCTGGATTTTAACTTTTTTGTCCTCTACATTGAATGTGAATACAAGTTTTCCTTGTGCCAGGAAAAGAGCGACAAAGTTGTCTTCTTGGACATCAGACACATATAAGATGAGGCCAAAGGCCGACTGTGTCTTCATGGACAATGAAAAGTTGAAACTATTAGGAAGAAAATGCATTCAGTCAGACAGAAACAATTATATATGCATCATATTTTTCCACTATAAGAATTCCTGGAAATTTCTGGGAGGGGGAAGGTGGTCCTCTCAGTCTGACCCGGTGAAATGAAAATTAGCGCCTGTCCAGAAGGTTTGGTAAAATTACCCAGAAGTTCTGATAGTGGAAACGGATCAAAATAACTGCTTAGGGAACTTTCAGAGACCTTCTGACACCAAAGTTCCTTTGAGGGATTTGGACATGACTTACCTCTCAGAGAAAGAGTCAGTGAGATCTGTGTAATGCTGTCTGCTGTTGGCAACACCACAGAAGTGGAAGGCTTGGTGTGTTGACGTTGGAGTTGAGGAGAGGTAACAAGCCTCGATTCGTGACTCTGTTTGCACCTGGTCATCACTTTGTAGTTCTTGTATGTTTAGAGAAAGGCTGGGCTTGTCTCTGGTGACCTATAAAATCATTTATATACAGCACTTTAGTCCACTGTATCTATGAATGTTAACTGGAAACAAAACATCACCTAAAGCCCAGATTTTTTGGTGGCCTGGTGTGGAATCTCAATCAACAGGCCTTTGGAAACAGAACATATCAAATAGAAGATGGTCCAAATCAAATCAAACCTTATTAATAAGGTGCTTTTCATACAACCAGTGCAACTCAAAGTGCCTTAAAGATTATAATGACCCCACATAACCCTCATTCCCATCCCTCCCCATAAATAAAAGTAAAAAAGACATTGGGCTGAGTTCAGATGATCCAAGAAAACATCATCAGGAGTGTCATCTGACCCGGGAGCAGCTGGTCAAAAACAGCAGCCGAGGCGTCAACACAGGGTGCTCAGGGGAAGGAGGGCGGAGAACCCCATCTTCACCCATGATCTACCCGGAGAGCACCAGGGCTGCCACAGCCGAATACCACCCCAAGGCGCAGGGCCCCCACAGAGGAAACACTAGATGGAAAAAAATATTACAGGAGATACATACAAACGGTTGATACAAATAAATAGATAAATAGTGATTAATGAATTTATATAAATGGTAAAATAATCTAATATAGGTATAAAAAAGTAAAGAAAATAATCTTTCATATAGAGTCTCTTAAAGTACCAATCACGAGGTGCTTTACAAAAACAAAACATTTAAAATATTAAAAAGATTTTTAAAAATGCTAAAAAAATATATGTTTAAAGTGACAAAAAAATAAAAATTGGATTAAAAATGTAAGGAAAGGGAGAAAATGAATGGGAAAGAGGGACATTGGTGTGTCGCATGCTCAAGGTCATGTATTTCATCAAATGGCCAAAAGTTACAATCATAAACTGTAGGTACCGCAGAATATGGTTGTAATAACTTGTAAAGTTAGAAAGTCCTTTTATGAGCCAGAAAAGATAACTTTATTAAAGTGGTTTAGATAAAAGAGTCTTGTGTCTTCACAGGTGGCTTGGTGTCCTGTGATATGGAACAGGATGAGTTAAGGGTACTCATATCGACACCTCCGGTATCAGATTGGCATGACCTGCATGAAGTGTAGTGTAAAGCACTTTGGAGTCCTCTGACTCTGAAAGGCACTAAACAGGTGCGGGTCATTTATCATCAGTACGGGCCGGTCTCTTGGCTGCTGCCGTGGATCTTTTACTGTCAGGGCAGATGGCTCCACTGATGGTGTGTCGTCCATTACCTGACCCATCTGAACTCAGCCTATTGTTTACTCTGTTGTCCACGTATGTGTGTGTGTGTGTGTGTGTGAGTGTACGTTCCTTGGAAGTTGGTTGCGGGAGGGGAAGTGTAATTGTCAATTGTTTTATACTTGGGGAGGGGGGCTGGGATGGGAATATGGGATCTATGGGGCCATTTTAATCTGTGAAGCACTTTGAGTTGCATTTTTTTGTATGAAAAGTGCTGCATAAATAAAGTTGATTTGATTTGATTTGAACAATACCAACCAAGCAGGCATTCTGTTACCGGCTACAGGTTTACTGTCATGACCAGTTCTTTTTTACCTTCTGTGATAGGCTCTGTTTGGCTCTGGAAGTGTAATCTCGCTCCTTTGACAGAAGTCCAGCAGGAGGGTGCTGCATGGGACAGTCCTGCAGAGACACGTCAACCCTCTCTTTGTACTTCTGAAAATCCTCCGCCTCAATGTCCTGATCTTGTCTTCAGATAGAGTGAGTGAAAAGGAAATAAATGTAGACAAAGTAACAAACTTAGTGTCCTCAAACACTTACGCTAACAGATGAAAGAAAAATATCAGTGCACCTGGAACCACAGGCGCAGTCGCCATTTCACCGTAGATGTACCTGTTGATGTAGGCATAGCTGATGCAGCCTGTGAAGTTCTTAAAGCTGCTGCTCTGAGATCCTCCATAGTAGAAAGTTCTTACTGGTGAATCTGGTGAGGGGACTGTGGCGGATGAACGTTTCTTCTCCTGCTTATCTTTGTCATCCACCACGAGTGAATACCTGAGAACAATTTGATCCATGAAGAGCAGTGTTGCCACAGTTACCTTGTAATAGTACTCATTTGAGAGAAATACGCTACTAACGCGTTAATGGCATTACTGATTAAGAGGCACCATAGCCCATTTAAAAAGTCAAAAGTTCAGTTGCTGACAAATGTTTTGAAGAAATCTGTTAGGTTGCAACTTTTTCTACGTATGAGCACAGTGGCTGTGAAAGCAGTTGCAGGATTTTGTGTGCTGGGTTACAAATTAAATAATGAAGGGAGCAAAGGAAATTACTTCTTTTTCTACAATTTTTATCAGTTTCCGCAAATGGGGTATCAGGAACACAGCTGCCCTGCGGCGCACTGACAGAGGCGAGGCTGCCGAGCACTGGCGCCACCGGTCCCTCCGACCACCACCAGCAGGCAACGTGGGTTAAGTGTCTTGCCCAAGGACACAACGACAGCGACAGACTGAGCGGGACTCGAACCTGAAACCTTCCGATTACGGGGCGAGCGCTTAACTCCTGTGCCACCGTCGCCCACATCTTAAACAAACAGAGGAATAGACTTTTTGTGTGATATGCTTGTCAGCCACTAGATGGTGCCATCAGATAAGATAAATACTCCGGGAAAGAAGCTTTAAAGGGACATTATGGAAGTTTGACAGCCAAAACATGTATAGAAATAATAAATGTCTTCTTCATACGTTCTCCTGCAATGCCCTGGTCCTGTAGAATGAGCCCTGGCATTTTTACTGTGATTGCCTGTTTTTCTGTAAAATCACAGAAAAAGAGAGATGCTCGGGTCGAGCAGGCTGCTTCATGCGCGTTCACGCTCAGGCATCGCCCTCCGAACCGTTCTTTGAACGTTTTTTCAGCTGTCATCAAGAATATAAATGTTACAGATGCAAAATATGTTACTGGTGCTGTAGACTGCCTAATAAGATGATGGACTTTCATGCAGACGACTCGGGTTTGATTCTGGACGTGAACATAGTTTTTTAGAGTTTATTTTTTACATTCATGGTATATTTTTTACAGTAAGGTGCCCAAATTTTTATTTGAGACTTGCCGAACGGCATTGAATTCACAGATAAAAAAGATGTGGGTTCAACTTTCATTTTGGAACAATTTTTCAAGCAAGGGAAGGGAATGATCTGAGCATGCAGGAGGACTGGCCCATCATAAACCTTTGTCGGCTGTGCTGAAGAGAAAGGTACAGAACCACATTATTTAATTAATTAGCTGCGTGTTCTCCTGTCCTCCGGGCCACCCACCCACACACACACACACACACACACACACACACACACACACACACACACACACACCCACACACACACACACACACACACACACACACACACACACACACACACACACACACACACACACACACACACACAAGGGACTGTCTCAGTTGTTATTTTCATTAAGGAGTGTGCACGTACAGCATGCGCGCCTCGTGCACTATCCTACTATTGAAGCTGCCGTTACGCTTTTGGCCAGAGGGGGCAATCGCGAGCATAAAAATTCAAGACTCCGTAAAGTCCCTTTGAGCATTAGAAGAAATCTGATCAACCTCTAGACTGAATAACGAGGAGTAAACCTGGTCCTTGAAGGCCTCAGTGGCTGCATGTTTTCTACGTGTCCCTGCTCAGACACACCTGATTTTATATCAAGTTGGGATTCTTGTTTTAACACAGAGTAGCAAAACTTTTAGTTTCTGCTCCTCCTGAGACGAGCACAAGATTGAGATGTGTTTAGCCACATGTCCCAGTCTCGTCGTCAGCTCTGAGGGAGGAGACAGACAGAGAGGGCCTGGGGTGATGGGGGGTTGGTCTGGGGGTCACCCAACCTTATCAGCACACGTCTGTAGCAGGTTCAGGTAAAACTGGATGTGTTTGTCAGAAATCAGCTCCTTACATTGTTTAAAGAGATAGAGAGTAAACATCACATGAAAACCTGTGTCAGTGCCAAATTTGTAAAAATGGCTGCTGGTAGTTGAGTTTGACTTACTTCTGATTGTTGACTGAAGCCATTAAGAAGTGTGTCCTTCCATCGCTGTATTGTTTCTTGTGAGATTTGACTTTAGATCCTCTGTTGTTTAGAACCACGGCTCCGTTTTCCAGGGAGATGCTGAACTCGCTGGACTAAAGAGGGACACAAAACGTTTCCGTTTTAGTCAATCTTTAACATTTCATTAGGGTTGGTACCGACATGTTTAATGGGTGTATTATTATTATTAATAAATAATAATAATAACAACAATAACAACAATAATAATACTCCCGAATGTCCGAGCTCCTCACCCTCTCCCTGAGGCTAAACCCAGCAACCCCGCGGAGAAAACTCATTTCGGCCGCTTGTATCCATCATCTTGTTCTTTCAGTCGTTACCCAAAGCTCGTGACCATAGGTGAGGACTGGGTGGTGGATGGACCGATAAATTGAGAGCCTTGCTTTCCGGCTCAGCTTCTTCTTCACCACAACAGACCGGTTCAGCATCCGCATCACCGCAGACACTGCCCCAATCCACCTGTTGATTTCCTGCTCCCTCCATCCCTCACTCGTGAACAAAACTCTGAGATACTTGAACTGCTCCACTAGAGGCAGGACCTCTCTCCCGACCCGGAGTTGGCATGCCGCCCTTTTCTGCTTGAGAACAATGGTCTCAGATTTGGAGGTGCTGATCCTCATCCCAGTCGCTTCACACTCAATTCAATTCAATTGAATTCAAGTTTATTTATATAGCGCCAAATCACAACCAGAGTTGTCTCAAGGCACTTCACATAGTAAACATTCCAATACAGGTCAGTTCATTAAGCCAATCAGATAAAAGTTTCCTATATAAGCAACCCAGCAGGTTGCATCGAGTCACTGACTAGTGTCAGAGTCTTTACAGCAATCCTCATACTAAGCAAGCATGCAGCGACAGTGGAGAGGAAAACTCCCTTTTAACAGGAAGAAACCTCCAGAGAATCCTGGCTCAGTATAAGCAGCCATCCTCCACGACTCACTGGGGATCGAGAAGACAGAGCACGCATGCACGCACGCACGCACGCACGCACACACACACACACACACACACACACACACACACACACACACACACACACACACACACACACACACACACCGGCCCATCCTATCTTTTGACCTCAGGTCAAAGTCTCTCTGCAATGCTGCGGTGATATCAGACAAAACGGCCAAACAAACAGCTTTAGATGCAAACAAGCATTCCAGCTTCCTGCCATCACCTGGAGAGATCTCAGACTAGACGGGTGCTATCAGAGCGGGTTCACTCCGCCGGCAGTGTCCTTCACAACCTCTTGACCCCCTGGATCGCATAAGAATCCCCACACAAGGGTACGTAGACTCAACAGATGGTGTCGGATGGTTTTATGAATAAATCTCTAGTTTACCAAACAGACAGCACAATTTATTTTACAACGCAAACTCCACAAACTCTCTCAGATACTTAAGAAAGGTTTTGCTAAAACATCTAGCTTCCATTGCAACATCCCTGGTGGCTTTCAAGCAGATCACAGAATACCTCTCACAAAACTGTCTGCTTGACCCTTACCAATCTGGGTTCAAAAAGGGCCACTCCACTGAAACGGCTCTGTTAGCAGTGACGGAATCCTTAAAAGAAGCTAGAGCGACTGCCAAATTCTCAGTGCTTATCCTGCTCGACTTATCGGCTGCATTTGACACTGTCAACCATGGCTTCCTTTTGTCCACACTCTCTAGCATGGGCATCAAAGAGAAAGCACATGCCTGGTTTGAATCGTACCTCACAGGACGATCATTCAGTGTATCTTGGCTTGGACAATCCTCTACCGTGCACCATCTTGCCACAGGAGCCCCCCAGGGCTCTGCACTAGGACCTCCTCTATTTGCCATATACACTACCTCACTGGGTGAGATCATTCGATCACATGGCTTCTCCTACCACTGCTATGCAGACGACACCCAGCTCTATCTGTCATGTCCACCGGACGACCACACTGTCTCTGCACGAATATCAAACGGTCTCTCTGACATATCAAAATGGATGTCCCCCCACCCCCCTCTCTACCGTCCACTCCTTTGTTCCCTCCTCTCCATGACTGATGTCAAGCTGTTGTTATTGTTGTTGTTAACCTCAAGGGCAACATGCCGATTATCACTTGTAAGTCGCTTTGAACAAAAGCATCTGCTAAATACATAAACATAAACATCTCATCCATCACATTAAATCACCTCCTGTTCATTACACTACATCACATTCTATCATTTCATTCATATCTTGTCTTGTATAATCATTAGTTTAGGGAAATAAATAAATTCATTTTTATAAACTATATACTTGACTGTCTGAATTAATGCGAAGTGTGTTTATGATCCCTGAATAAGTGAAGTACTTAGAATCTTCTGCTTAAACATTCAAAGATCAGTCAGTTTGATATTTCATATTTACATGGAATCATCCCATCTTATTGGCTATTTTAATAAATATGTAGATGTCATCAATGCTACACCAAAATCAACTAAAGCTAAAATGTTTCACTAGATCGTTCAATCTGTGTTTTAACTTTGACTGATGAATAATTCTGTTAGAAGCTAAGCTGTTTTTGAGTGCTTTTGCTGACCGAATGCCTTTTAGCATCTCGTGTTTATTTGCTGGTAAAATGCAAGATTACAGAATATTACGTCGTGGCAGCCTTCCGTATTTTAAAGCTAGAATTTAGTCGTTAGCTTAACTACGAGAAAAGTGTGTGGCGAATCACTCATTCACCACTGGTTTTATTAATGGATAGTTTGTTAAACCATACTCTCAGTTGGCATTTTTAACATGGGAGTCAATGAAGAATTGCACGTTTATGGAGCCAGCCCCTAGTTTATGAGTGTGGAACTGCAATTTTTGCCACTTCTGTGTTGGGAGCAGTTCTGGTCCGTGGTATTCCCCCTTGATATCAAAGCTTTCTGTAGATTGTTGACATCTCCACTGCTAGAACATAACATGCAATCACAGCTAAATTAAATAAAAATAAATGAGTACTTCTGCAGTAAATGTCTGCATTCAGATTTTACACCAAATAGGTGGAACATTTACCCCTTCACGGTGGTAGAAGAGAAGTCCGCTGCTCTGCTGTGTTCTGAAGTTGAGCCCCGCTTCAAAGCTGTCAAATGGTGATATCTTTGCTGTGGACCCGAGGAAGCTCTTTCCAGTGAAATATGCCTCGCGAGACATCTGCAAGAATAAAAGCATACATTTCTCAATGCTGTACGTGGTCAAAAGACATAGACAAAGTGTCACTGTGTAGATGAATGGAAACAGCATTTACAAAAGACTCCTCTGGGCAGCCACTGCTGATGTCAATAGTTCCGGGCTCCTCCAGCAAGTTGAAGTCTTTCTTCTGGAACTGGAATCCTTTCACACAGCCCTTCAGACTGACCACCGAGGACAACTCTGGCCTGTGGGAACACATTTGGTGAAATACTTCGTATCTTGTGTTGACAACCTGGTCAGATTTCTACCCAGAAATGGTCTTGTGTTGGGTTCTGTCAGGTGAAATCTCCTTTCCTGATACTGTAGATTATGAGTCAGAAACCTGAGACCACAGCTGCCTGAACAGGTCAGTTGTTGCAGCAGATCGTACGATGCCTTGTGATGCATCCAGTAGTCTGAGTCCCCTCTTCTGGGAGGGGGTTGGGTGTGTATGTGTGTGTGTGTGTGTGTGTGTGTGTGTGTGTGTGTGTGTGTGTTTATTAAACGAAAAGGCAAACAAAAAAATCAAGGGCTGGAAGCCCTAACAAATGACAGTAAACACAGCCCAGTAAAGCCTAAAACAAAAGGGCCTCAACAGGGATATATTTCTCTTTGAACATCTTAGGTGTGTTCTTGCTGTGTCGTGGTAATTCCATGCTGTCGTTCTTTTTAAAACACAGAAAGGGTTTTGTTACCTGTAATTGTCGCTACGTTTCGCCGACGGCTGCCGGCTTCTTCAGGCTGACGCTGATGGTGGCGTCACTTCCTTCTCCGTTTATCCGCGGCCAGCAGAGGACGTTGCCGCCCTCTGCTGGCCGCTCTCCCCTCTCCGATGATGCAGTCCCATGCGCGGTCCAGCGTGTAAACTCCGTCGTCCCTGTTCATGGTCCCACATCCACGTCTCCTTATCTCGATTGCTTCTTTAATCCATCTTTCGTATTTCTGTTGTTCGGTGTTTATGATCCTTGTGTTGTCCCAGTCCATTTTATGGTTTTCTCTTGTGCAGTGATCTGTTACGGCTGACTTCTTTATTGTGCTTTCTGCTTCTTCTTTTGCTGCTCTTGTGTGTTTTCGATTTGCCTCTTTCTCGCACTCCTTTCTATGTTCTATTGTTCGTGTGTTGAGTTGGCGTCCGGTTTCTCCTATGTATGTTTTATTGCAGAGTTTGCGACAAAGCAGGTAAACAATACTGTTTCTGTGTTTTAAAAAGAACGACAGCATGGCAAGGGATATATTTAGTCTATGAATAGCCATAAATGGACTTAAAATCTCCAAGCTTAAAAAACCCAAAATAGGCCAAACCTGCCTGAACCTTAATTGGTTTGGGTAAAGGAAAGAGCTTTTCACACCCCTGGTGTAAAACCAGTTGCTAAAGGAACATACATGCACCAAAAGAGGGAACATGTACCAAAAGAGGGAACATGCACCAAAAGAGGGAACATGTACCAAAAGAGGGAACATGCACCAAGAGAGGGAACATGTACCAAAAGAGGGAACATGCACCAAAAGAGGGAACATGCACCAAAAGAGGGAACATGCACCAAAAGAGGGAACATGCACCAAAAGAGGGAACATGTACCAAAAGAGGGAACATGCACCAAAAGAGGGAACATGCACCAAAAGAGGGAAGATGCACCAAAAGAGGGAAGATGCACCAAAAGAGGGAACATGCACCAAAAGAGGGAACATGCACCAAAAGAGGGAACATGTACCAAAAGAGGGAACATGCACCAAAAGAGGGAACATGTACCAAAAGAGGGAACATGCACCAAGAGAGGGAACATGTACCAAAACAGGGAGCATGCACCAAAAGAGGGAACATGCACCAAAAGAGGGAACATGTACCAAAAGAGGGAACATGCACCAAGAGAGGGAACATGTACCAAAAGAGGGAACATGCACCAAAAGAGGGAACATGCACCAAAAGAGGGAACATGCACCAAAAGAGGGAACATGCACCAAAAGAGGGAACATGTACCAAAAGAGGGAACATGCACCAAAAGAGGGAACATGCACCAAAAGAGGGAAGATGCACCAAAAGAGGGAACATGCACCAAAAGAGGGAACATGCACCAAAAGAGGGAACATGTACCAAAAGAGGGAACATGCACCAAAAGAGGGAACATGCACAAAAAGAGGGAACATGTACCAAAAGAGGGAACATGCACCAAAAGAGGGAACATGTACCAAAAGAGGGAACATGCACCACAAGAGGGAACATGCACCACAAGAGGGAACATGCACCACAAGAGGGAACATGCACCACAAGAGGGAACATGCACCAAAAGAGGGAACATGTACCAAAAGAGGGAACATGTACCAAAAGAGGGAACATGCACCAAAAGAGGGAACATGCACCAAAAGAGGGAGCATGCACCAAAAGAGGGAGCATGCACCAAAAGAGGGAACATGCACCAAAAGAGGGAACATGCACCAAAAGAGGGAACATGCACCAAAAGAGGGAACATGCACCAAAAGAGGGAACATGCAGCAAAAGAGGGAACATGCAGCAAAAGAGGGAACATGCAGCAAAAGAGGGAACATGTACCAAAAGAGGGAACATGCACCAAAAGAGGGAACATGCACCAAAAGAGGGAACATGCACCAAAAGAGGGAACATATAGCAAAAGAGGGAACATGCACCAAAAGAGGGAACATGCACCAAAAGAGGGAACATGTACCAAAAGAGGGAACATGCACCAAAAGAGGGAACATGCACCAAAGAGGGAACATGTACCAAAACAGGGAACATGCACCAAAAGAGGGAACATGCACCAAAAGAGGGAACATGTTCCAAAAGAGGGAACATGCACCAAAAGAGGGAACATGTACCAAAACAGGGAACATGCAGCAAAAGAGGGAACATGTACCAAAAGAGGGAACATGCACCAAAAGAGGGAACATGTACCAAAAGAGGGAACATGCACCAAAAGAGGGAACATGCACCAAAAGGGGGAACATGCACCAAAAGGGGGAACATGCACCAAAAGAGGGAACATGTACCAAAAGAGGGAACATGCACCAAAACAGGGAGCATGCACCAAAAGAGGGAACATGCACCAAAAGAGGGAACATGCACCAAAAGAGGGAACATGCACCAAAAGAGGGAACATGTACCAAAACAGGGAACATGCAGCAAAAGAGGGGACATGCACCAAAAGAGGGGACATGCACCAAAAGAGGAAACATGTACCAAAAGAGGGAACATGCACCAAAAGAGGGAACATGCACCAAAAGAGGGAACATGTACCAAAAGAGGGAACATGCACCAAAAGAGGGAACATGCACCAAAAGAGGGAACATGCACCAAAAGAGGGAACATGTACCAAAAGAGGGAACATGCACCAAAAGAGGGAACATGCACCAAAAGAGGGAACATGCACCAAAAGAGGGAACATGTACCAAAACAGGGAACATGCAGCAAAAGAGGGAACATGTACCAAAAGAGGGAACATGCACCAAAAGAGGGAACATGCACCAAAAGAGGGAACATGTACCAAAACAGGGAACATGCAGCAAAAGAGGGAACATGTACCAAAAGAGGGAACATGCACCAAAAGAGGGAACATGTACCAAAAGAGGAAACATGCACCAAAAGAGGGAACATGCACCAAAAGAGGGGTCTAACTCCTCTGTACGAAAATAACCACCAAAAACCTCTCAACACAGAGCAGTAGCAAACTAAAATACGACTGCTTCTGACAACGCAGAACACCAAGTGAGCAATTACAAAGAGCTAAGCTCTATTCCTAAAAAGGCACAGGAGCAGTCCTTCAGAGCTTTAACGCTCACATGGAGGCTACCGGTGTTAGAGTAGCCCCAGAAGGAAGAGTGGCTCCACTTTTATATCTTCCTCGTCAGCGGGAAACATCAATAGTCTGATGCAATCTGCTCCCGCCTCCTGTTGTGGTTCTTGGACAGGCTGAACTGGGAGGCTACGGAGCACCGCAACCAGAAGGCAGGCAGAACAGCAAACAGAGGCTCTGAGGTGGCGGGCAGCCCAGACCGGGAGAAGAATGCTAGAAACGCCACACCATGGGCCCCCTTTCCCTGCTAGTACAACGGAGAATGACCCGGAGGCATTCCACACGGCGTTCGAGATTGCTGCCACTGCCTCCTGGTTACCTCCATTGGAGTGGGGGCTGCGCCTCCTCCCTCTGCTGACAGGGAAGGTGCAGGGAGCAGCGCCATGGCCTGCAGCTACGAGGAGGTGAAATCACCTACGCTTGCAACCACAGTGAAGCTGGTATTTAAAAAGAGGCACTGACTTGGTACCCATTAGTAGTGGAAAAGATATGGAACCGAGCTACACCAAGTCGAGTAGGTACCAGTGAAAAAGGCTCACTAGTTATGAACAGTCATTCATAATAATAAGTCCTAGTTGAAGCCTGGGAAGTAAAAATGTTAGCTGAGTCTTTAGGCTGGTCAGTATGTGTGCAACAGCAGTGTTTAACTACTTTATTCTTAAACACTGATACTTGATTGCCCATTGACCGCTGGAGATAGGCACCAGCCCCCCCCCCCCCCTTACATGGACAAGCGGGCTCAGAAAATGGATGGATGTTACAAGGCCCAGACTAGTTTAGAACCAATAAACTCTTCGTCCTAGGAGTCTTTTAGAATGCACAGCCTGTTGTGTTAGGTTTCAGATTTTTGGCCCAGGTTTCTCCTTCAGTTTACCTCAACAACTTGAAGCATTCCTCTAGAATAAATAACTAATGAATCAGTTTTCACGAAGATTCATCTTGAGTTTGAAACCCGTATTTAATCCTGCAGGTGTGATGAACTTACCTGGCTTTAAGGATGCCGGAAGGAGCCCCGCCTATATAGATATCAGAGAACGGCAGGGTGGTTTTAGGATTCTCAAACGTTTTCACGAGGTTCTTGTCTACTACTAGGATCACCTTCCTGGAGTGATGGTAGATTACTGTCACCTGTGAGGTTTTAAAAGAGAAAAAATTTAACTTGCGTTTGAATCAATAAGAAGACCAAATAAAGAGAAAACGACTGACCTCGTGGTATTTTGCATCGTTTATCTGACGCTTTGGTGAGTCATCCTGAAAACGCTTTGGCCCGTCAGTGAAGCCAAAGTCATAAACTAAATTCAAAAACCCGTTCTTTATTTCCAAAAGGAAGAATTTATCCTGGAAAAAGAAAAGCAAATATTTGTTAAGTGAACAGATGATCAGATCAGCCAGAGATTTTAACCCCCCGCCACACACACACACACACACACACACACACACACACACACACACACACACACACACACACACACACACACACACACACACAGTGTGTGCTCGCCCCGTAATCGGAAGGTTGCAGGTTCGAGCCCCGCTCAGTCTGTCGCTGTCGTAGTGTCCTTGGGCAAGACACTTAACTCACGCTGCCTGCTGGCGCCAGTGCTCGGCAGCCTCGCCTCTGTCAGTGCGCCCCAGGGCAGCTGTGGCTACATCGTAGCTCATCCCCACCAGTGTGTGAATGTGTGAATGACTGATTGTGTTGTAAAGCGCCTTGGGGGGTTCCATGACTCTAGAAGGCGCTGTATCAAATACAGGCCATTTACCATTTTACACACACACACACACACACACACACGCACACACACACACACACACACACACACACACACACACACACCCTAGCTGAGTCCATGTCAAGTTTTTAAGTACATCTACTTTTAAAGGTGTGATTCACCAAAAAACAAAACAAAAAAAAAAACACTTTTAATGATTATTTCTGATTCTAACGAGTCACTCTGCGTGTTTCATGCAGGCTGAACATGAAAATAGTCTCCTACACCCATCTCCCGCTTTAGCTTCTGATAGTAAACAGACGATGAAACTCCAGGATTAGAAAAGCCGGACAGATCTACGTCACACTGTCACTTAACTCTTTGGATCCCGAAGTTTTTTCAAGAAAATACTGAACTCTGACATGACTGTTTCAACCGGTTGTAGCTAATAAATGTATCTAATATACTTATTATTATGTCATCAGACTGCCATATTGGAATGCATCATTTTTACAGATGTTCCTTCTTATTTTTATGTTATTGTGAAAATGTCATTGTGTTTTAAAACTGTTATTTATTTCTACATATATACCGTAAATCCTCTAATACAGGCCCGGGCCTGTATTAGAGGATTTACGGTATACATTTCTTTTGACATATATTTTATTTTTTCATAATATACTTTTTGTTATTTATATTTGTCAGGTTTTTGGGCTTATTCAGCTTCAGCATTGACCTTCCCTTGTATGTAAAGAACATTTAACCCAAGGAAAGTTCCTGATGTGGACCAGAAGTGTGTGGAATATTCATATCGACTGTGACGCACCTTTACTTTCAGTTTCACGTGCAGCGATTGCCCCTATTTATGCTTTTCTGTTCTACACTCCCCCTACATCTGTCACCACTAGTAATGTTTTTTACACCCACCATGGTCTGAACTCGGTGAAAATGGCTTCAGATCATGTTTGAGCAGCCTGTTTTCTCTCATGAAGCACACGGCCTCCATCCGTCTCACTGGACGAGTGAAAATCAGAGGCTAAACATTCCTCCTCAGAACCAGAGAAGGAGCTTCGTCAACAATAAACAGACCTGTCAGCATTGTAAGTGTTTCCTCTAGCGTCACTTTTGTCCTCTACTCCACCGGGATCGTCCCGACACGGGTGGGGTGTGTGTGTGTGTGTGTTGGGGGAGGGGTTGGGGGGGCTGTCACACTCTTTAAACTCAGAACATTTCTGTAGAAACACCCACAAGTGTTGCTGAGATTGAAGTTACACATCTCCACTGTCGTCTGGTATGTAGTAATAACTTCACGAGGGAATACGTTTGCAGCGGTGGCTCGTTAAACCCAGCCATGATGTTTGTCGCAATTTTGCTACCTTTGCGCTTGGAGGATTGACATTCGTTGACTCACCCATGTTGACCCACGACGGGGAACGCTGTTGTTGGTTTAGCATCCAGGAAACAGCAGAGAACGTCTCTGCTAGTAGAAGCTAACCGTTAACATTAGCAACTACACCACACAGCAGAACTCCTCCAGGTTTGTGGAGATAAAACATCAGCGTTGCAGAGAAAACCGAGTCCGTGGTAGAGTCATGTTGCTGCTAGCCAATCAGAGGAGAGATGTCCACATATCAGGAAAAAGGGCTCCAAATCCTGCCGTCTGAAGCTACTTTCTCCTTAACCCCTCATGCACACACACAAGTCGTTCATTCCAACTACACACCACTGCTACCATACCAGCACAGTGGCCTAGTGGTAGAGTGTCCGCCCTGAGCCTGGGGGACCAGGGTTCGATTCCTGGTCGGGTCATACCAAAGACCTTGAAAAGAAATGGGACCCAACGCCTCGCTTCTTGACACTCAGCATTAAAAGGGTTGGATTGGGGGGATTGAACCACCAAATGCAGCTCACCGTTCCCCCGGGGGATGGGTCAGATGCGAAGGACTAGTTTTGCACACACTGTGTGTCACAACTGATGGGACTTTAATACGGATTAAAAAGCACATCTTTAAGCTCAAGGTCAGTGGGAGACCTTGTGAAATGATGAACTGTAAAACATCTTTCAGAGCTTGAACTTGTTCAGATAAGACTACACTTGTTCATCTCGTCCATCATCCAGGTTTAGACGTACCCTGTTCACCATGAGGAAAACGGCACCATTCTTTGAGACTGTCCGTACGGCAATATCAAATCTTGTGACAACAGCAAACGGTGCTCTTCTCTCCATGTTACTGATGAGCGCATAGCCTCTCCCGTCAAACAAGTAGCTTGCAATCCGACTCTCAGAGAAGGCCAACTTGTACCTTAAAACAGAACAAAAAACCTCAGCTTGTTAAATCATCTACGAGATCTGTTGGGCTAAGAAAACCAAAGGTTTCTGGTCTTGGGACAAGCCAGAACGGCCATGTAGACGTGGTACCTCGAGCATGGCACTGAAGAAGCCACGTTCATGTTATGGGTTTCTTTAAAGTTGTACAGGCTGATGATGCCGTTGTTCAGAGACGACAGCTCGATGCAGCCCACAAAAGGGGCGAGGCTCAGAGGAGGTGGAAGCTGCAAAGTAAACAGAACAAAAGCATTTTCATAGCTGATGTTGACTAAAAATCAGATGATTACTTTAGGATTTCCACACGATAAAATCACCTTAACACCTTCTGGGGCACCGCCGACGAACAGCACAATATTCTTGGGGTCAACATCAAAAAGGGAGCTCGGAGCTTCACCTTTTTGGATGAACTTCTGCTCATCTGTAGATCCCTGACTGGGGATGGTCAGAAAAACTTTCCCATGTCTACCCAGCCTGCAGAAAAACAACACGAGCACCACATTACCATTCTCAACAAATCATAATTATGTCAAGAGGGACTTCGGCTCTATTAGCTGTGCGGTCTCACATAACATGATTTTGGCAGCTCTAATCATGGCATTTTCATTACCTTCCAGAATGAGCCATTTCATGGTTATGCCACGCTAAGAAAAACCAAATAAACAGTTTATTTAACTGTCTTTTTATTGGAGACTTTGCCTTGCAAGGCCAGGCGCCGTGACATTGACAAACACCTGTTGCCTCCCTGTTATTCCTGGGAGGTGTGCTCATCAGGACCGAGCCGGACTCCCCCACAAGAGGGCGCTGTCACTGGAAGCCCATGGACAGCTTCTAGCTCTGCTGCTGACACAGCTGCAGTGCATCAGCTGATGAGGGCACCAGCTCCAAGCTGAGCTGAAAAGAGTGTGAAGAGCTGAGCTGTTGAGAGGCGTACTAAGAGCTCAGAAACGGACTTAAGACAGATGCTGAACTCAGAGGGGACGCTGAGATGAGCTGAGCGGGGAGACGCTGCTGATTTGAAGGCTTTTTTGTTTCCAAATGAAAAGGTTCAACCGTTCATAACTGTAGATAAAGGAAAATGCGCACATTTGCCGTCACGTTTAGAAAAATATTGAGTGTGGCTCGCGACTTCGTCCCAGTTTTTCATTTTGGCCCAGTGTGAATTTGAGTTCGACACCCCTGGCATAAGTATTACTGTGCCTACTCTTGCGTACCAAAGGTCAAGTTATTCATACCAAAGGTCAAGTTATTCATCAGAATGAACAGAAATTTACTTTTAATTTGCAGCCACAAGCTGCCTTACACATCCAGGGACAAATCACATCCATCTGGCCTCCAAGAACGAAAAACCGGGATATGCCATGTGCAACCAGTCAAAGTAGTCATAACATCGTTGCCCAAGGTCTCAGGCGGAGACTCTTATTTTCCACTCTGAATAAAGTTCACCTTCCTTGAATCATAAATGATTTTACAACTTTATAGGTTGATATTTTCGAATGAACGAGATGTTTGAATCCTAAAGTGTGTGAATAATGTGTGCATCAATCAATGATGTGTTAAAATGAATATTTTTCCTGCAGTGAGTCATTTCAGATCTTAAACTGCACCAGATCAGTGTTAACAAGTTACTCAGTACACTCCTACACATTATAATGATGTTTACATATTTATGTGAAGTGAATGTTAAAAACATTTTCACATTACACCAAGAGTTACCCTCTCTGAATACTTCAGGTTGATTAGCAAGGTCAAACCCTGCTTACCATACAGTGGCCTAAAGGCGATCCGTGCACTGATGACCTCCAGACTGCGCTACTGCAACTCCCTCTATGCTGGGTTGGACAACTCTCTGCTGCTGCCCGTCTGCTACGGGTATTAAGCTTCGTGATCACGTCACCCCTGTTCTGTCCGCCCTGCACTGGTTGCACGTTCATTTTAGGATTGATTTTAAGACATTATTGGTACTTTTTAAATGTTTGAACAGCCAGGCATCTCTTTAGCTAACAGAGAGTCTGAACAGGCATGTTCCTACAAGACGTTTGAGGTGTGAGCTCCAGCTCCTTTTAGAGGACCCTAATGGGCCATTCCCATCTGTACCGGGTCGGTCCCAGCCTGGCCCAGTTGATTCCACACATCCTTGTCTTAAGCCCATGTGGGCTGATTCTACCCACCAATCAGAGGCTTGCTCTAATGGAAGGTGTGAATTTGCTGTCAGCAGTGGGTGAGTTGGCCCTGGTCGGCCTGAAGCAGACCCCCTCGAGAAGAGGGCTGAGAATGAGCCTTGGTTGGCCCGGAAAAATACCAGGCCACCCAGATATGTAAACAACCTACACTACCCGGCCCGGGCCGACCCGGTACAGATGGGAATGGCCCATAAGACTTGTCTTGTGACCTGAAGGGACATGGCCAGTTCTGCTGTGGGTCCCAGACTATGGAAGAATCTTACTCTGTCTATAAGGATGGCTGAGTGTCTGCAAGAGTTTGTCTCTTTTTAAAACTTATCCTTTTAACTTGGCTTTTAATCTCAGCTGAGCAGAAACGCATCGTGGTGGTTTGTTATTGCTATTAGTGTTCTACTTTCCGTTGGCGGCCATTTTTACTCAGTCCTGTCTTGTCTTTGTTTTATCCTGGTAACTGTGTTTGATTAGTCGCGTCTTTGCCTGTACAGCACTTTGGTCGCTTCTGTGTGGAAAGTGCTCAACAAATAAAGGTTGATTGATTGAAATATCACTTCTTATTGAACACTTATATTTTATCGACAATTTATTAAAAGTAACTACTTACAACATGTTACAAGAGGAATCAGAGGTACACTGCACAGCCCCACGTCTCAATAGAGGCGTGCTGTGTTGTTTTTCGTGGCTCCGGGGATACAGGTACAATCTCTTTCACTCCTAGAGGGAGCCGGCTCTGAGAGCTGTGTCTTCTGCGACTGATGCATCACTAGGTCACTAGTTCAGTGCAACGCTTGTGTGGAACTAGAGAAAGTTAGAGCTGCTGCATGTTAGCAATAATCTGCTTTAGGCTCATTTTTCGTTGTTTACTCGCTGATAGATGCCTCTACCTTGTGGAAAAGTACCACACAGTTTTATGTTCGGTTAGCCTAGTGCGGGCGCTATCTACACTTCCCACTCACTTTCATTTCATTTTGGATCACAGCTCATAGCTTGTATTGACTTTGATGGACTGCTGCATGTTTTTGCAAATGCTGTAAAGACACCAAATAGTCTAGTTGGGCTGCCTTTGGTTACATTCAAATGGTGAAAAACACAAGTGAATGATGAATTGGCTTAATATGCTGTATGTTCGTGCAACAGTTAACCATTTAATATAACACTAATTATCTCTGGGGAGTACTAATACTTGCTTGTAGTGTTGGTGGAGAATATGGTGTCGATGTTTGGCCCTGTTCACACAGGTCGGGTTCCTTCTTTTTCCATATGGAGCTACTACTAGCCTCCAGTGTGAAGAACCTCGAGCCCCAACCCTGGTCCTCACATGTTCTGCATGTGTTACATGTTGCCCTTTTAAACACCAGTGTTTCCTGCTGCCACACACCCGACTTAAATGAATACGTGATTAACAGGCATCTGCAACACTTGATGTCCTCCTGAGGAGCCGGTGTAAATTAGGTGTGCTGAAGCAGAGACATGGACAACATGCACGGCAGTGGGCCCTGAGGACCAGGGTTGAGAAACACTGACCCAGAGAACCCAGAGGAAACCGATCACATCAATCAAATGATTTCCTTCTTTTTCATTAAGGGGGATTCTGCATATATAGGTATTGGACATTAACTCATTCATTGCCAGCCGTTATCTGAACAGAGCTTTCGAGCTTTTTTTTACAGTTTTTTGAAGAATCACAGAACAACGTACTCGATGATCATGTACACACAAAAAATACCAAAAGAAAGAGTAGACTCACTTCTTACATCAGGAAGAATCACGTGTTTCTAGCTTTTTCCATTCTTTCACAATCCGTGGTCCAAGAGTGAGCAGCAGGAGCTTTACCGGTTAGCACCTAACGTTTGACACAATGGCCTCCCAAACCCATCTCCTAATTCATGGATTATCTGCTTTATGATCATGTGACGTGTGACACACACAGGTGAAAATCATCTTTAGAGCGAGGATGTTTACGCTAAAGGTCCGCGAGCTCCTTTCCGAGCCTGCCTCGTTAAAAAATGCAACTGACGACTTGAGTCATCAATGGCAGTGAATAAGTTAAGAGGCGGACTATCGGATATCAGATATCGGTTAAAAAAGCCATTATCAAGCATCCCTGCTAATGTCCTTGTTTGGGATGTCACAAACTGGGACTTTTTAAAAATGGTTTGTTTGAGGCATATTATTTCTGAAACATAACACTCACCAAAACCAGATGGGTGTTTTTTTATTCCCATTTGGAGTGTTTCCAGTGGCATTAGAGACTCGCATGGCAGCACAAAAGGGGAGTTTTGCACAATATGCCCCCTTTGAGGTTTTTTCATTAGGAAAAGGCTACCATTTTAATAAAGTCAGAATGAATGAAGAGTTCAGATCATTTTTACATTAAACAAATCCTTCAGCATGAATCCTTCAGTGGTTTAAGTTTTACCTCTCTATTTTGATGTGGTTGAAGACTGCAGGCCATTGGCTGACAGGCTTTGATGTCAGTGGGATTTCAACGTCTTCACTTCCGAGGTTGTAGACAAAAACCAGGTTGTCATTCTTGATGGCCAAACCCATGTAGTCTTTCCGGCCCTTAAAGCAGCAACAACAGAAAACATTAACTCATGAACTACCAGTTGTTTTCTGAACATAAAGTCCCTGATCATCCACTTTCTTCCTTTTACCCGGAGTCGGGTCGCGGAGGCAGGAGCCTAAGCAGAGAAGACCAGAATGTCCTCTCCCCAGCTTCTTGGACCAGCTACTCTGGGGGAAACCCAAGGCATTCCCTGGTCAGCCAAGAGACATAGTTGGCGTGCCTGGAAAACCTCACCACGGAGGCGTACATACGGACTAGATGCCCGAGCCACCTCTACTGGCTCCTCTAGACGTGGAGCAGCAGTGAGTCTACGCCGAGATCCTCCCGCATGACCGAGCTTCTCACCTTATCTCTAATGGGGAGCCCGGCCACCCTGCAGAGAAAACTCATTTCGGCCGCTTGTATCTATAGGTGAGTGTAGGAACGTCGATCGACCGGTAAATCGAGAGCTTTGCTCCCTGGCTAAATTAAATTAAATTCAATTCAATTCAAGTTCATTTATAAAGCACCAAATCAGGACCAGAATCATCTTAAAGGAGACATAACATGAAAAACTCACTTTTTTGTCCATTAACTTCACTAGAGTTGCTATTTAGATATTTTATAATTAAGTTTTGGGCGTATTTGACCACCCGTTCAGTTTTTCAAAATACCTAATACATCTGAAATTTATGTCGTCACAATAACTACCAAAAATGGTCATGGCCCTCCGGCTAAACACAGAGCCAATCCACCATTTTTTCTTCTCGCTAAGATTTTTGAAGTCCAATTGGAAAAATGCAGAATGTCTGGTTATTTTAGCCACACACAGCTCAAAACTGTTCCTCGTTTTAAGGAAGAGTGGTGTGGCAGTATTTAAAACCAGGAGCTGATGCCACTACTGCTAAAAAAACTGAAGAAAAAAGTAGTGTGTGTGTGTGTGTGTGTGTGTGTGTGTGTGTGTGTGTCCCAGGCTAGTGGCTAGTACAGAGTGCTTCGTCTAAAAGGAGCAATTTCCATCTGAAAGTGGCGGTAACGGGACTTTACGACAAATGTCGGCAAACTTTACTTTAGATTTATGGGCATTAGCAGCACTATAGCATTAGCTTCCGACCCGCTAACGCTAGCACAATATGCTAGTAAAGTTAGCACCCAAATTAATGTGGAATTGGCCGATTTTCGTGGAATAAAACGTGATCTGGAAATTCTGATTAATACCTTTTTTTAAAACCAGATGATAACCTTCAACTGATAATAGCAGCAGAGAGCCTGTGTGTTGTTCTACGTGAGTGTGATCTTAGCATCCAATAAATAAAGTCCCATATCAGCTAAAATGCAGCGTGACAAAGTTGTTAAAGTGCATCAACACAGTGGATTTAATACGAGTTTTAAAGAACAATCTCAGAATGAAGTGAGGTTAGTTTTTTGTCTCACTGCAGATAAAAAAACTAACTCTGCATCAGTCAGACGCAGCGAAGCTCACTGACACTCGTCTGCATGAGCGTGAGCGTCGGAAAGCTGATAAAATCACCTGTAAAATAATTAAAACAAAAGTTAAAATGCCCCTTTGCTTTTTAGAGTCCACATCTAGAAAGCTGGAGCCATGTTTCACTGACAGGCTCGTTGTCGTCGTCTTCCTCCGCTTATCCGGGTCCGGGTCGCGGGGGCAGCATCCCAACTAGAGAGCTCCAGACAGTTCTCTCCCCAAGCCACCTCCACCAGCTCCTCCGGCAGGACCCCAAGGTGTTCCCGGACCAAATTGGAGATGTAACCTCTCCAACGTGCCCTGGGTCGACCCGGGGGCCTCCTGCCGGCAGGACATGCCCGAAACACCTCCCCAGGGAGGCGTCCAGGAGGCATCCTGACCAGATGCCCAAACCACCTCAACTGGCTCCTTTCGATCCGGAGGAGCAGCGGTTCTACTCCGAGTCCCTCCTGAATGTCCGAGCTCCTCATCCTATCTCTAAGGCTGAGCCCGGCCACCATACGGAGGAAACTCATTTTGGCCGCTTGTATCCGTGATCTCGTTCTTTCGGTCATTACCCAAAGCTCATGACCATAGGTGAGGATTGGGACGTAGATCGATCGGTAAATCGAGAGCCTGGCTTTCTGGCTCAGCTCCCTCTTCCCCACGACAGATCGGCTCAGCGTCCGCATCACTGCAGACGCTGAACCAGTCCACCTGTTGATCTCCCGATCCCTCCTACCCTCACTCGTGAACAAGACCCCGAGATACTTAAACTCCTCCACTTGAGGTAGGACCTCTCTCCCGACCCGGAGGTGGCAAGCCACCCTTTTCCGGTCGAGAACCATGGTCTCAGAATTGGAGGTGCTGATCCTCATCCCAGCCGCTTCACACTCGGCTGTGAACCTTCCCAGCAATAGCTGAAGGTCAGAGCTGGATGAAGCTAGGAGGTCAAGATCATCCGCAAAAAGCAGAGACGAGATTCTCCTGCCACCAAACTCGACACACTCCACACCACGGCTGCGTCTAGAAATTCTGTCCATAAAGGTAATGAACAGAACTGGTGACAAAGGGCAGCCCTGGCGGAGTCCAACCCTCACCAGGAACAGGTATGACTTACTACCGGCTATGCGGACCAAACTCACGCTCCTCTGGCAAACTCCCATGCCCCCTCCATCACCCTTGCAAGTGTATAGAGCTGGTCCACAGTTCCACGGCCAGGATGAAAACCACATTGCTCCTCCTCAATCTGAGACTCAACTATTGATCGGACACTTCTCTCCAGTACCTCGGAGTAGTACTTTCCAGGGAGGCTGAGGATTGTGATCCCCCCATAGTTGGAACACACCCTCAGGTCACCCTTCTAAAAGATGGGGACCACCACCCCAGTCTGCCACTCCACAGGAACTGCTCCAATGACCACTCAATGTTGCAGAGACGTGTCAACCACGACAGCCCTACAACATCCATAGCCTTGATATACCCAGGACGAATCTCATCCGCCCCCGGGGCTCCGCCGCTGTGTAGTTGTTTGACTACCTCAGCAACTTCTGCCCCCGAGATTGAACAGTCCATCCCCAGGTCTCCCGGCTCTAGTTCCTCCTCGGAATGCGCGTAGGTGGGATTGAGGAGCTCCTCAAAGTATTCCTTCCACCGTCCGACTATAACCTCAGTTGACGTCAGCAGCTCCCCATCCCCACTGTAAACAGTGTGAGCAAGTTGCTGCCTTCCTCTCCCGAGGCGCCGGACAGTTTGCCAGAACCTCTTTGGAGCTGATCGATAGTCTTTCTCCATGGCCTCACCAAACTCCTCCCACGCCCGAGATTTTGCCTCGGCAACTGCCACTGCTGCACCCTGCTTGGCTATCCGGTACCTGTCTGCTGCCTCTGGAGGCCCAAAGACCAGCCATGCCCTGTAGGCCTCCTTCTTCAGCCTGACGGCTCCCCGAACCTCTGGTGTCCACCAGCGGGTACGGGGGTTTCCACCACAGCTGGCACCGGCCACCTTGCGACCACCGCTAGCAACAGCCGCCTCAACAATCGTAGAGTGGAACAAGGCCCACTTGGAGTCAATGTCCCCCACTGCTCTCAGGATGCGGTCAAAGCTCTGCCGGAGGTGGGAGTTGAAGACCGTCTTGACAGGTTCTTCTGCCAGGTGTTGCCAGCAGACCCTGACTATGTGTTTGGGTCTGCCAGGTCTACGCGGCATCTTCCCCTGCCATCTGATCCAACTCACCACCAGGTGGTGATCAGTTGACAGCTCCGTTCCTCTCTTCACTCAGGTAGGGATGGGTACCGAATTCGGTACTTTTTAAGGTACCGACCGAATTCCACAGTACCGACCGACCACCGATTCACTACGTCATTTGAAACGGTGCCTCGTTTCGGCACCTGTCCTTCATAACGAGAACTTGCCTAGACAGCTGCGCATGCGCAAGAGCGTTATGTCGTCGGTCGCTGCGAGTCAGTTGTAAACAGAGCAGCATGGTAGAAAGAACGCACGCTAAAGCTTGGGTCCACTTCACTAAATGTGATGGGTAACTGGGTGATGATGAATCCAGCGACAACGATCTAAGTGAGACATCCTCATCTTAATCTGCTCTGGTAGGTAAATAAAATGTTTAAGATAAAGTTAGCTTGACATGTTAGCCACCGTTTCACTAATGGTGCGTTCGCTTTCTCCTCGGAACTCCGAATTTCCGACTAGAAGAACATGAACGCGCTCTAAAGTTTGGCTTCACTTTACTAAATGTGACAGGTGATTGGGTGAAGATGAAACCAGCGACAACGATTTTAGTGTGAGGCATCATCGTTTAAATCTGCTCCAGCAGCTAAATAAACTGTTTAAGATAATGTTAGCTAGAAAACATTGCTTCCATTGGCACCAATGTTATCAGCTAATGGTGCGTTCGCTTTTTCCTTGGAAATTCTAACTTCCCAGTAGGAAAAATCAAATGAAAAAGGACGGCAAAAGGAATGAAGATACACGGTAAATTTAGTTCACAGTAAAGATGTTTGCTTCAGTTTAATTATCAGCTTATAAAACTACAAGGACAATGTTAAAATACAAACAGTTGTGTGTTATTTATCGTGCTATTTATCAAATATGGTTATAAATTGAGAAAAATACATATTTAATTATAAAAGAGAATTAAAATATTAAACACTCAAAAGTATCGAAAATTGGTACCTTTAAGTACCGGTATCGATTCGTAGGTACCGGGAATTAGTACCGAATCGATTAAAATGTCAAAGGTACCCGTCCCTACACTCGGGTGTCCAAAACATACGGCCGCAGTTCAGATGATACGACTACAAAGTCTATCATTGACCTGCGACCTCGGCTGCCCTGGTACCAAGTGTACCGACGGGCATCCTTATGTTCGAACATGGTGTTCGTTATGGCCAAACTGCGGCTTGCACAGAAGTCCAATTATGAAACACCACTCGAGTTCAGATCAGGCGGGCTGTTCTTCCCAATCACACCCCTCCAGGTCAAGCTGTCATTGCCCACGTGAGCATTGAAGTCCCCCAGCAGGACAATGGAGTCCCCTGGAGCACTATCTAGCACTCGTCCCAGGGACTCCAAACAGGGTGGGTACTCTGAACTGATATTTGGCCCATATAATTAGAATGCTGAGCATTCTATCACGCTAAAACATTATGAAATGTTAAAAAAAAAAGTCTGGCTCGGGTCGGGCCAGAGAATCCTGAAAACCTTTTCGGCCTGGGTCGGGCTGGGGCTCCACCCCCTCGGGCCGGGCCGGACATGGGCTCAGATTTTAGGCCCGTGCAGGGCTCTAAACAGGATAACTCTATTGCATGGAGTTCCTTGGAGCCATCTGGGTACCTGAACTGGCTTTAATGGCGCACTTAGTAGTTTTGCTTTCTTTAGCACCCCCTAGTGTCTGTTATTAATGTCCTGTGGTCACACCAAAACCAACACTTATCTCCTTGCTGCGTGTTAATCTTTTTAACACCTTAATCTATCAGCTGAAAGGTCTCCCAGCCTTCCTTAGGTGGTGGTTCAGAACGTCTGTGCTCGGCTTCTGACCAAGTCCTCCAAACACACCCACATCACCCCGCTTCTCCTCCAGCTTCACTGGCTGCCAGTCAACTTCAGGGTTCATTTCAAGATCCTGGTTCTGGTCTATAGGGCCTTACATGGACAAGCACCATCTTAAATTGGTGATCTTCTCAGTCCCTACACCCCCAGCAGGTCCCTGAGGTCCAGTGACCAAAGCCTACTGGTTGTGCAGCACCAGGCTAAAGGTCAAAGGTGACAGATCATCCTGATGGATGGGTATTTCACCACGGAGAATGCGCTCCGTCCACTGTAGTGCAAAGCGAGACAATTATTAATATTAAAGCTCCGATGTACGATTACGTGTGTTAAAATGACGTTATTTATTTATTTATATGAGCGTCGGCGTTCAGAGATCTTCTCATTCCGGTGTGAGAGCAGCAGCTGAACCCGGTAACACCACCAGCAACAGAAACTGGTAGGGATCTGGACTTTTAACAATCAGCTTTGGTGTAAAGTGAAACGCTGTTTACAACATAAAATTATAAATCCAGAGGGGTGAATTTAGGCAAAGTCAGCAACATGTTTACATCGGTGAACAGCTGCAGAGAGAACGTAAGCTAACGTTGGTAAGCTAGTTAGCATACCGCTCTCTATGAGCCCTGCTAGATGCGCTACTTCTTCTGATCACTGAACTGGACATGAACTAGTGGAAGGAATGCTGGAGGAGTTTTGTTTTTGTTTTGATCACAAAAACAATTTCGGGCTCTACTTTTCCTTTTGTTTAGTACTCGTGTCGCTCGCTGTTTACATGCTTTTGCCGTCCAGCATGGTGGACCCACGTGGTTAGGTGACGTCGGTGCAAAGGGTCAATAGGAGTGATTCAATACTGAATTAAACCACTCTGATGTGTTCATGATCTAAAACATGGTGGTAACGTGCTGGAAGTAGACTGCAGCGGCAGCTATGTCAGCTCAAGTCCCAACAGAGCGGCCCGCCAGGCCGAAGATGCAAGTGCGGTGTTCTGGCCACAGGGGCCGGTGAGGGTGTAATCCTGTCAAGGGTCTTCTTAGCACATACTGGCTCAGGAAACTGATTTAAAAACAGGAAAAAGTTGCATCGTGTGGCTTTAACTCTTTAGCCAAAACTGATTGATTTAAACAGCAAAGCATCAACTTTAAATGTGACTGAAATCCTCACATTTCGCTCTCCCAGGTATAAGATGAACCTGTCTTCTATAGGATCTTTGTCCGGGTCCACCCTGAGGAACAGGCTGATGGATGTCACTGTCTTCAACTCTTCCAGATTGCCGTGTGGATGAACCTCCACTGAAGACTGTCCATTGAACCTCATGGACACCTGGACCTAGAGCAACACAATGTGTTAATATAAACACTGCCAGCCTCATTAAGCACGCTGTGATTGCAGCTTCAGCAATGCTGAACCTACCTTCCTGACTACACTTCTGGCCTGGGAGATGAGCTCTCGGACTCTCATGATGTTGGTGGTAACATTGTTGGCTGGCTTCTTGTCTTCAACCACCTTCAGCTTATTCAACAGTTCAGGCACAAGAACGTTCAGCTTCTCCACTGTACAGCCATGGAAACAGAGACCAGATGTGGCACATGTGAGAACCCGCACTTAAGAAGGAAATCAAAGCTAAATGGACACAAGACATTTTATCATAAATTTCTTTTCTTTTAATTGAAAGAAAACATTTGTTTCTCCTTGAAAGAGTTGCTGTGAAACTATCAAGTTTTGCATAAAAGTCGATAATGTTGAAATATTCACACTTCCATTTCTGTAAGAGTAAGGAAAGGCAAGACAGCATTATTTATATAGCACAATTCATACACAGGCAATTCAAATAGGCTTTCCAATTAGCAAGAATAGCAAGGACATTAAAATCAACATGACAGAAAATACAATTAAAAAATGAAAAGGTTAAAGGTGCAGTATGTAAGAATAAAGTGAGAATGTTGCAGTGTTGGCTGCAGAGCTAACGCTGCAGCGCCCACTATTGTAATTTGATGACAGCTGGCAAAAACCTCCAGAGTTGTTCAAGTGGTTGCAGTAAAAACTTTTTAACTCATGTAACATACCCAAAGGCCAGTGTTTACATCACAAATGACCACAAATTAACTTTTAATTTGCAGACACAAACATCCCATCTGTCTGGCCTCCAAAAAAGAAAAGCAAAGACCTAAGACGACAAAACCAATTAAGTTAGCCATAATAAGTGCTGGAAGACAAGGTCTCATGCAGAAGACGAGACTTTCTGCACTTTCACTCTGAATAAAGTTCCTCTTCCTTGAATCATAAATGACTTTACAGCTTTATAGGTTGATATAATCAAAGGTCAAATCCTCTGCAACGCTTGTGAGTGATTTCAGACACAATGGCTCTTTCAAAGCCACTGAACAGCCTCAGACACAAAATAGACACTCCAGCTTCCTGCCGTCACCTAAAGATTACCCAGAGTAGGCGGGTCATACTCAGAGCTGGCTACGAGCTCTGGTACCAGAGGTCCACGCCATCAGCAGTGTTCATCTCAACCTCCTGACCCCCTGGATCACACCGGTACCTTCATACAAGGGTGTGTAGATTGGCACAAATTGCGTTGGATGGTTTTATAACTAAAGTTTAGCTTATCAAACCATACAGCCAAACTGATTTTACAGCCCAGACTCCACCATCTCTCTCAGATAGTTAAGAAAGGTTTTGATAAAACATCTAGTGTCAATTCCATCATCTGTTATCTGTACAGCCATCATTTCATTCATACGTTGTCCTGTATTTTTATTTAGTTTAGGAAAATAGAATTAAAATAATTTTTAACTATATTCTTGACTCTGTTTGAATTAATACGAAGTGTGTTTATGGTCCCTGAATATGGCAAATAAACTAAAGTCTTCTGCTTAAACATTCAAAGACCAATCAGATTGATATCTCATATTTATATGGAACATCAATCTGATTGATCATTCAATATATATGTAGCCAATCCTTAACTTTACACTTAGGATGTCATTTTTACTTAATTTCTACGTAATGCACCTTTAAAGTTAAAGGATGAACAAATACAGTCCAGAAGGTGCAGCATAAGGACATTTATTCAAAGGCTGATGATTACATTATTGTTACTAGTGTTGGAACAGATCTGAGGTCATGAGGAAGCTGATTCCATCTGTGAGCAGCATAGTTGCTAAAAACAGCTTCACCCTGTTTGGTTCTGACCCGGTTCTACAAGCTGACTGTTTCCTAAGGATCTCAGAGCCCCGCTGGATGTAGATACAGGAGGGAGATCTGACATAAGTTTTGGTCCCATGCCGTTGAGAGATTTATAGACTAGTAAATGCACTTTGAAGTTGATTCTGTAGTTTACTGGTAACCAGTGTAGAGATCTAAGAACAGGAGTGATGTGTTTGGTTGTCTTGGTTCTTGTTAAGACTCTAGCAGCAGCGTTCTGAATAAGCTACAGTTGCTTCACAGCTTTTTTAGGAAGACCAGTTAGGGGACCATTGCAGTAGTCCAGCCTGCTGTAGATGAACACATGAATGAGTTTCTCTAGGTCCTGTCTGGACATGAGACCGCTGAGTCGTGCTGTTTGATGCAGATGATAAAACACTGATCTAGTTGTGACCAGTGAAGCTCTGGTCTGAATCAATTATGACACCGAGATTTCAAACCCTAGTCTTTGTCTTTATTCCTCTGGAGCCAAGCTGAACAATAGCCTCCATCCTATCCTTCTGACTTCCAAAGAAAATGGGTGTTTCTAAACGCCAAGGAACCTCGCCTTGATATCTCGGTTCCGCCCCGGTTGCCTAGGAGATATGTCATCAGGAACTGCCAAGGCGTGTTCCAATGTTCATGTTCTACCAAGGCGTTCTTGTAAGCAAGGCACCTGGCCAAGCAAGACATCGCCTTGCTTGGCCAGGTGCCTTGGCATTGACAAACGTCCAATAACTTCAGTCTCCACTTTGTTTAACTGGAGGAAGTTTGACTGCATCAGACCGTAAGTTGCTCCAAACACTGACAGAGTGAGTCTAGAGGACCACAGCCACTAGGTGATACGGCTAGGTAGATCTGGGTGTCATCTGCATAACTATGATAGGTAATGTTGTTATTGTCTACGACCTGACCCAGGGGCAGCATGTAGATTGAAGAGTAGTGGTCCAAGAATCGAGCCTTGGGGGACCCCACATGTCATGGCGATCAGCTTTGATTTTTGATCACCAGTAGAAACAACATTACCCCAGTCTCCTAGTCATGTTCTGTTTAATCTAAAGTGGTTTAATAATGTCTTGACTGTTTTACAGTAATGAATGAACCAACACAACGGTTTATTCTAGAAATGCCTTACTTCAGATCTTAAATACTCCAAACAAGTCTACTTGATGATTTAATAATGATTTATTATCAGCTATGTTGATATACTGATATTAATATGTGACCAATTTACTTCACAATAAGTTAAATAAGCTTTTCTAAGTGTCTGAGAATAAAGTGTGACATCTGAGAATTCTTGGTACACTCTCTAGATCTGCTTGGTCCAAAAATGATAAACCATGAACCCTTCAGAGAGAAAACCCTTTTTCACCCGCCATGACCAGCAGGCCCAGGAGGCTATCTGTGACCAGCTGATGCGGACTCAGAGGAATACGGCCTGTGACATCCAGAAGTCAAACTCCTCACTTTCCGAGACGCCTCCACACACACGGGTACTGTAACTCTGCTCTGCGAGGGATAGGTTAAGATTAAATTGTTAACTAATTAAACCTCATTAAATTCAACCTGATTTATTTTATAAACCCAGATATCACATTTCTCGGAGTCACTTCATTAAACCTTTTATACATAATGGTCACTAAAGTGAACAGCTACTCAAAATTGTTATTATTATTATTATTTTTGCTATAAAGCACAGCTGTTGAAGACTTCATTGAATTTGAGTCCCCCATTGGACTCTCTAAGTCAAGCCATCATATTCCGTGTTCAGAATGCACGTTTTCTACTGAGGTGAACGCAATAAATTATTTGTAAATTAAATGTTAAAACAAACTTTAGTTAAAATTACTTTCATTCATATTTAAAGGTGAATTAAAAAAATTGGCCAGCCGAATGCTGTTAGGGGCTGCAGAGGTTCCAGTGGAGCGTTCCTGGACCAAACTTTGCAAAGCAAGAGTTTGGTCTAGTTCACTAGGCTAAAGGTTTTTAACATCTAAGATCACATTTCATTAGAGTTCATTCATTCTGACATTTCATATCACTTTGAATCACCACTTACAATCATTCATCCTGCATCATCATTAGTACTAGAAATATAGCAACAAAAAGATTTTCATAAATTTATTTTTGTTTCTGGGTCAAATAATTATAAAGTGTTGTTTCCCTGGCGTACTCAAAGTCTCTAGTTTCCAAAAAGCTCTGTGAAGTTTTCTAGGAAGTGCATGAACCTGGAGTGTGTGTGTGTGTGTGTGTGTGTGTGTGTGTGTGTGTGTGTGTGTGTGTGTGTGTGTGTGTGTGTGTGTGTGTGTTAAAACTAAAGACCAGACAGGTAAACGGATGACCTGGGCTTTCCTAACTCCAAACACAGTGAGTGGAAGCTGACTGGGACAGAAGCTGCTCAGTAATGTGTAGAAATCAGACAGAACTTCCTACCTGCTTGTCCAGCAGAAGAAATGGCCTGTTCATAAGCAGCTGTGGAGTATTGGTTATTCCTCATGTTGGTGGCCCACTCCTCCACCTTGCTGCTGATGGGAGTAATGGTCTGAAGGACTTCAGTTGAACGGTGGAGAGTCCGTTGAGCCACGTGCAAGGTGTGATTCAGACGCTGCTCTGTTCTGTCTGTAAAGCATAAGTACTTTTTTGTTAGCGTAGGATCACTGCCGTCAATAAAACCTGGCCAACGCTTCCAGGTGGAACTCCGGTTAAAAAGCCCATTCATGTCAGCAATAGGGGTGTCACGATACTAAAATTTCAAACTCGATTCGATACTGGGGGGAAAAACTCGATACTCGATTTCGATACTATTTAAAAACACCAATTTATTGAACAAGTTTATTCAAAAAATAACATTCCTCAATTTATATTGCAAAAATTAAATGTTAAGAATTAAGTGTGTAAAGTGCTTAAACCTTTCAAGTATCAGCATTTTTTAAAACGTGCATACAAAAACTGGTGAAGGTTAACACTTTAAATCATGAATTGTCTCACTATATATACACTATTTGCAGAGTGATGGTTTGCTGCTTAAACTCTGTTTAAGTTGTATTTTTGTCATAAGATGTAATGCCATATGTTTTGTTCTGTACTTATGAACAACGCTGTTGGTCAATAAAGGGAGAAAACGAATTTCTCCACAGTAGGACAAAGGTACATCTACCGGTAATCTTAATAAAAACAGACTGGCGCACGGCAGTGACGTCATTAAAAGCGCCGGTTAGATTAGCCGCGGCTAGTCTGTTCACGCCTAGAAATCCCAGACCCGCTCCAAACGAACAGGGGAATCACGTTAATGATTCCTAACAAAACCTTTCGACATTGAGATGTTTTGGTGCAGATAATGTCTTATTTCGAGGCTGCACCATGGGTGCCCGTCCGCACCCGTTATATGGATATACGCTGATGGCGATTCGCCGATGGATCTAAATACCCCGGGGAATCCAAGTAGCACCAAAGTTGTCAGCGTGAGTAAACAAACGTACTGCATGCTAGAAATTAAGTCCGGGTTGCAATAAACGGGAGTTTCCTTTAAGCACATAAGTGTGAATATACAACTACGTGTCGGACTTGGTATGCTAATTAAGTTGGGCTGTGAAGCGCCTCCCAAATTCGCTGTTTATGTTTTTGTTTATTTATTTGGCAGACAAAACTTGGATCGGAGACAACTCGCGTGGGAAATTTCTATGTAGCCATGCGGCGTCTTCTTCTTCTGTTTGTCTGGGAGGCGGAGGCTGCTTTACGGCATCTGGCTGTCGTGCGTGTCGGTGTACTTGAAGAAGGCTGTGTATAATAGTCCATAATATCGATACCACAGGGATGGAATATCTCATTTAGATACCACTTTTAGTATCGATTTATATCTAGGTATCGATTTTTTTGACAACATTAGTCAGTAATGCAACTTAGACTGAGAGACCATCCAAAGCCTCAGGAACTCTGTGCAGGTGTCTGAGTCTTCTTCCGCCGCCTGAGTCACACCGACACAGAATTGATGTTTTCCTCTCAAACATCTTCAGGGTCCACACAGACTTTAACTTGTGTGACCATCAGAGCTTTCTGCTGCAGCAGCTTTAACTTTTCTGTTGATCTTGGTTCTGTTTACACATCAACCCTTCTGGTTCCTGGGAGTTATCGTGTGAAATGAGCTGTCCTGGTCTGAGAATCCATGTTCATTAGCATAGACCCAGATGCAACCAGACCTTCTGTCTGTTCTCAGCAAAACGGGATTGAGTCAGCTGTTTGTGTCTTTCAGCTGTTCCACGTTTGGCAGTGAGAGAGTACGGCATCCCCGTGAGGGCCAGAGCAGGTGATGCTGATGTCTACACATGTCAAATGTTCCATCTCACCTGTTTGCATCTCATCAATGTCGTTCACTATTTCTTTCAGCTTCATCTCATTTGTTTCCATGGTCTCTTGGATCTCCTCAACGTATTTTCGTTCATCAGACACTTTACCTTCTACCTCTGCGGAGCACATTTGTATTAATGTGTTAATAACAACAGTTAATAACACAATGACAAATCCATTTTCAATGGCTGGTGAGAGAAGCCTGACATGTAAATACCGTTTTGTTCTGAATGTAATGAAACAGACTCCTTGAAGACATGTCCGCTCATCTTTACCAGGTGTTCCAGCTGAGCGTTGATCCCAGAGACGGCCTAAAAGATGCAATCAACCCAAAACCAGTGGTGAGTCATGAAGAATGACAACAGGAAGTCACGTCTCATTTGTGTGATAGAACATACATCTTCAGCGCTTCGAGACAAGTTGAAAGTGGTCAGTGAGGTAATGTTGGCATTCTCGATGTATTTCACTATGTTGTTGTAAACGTTGGCAGCACTGATTGCTCGCTGAACGAAGCCGTTGGCATCACTGTCCCTCAGATCCCTGAAAGAGGCAGAATGAAAGATTTTACAGTCTAAAACACACAAAACAAACCTATTTTCAGCTGTTTTCATCCCACTGTGCAAAGACCTAGTTTGGACGTCCTGCAGACGTGGTTTGGACAGATGGACTCGATATAGACATGATCATGCAACGTTGACTGTATATTTATTTTGTTAAATGATATGTGCAATTTAATAATGATGCCATACACTGTGTCTGTTTGTGTGAAAAAGCTTCATATGATGTGTTTTTGTAGTTTGGTAAGCACCTTCCTCAGAACAGGGACACCTTCCTCGCCTCTGTCAGTGCGCCCCAGGGCAGCTGTGGCTACATCGTAGCTCATCCCCACCAGTGTGTGAATGTGTGTGTGAATGGATGAATGATACACTGTAGTGTAAAGCGCTTTGGAGTCCTGACTCTGAGAGGTGCTATACAAGTGCGGGTCATTTATCATTCATTTACAAATGAATGCACTGGGGGTGAATGGAGACCAATCTAAGATGGCGGCCGGCCACTACAGCAGCTCCAGTATGCGATAACAGTCCACGGGTCGTCTATGTATCTATGTCTGTGAGGAAGATAGTTTGCTGCTAAATGAAACATCCAATTGTAGGTGAGTCTGTTTAGCCAATCAGAGGCGAGAAAGATGGGACCTTCCTTGGACATCCTACGATTCCAAATCACACGTCCAGGAAGCAGCAGAGAACGTATCGGCTAATTTAAGCTAACTACATCAGCAGCAACGCACAGCAGAAGATCCTCTGGGCTTGTGTCATTTGTGGAGACATCCTCGTTGCAAGTCAGTGGTAGAGTTGATTTGCTGTTATCGAGATAATTGGCAAGATGTCCAAATTTCAGGAAATAAGACTCGAAAACCTGCCGTCTGAACCTCAGCTGTGATGTGGGTCACTTGTAGCGCAGAGAAATGATGCACTAGCATATTGTTCCTCTGAGATCAACTTACCAGGCATTAATTCCTACTGGAGGCCAGTGCAAATCGAATAGAATAAATGAGTAATCCATTCCGTTTTACTTGTACTTCAGTTTAAAATCATTAAAGTATGTGTACTTTCACTCTGTCCCCGTCTGCTAGTAAGTAGGAAAATAGCAGTGGTTATGTTCCAGTAAGTGTAGAATTTTAGTATCACACACACACACACACACACGCACGCACGCATGCGCACACACACACACACACACACACACACACACACACACACACACACACACACACACACACACACACACACACACACACACACACACACACACACACACACGTCACACTGGTTAGAGCCCTGACCTTAGAACCCTAATCCTGACTGCATCTCACTGATGTTCTAAGTATAATAATATAATGTAACTAAGGCACTTCCTGGTGTTGAAGGAATATCTACTGACAGCTACAGTATCGGGGTCACCAACCTCTGTGAAGCTGAGAGCTACTTCATGGGTACTGAGCCACACCGCAGGTTGATACAAACAACAATGCCCTTTGAACTGGAACAGATGGGAGTTAAACTAAGCTTCACTTATAATCAACACAATTTACTATTTTTAAAGAATGTTTTTGTTTTGAAATCTTTATTATTGCATTTGTGACTGAATAGGTTTTGTTTATTGTAGACTTGTGCTTTAGAGAAAAGGCCTGTGGGCACCTTCTGTGGTTCCTGGGGCCACCAGGTTGGTGACCATTGACTAAGGCCCTGTCCACACGTAGCCGGGGATCTGCCAAAACGTAGATATTTGTCTACGTTTTGGCCTGTCATCCACACGAAAACGGAGTGCTTTCACACGAAAACGGATCTTTTTAAAAACTCCGGCCAAAGTGAAGATCTGCGTTTTCTCCGTTTTGGGTGTCTGCGTGTGGACAGACAAAACCGGAGTTTTAAGGTCCGCAACGTCACTTTCCGCGACAAAAAATGCTGACATCACGTGTGCGACCTGTGTTTACACTAGCCGACAGCACGGATGCCCTCAGAGCTGCGCTCGCTTTATCAATTGTCCAAGCGCTTTTTGCTTGTTTGTTTTTACAAGCGGAATTACTGCTCCTTGCGGAAGACCACAGACGAAGGACGAGGTTAAGAACGGGGGAAGTACTGCCGCCTACAGGTCTGGCATGTCCTTAACAACGTATTTTTCCGGGTACGTGTGGACAGAGTTTTTTAAAACAAGGTGGTGTGGATGCAAGTTTTTGGAGGGGCGGATATTCGTTTAAAAAAAACCCGGCTACGTGTGGATTAGGCCTTAGATGATATTTGAGCGTCATGCGAGAACTCACTTCTCCAGTTCATTTGACTGCCTCTCCAACTCTGAGGCATGTTCATCAGCCCTCTGAACCAGCTGTCGGTCCACCAGCGAGAGAGGGTCCATCTTTTTCTCCAGCTCCTGGCTGGCACCATCAATGGCAGCATGGTATTGGGTCACATTCTGCCAACACAGCACAACACACACAGACATTAGAGAACATTGTGAAGACTCACATCAAACAACCTGCATTAGGATAATGTTCTGAGCAGACGCTGTTACTGACGTGATCATTAGAAAACCCAGACACACTCACATATGTCACCATTCTGGTTGAAGAGAAGCTGTTTGAGAACACCGCCCAGCTTAGTATCCAGTTACAGACTGTTTCCAGTTCAGATGGATAATCTTTGGATTCTCATTCACTGCAAGTTTTGTCACTATCGTGGATGAACTTCCAACAAGCCCATAGTCCAGTAAATCATCATGTCCACAACTAGGTGGAACATTAAAAACGCGGAGCATTTTTGGCATCAAGGAGAAACATGGAGAAAGTGAATGGAGCTCACCTTCACTAGAGTATCCACCTCAGCCACGTTCCTCTCAGAGTCTGAGATGAACACTCTACTGGTTTCCAGTGTTCTGTTGACAGCCGAGTGGACCTCACTCATCCTCTGCTGCTTCACCTGGAGACACAACAATCCAGTAGCATTACACAAACTGCTCTATCAACCTCTGTGTTGGTTTTAATGTTTCTGTCTCTGGTTTTTGTTGTAAGGTGTCTTTGAGTTTGAGAAAGGTGCCCTAAAATAAAATGTATTATTATTATTATTATTATTAGTAATAGTAGTATTATTGTTATGAAACTTTTACCTGTTCAACAGAAAAATTAAGACACAAAGTTAAGAGGCAACAGGTTTACGCAGACAATCTTTACATTTAGAATTGGCATACAGATGTAAAATTAATTCAGTAAAATATAAAGCATTTTATTTAAATAACCATTCATTATTTTACAAGCACAGAGAGCCGCATCAGATGGATGGAAGAGCCGCATGCGGCTCCAGAGCCGCGGGTTGCCGACCCCCGGTTTAAGCAAACAAAAGTTTGTTTCCAAATGAAAAGTTTCCGCAACACAAATTTGTAGGTAAAGGAAAATGTGAACATTTACCATCACTTTTTCAATAAACATTGATTTTATCCCAGTTTTGAATTTTGACCCAGTGTGAATTTGAGTTTTGACACCTCTGGAGGAGACTCTTGGCCTACCAACTGAAACAACAGAATTCCTCTCGATTAATCTGTCAGGTTAAGGACCCAGCTGGTCTCCGATCCTGAGGAGGTGAATGAGGTATTTAAAAATTATTGTTCCACGTTGTATACTTCTGGATCTACTAGTAATATCTCTGAAGATAATTTGTTTTTGGATACTCTTGAGCAGGGGCGGCGTTAGGCCCGGCTACTTGGGCTGAAGCCCCGGATCTAAATCGCGGAAGTAACATGCAGTACCAAAGTCCAACAGAGAGGGAGCAGCTGGCAGTAGTTTGTATACAGCCTGCCTGAGCCTCCACCACTGAAGAAGAAGCCCTTCAGCAGCCGGCTTCTTCTGCACTCTCTGTCTGAAACGCATGAGTGAAGATGGACATAAGGACGTTTTTAGACCAAAAGTACGGCGACAGAACCCCAGCTTTGATGAGACTGGTGTTGACTCAGGTTTGTGGGTCTTATTTGAAAATATTTGTTGTGCTGCTGGTTTGCCTAAAGTTAGCTTATCAGGTAAAGTTGTTGGAGAAAGAAAGGGAATATTTACTATCATCTCACACTAAACACTAACAGGAACAATACTCTGCCCTAAATATGCTTAATATGTAGCTTCAGATTAAATATTATGTGGTACAAGACATATATGATGTTGACTAGTGCGTGTCACGTGTGTGTGTGCGCGCGTGCGTGTGTGTGCGCGCGTGCGTGTGTGTGCGCGCGCGTGTGTTAAGCCCCAGATCTTCTTCAGTCCTAAATCCGCCCCTGCTCTTGAGAGGCCTTCCGTTGATCCTGATGTATCTGAGCACTTAGATGTGCCACTTAGGTTAGATGAACTTATCCATGCAGTTAGGAACATGCAGAAAGACACCGGGCCCAGAGGGGTTATCAGCTGAGTTTGTCTAAACGTTTGCAGAAAAACTGGCTCCGTTGCTTTTATCAATGAACAATGAATAACTTCCATGTGGTCTATTGGCCCCTACACTACCTCAAGCACTTATTACCGTTCTTCTGAATTAGGACAAAGTACATCTTGTACTTCATACAGGCCTATTTTACTTCTCAACGTAGAAGTTAAAATGTTACCGAAGATTTTGGCCACTCCTCTTGAAAATGTTCCTGCTATCATCTCAGATGACAGTATGGTTTTATTAAGGACCGCTACCTGTTTTTTAATGTTTGTACACTTTTAAATATGATCCTTTCCCAACACTCGACCACTACTTCAGAAGTATTTACTGCTCTCAATACTAAAAAGCTTTCGATTGTGTGGAGTTCAACTTTCTCAATGCGATTTTTCGAAAGTTTGGTTTTGGGAAAAAACGATGCCAAGTGTTGTCATGGAAGATATCGCAAAATGCACTTGCAGACCTTGAAACATGACATTACACCCCCACCCCCTCAGCCCCGGGCTGGAGGGCAAGAAAATGGCACCTCCCAATTGACCATAGTTTTGTTTATCTGTTAGTTGTCAATAAACAGAGCTAAATAGTGGCAAAATAAAATCCACCAGCACGGTTAACACATGCAGAGCTGTAGGCTTCAAAAGTCAACGAAAGAAGGACCTCCATCCGTCCATCTTCGGCCGATTATTCGGGGTTGGGTCATGGGGACAGCAGCCTAAGCAGACAGGCCCAGACTTCCCTCTCCCCAGCCACTTGGGCCAGCTCTTCCAGGGGAATCCCAAGGCGTTCCCTGGCCAGCCGAGACATAGTCTCTCCAGCATGTCCTGGGTCTTCCTTTAGGCCTCCTCCTGTTTGGACGTGTCCGGAAAACCTCACCAGGGAGGCATCGAGGAGGCATCCTAATCAGCTGCCCGAGCCACCTCAACTGGCTACTGTCAATATGGAGGAGCAGCAGGTCTACCCAGAGCCCCTCCCGGATGACCGAGCTTCTCACCCTATCTCTAAGAGAGAGCCCAGACACCCTCTAAAACCTGGAGCACACAGAAGACAGATGCGCTGCACCACGTCACACCCAGGCCGTCCTTTAAAAAAAAAACATCTAATGGGTCATTCCCATCTGTACCGGGTCGGCCCGGGCCGGGTAGCCCCAGTCGGCCCCAGCCTGGCCCGGTTGATTCCACACATCCTTGTCTTAAGCCCATGTGGGCTGATTCTACCCACCAATCAGAGGCTTGCTCTAATGGAAGGTGTGAATTTGCTGTCAGCAGTGGGCGTGTTGGCCCTGGTGGGCCTGAAGCAGACCCCCTCGAGAAGAGGGCTGAGAATGAGCCTTGGTTGGCCTGGAAAAATACCAGGCCACCCAGATATGTAAACAACCTACGCTACCCGGCCCGGGCCGACCCGGTACAGATGGGAATGGCCCAATAGTTTTTGAGAGTTGTTACACAAGGAGCGCATCGCTGCATCCCAGAGGCGCCGGTTCGCACGGAGGCGCTAAAGATAGGTGCCAGTTCTATTCCAAGTGCCGTGGCATGGCTGTTTACAACATTGTGAAGTACTTTAGAACAGACACGACGACGAATAACGGCTCTGCGGCACAGACCCAACCGCCAAAACATGAGCGAGGAGCTTATAACTGCTACTTCATTACACTATTGATGATTTTAAAGTACTATTGATCTTAAAGTATTTTAATAAATAACGTGCTTAACCATTTTTAAATTCAATTCAAAATGTGACGGCAAGTCTGATCACGTATAGACAAAAGAGTCACTTTCCGCTTCCTGTTCACAAGTCCAGCGTGATGTTGTGACTATCATGCGATTTTCCAAGAAGAGTTCAGTGGCCTAGCGGGTCCCGTGTGACCATTTGACTTCTCAAAACTGCGGCGAGTCCGTGGTGAAGTGCATCTGTCTTCTGTGTGCCCCACGCTTAAGGGTATAGAGGTGGTCCAGTGTTCCACAGCCACGATGAAAAACACATTGCTCCTCCTGAATCTGTTCGACTATCCGACGAATCCTCCTCTCCAGAACCCGTGAGTAAACCTTACCAGGGCGGCTCAGGAGTGTGATCCTCCTGTAGCTGAAACATGGCCTGCGGTCCACCAGCCCAATCTGCAAATCCAGTGGAACTGCTTCCGATGTCCACGCGATACTGCAGAGCCGCATCGGCCGACACAGTCCCACAACATCAAAGAACTCTGGGCGGATCTCGTCTTCCCCCGGAAACTTACCCCTCCTGAGAAGTCGGATGGTGGACCAGAATCTCCACAAAGCTATGGAAGTCTTGCTCCCCGGCCTCACAGTTAGCTCTGAGATGTTTATTTATTTATTTTTTGTTCTTCTGCACAAACGTAATCTAAAGTAGTAACATCTGGAGCCCTAGGTTTTATTTTGTTATCTTAAATTGCAGAGATACAGCTCTGGATAATGGATGGAGACATGATTCTTGCGTTCCAGCTTGTGTGGATGTGCTCTGTCACTTGGATGTAAACAATAACTTTTAATGGCTCTATGAGAGACGTGAGCAAATCACAGAGATGCAAATACAACCACATTTGTTGGAACTTACCTCTTTTCTGCTTAATTTAAGGAGGCTGGCCTTGTTTTTGTCCTCGGTCTCCCTCACAGAACTGGCAGCTTTAAGCAGACCAGTCTGACTCTCTGACAGCCTGGCGGAGTAGCGGGACAGGACCTCTTTGACAGATGGAAGAAGACCCGCTGTAATCAGCTGTTTCTTCTCCAACTGGCGGATTTGTCTCAGCACTGGAAATAGGACAGACCACGAATGGTGACAAGTTGTGACCTTTACTGCAGATTTCTTCAAAGATTTCTTAAAGTACAACAATGTTTAAACAGGTTTATTTTAGCAGCCTGTTTGGATCTTTGATGTGAGTAGATGTAGGATTACTTCAAGCTGAAGTTGTTTTAGATTTTGTAAACCTATTGGCTAGATGAAATTTTGATTGTAGAAAAATGTGCACGTTAGTATTTAGAGTAAACCTCTACGTATGACTCATTTTGAAGCACACAGCTGCTACTTGCCATAGGTTCACTGTCAACCCAAATGTTGAAAATAATCAAATATTTTGAGTTAGTGAAACTCATAATTTTAAAATTGTTTTTAGAACTCAAATGTGTTGCTTCAGTTCAGCCTTTTCCTTTTTTTAAGTACATAACTCAAACTTTTTAATTAATCTGAACAATTTCTTTATTTTAGTAAATAAAACAATAAAGACCAACTCAACTGGAATGGGTAACAATAACTAAAAAGTGATTAATTTATCATTCTACGTTTCTATATCAGTGGTCCTCAATAATACTGGGTTAACAGTGTAGGGTATTTTTTTTACTTAATAATAATAATAATAATAATAATAATAATAATAATAATAATAATAATAATGCATTGAACTTATATAGCGATTTTCTAGACACACTCACATTCACACACTGCTAGTGATGGTAAGCTACTTGTAGCCACAGCCGCCCTGGGGAGGCCTGACAGAGGCGAGGCTGCCATTTGGCGCTGTCGGCCCCTCTGACCGCCACTAACACAGGCAAGTTGGGTGAAGTGTCTTGCCCAAGGACACAACAGCAGGAGACCCTTGGCGGGAGCTGGAATCAAACCCATGACCCTCCGATCATGAGGCAACCCGCTCTACCACCTGAGCTACTGCTGCCCCTTAATTTAGATTGTACTTAACTTAAAAATATATGTTCCCTTTACTTAAAAATAGTAATCTAAATGAACTAATTAAAATGGGTTTTTTTTCAACTCTTTTTGAGTTTCATTAACTCAAAATCTTTGATGTAATCAGGTTCATCAACAATTTGAGGTTTGCCAACTTATCGGGTTTTACAGTGTTGATGTAATGATCCAAGGACTTGGTTTTTACCTACCAATTAATACTGCCGTAGTTATAAAATGTTTGTAATGACAATGATGAACCTTTAATAAAAACCCTCATATGATAATAAGATTAATGTGAATAAAGTCTTGATTTTTATCTTATGATTATTCCTGTGTGAGTAAGCTCACTTTATTCTTTTATTTGTATTTGCTCTTGACAAGGACATGCAACAGTTTCATTGTGTATGAGCAAGTGTTGTGTTTTACTCCTTACGGTCATGGCTCATGGTAGACTCATCAGTGGCAGTGGTTTCTTTTTGGGACAGCTCCAGTTGCCTCATCCAAGTGATCGTTTTATGCGCTGTTTCAGTATTTTGTCTGACCACCTCTGGATCAACGTCCTGATTAACATTGTACACCTCCCAGTCCAGGATAATCTCTGCATACAAACATGAACACATTGACCAATTTAGGCCAGTCTTGGCCAGTGTGACAGTTTTTTAATTTCTTTAGATTTTTCTAAGCAACTCTAAAGGTTATGTCTAGTTCAAAGCCTCTGTGGTGGTAATTACAGTGGGTTACAAAAGTTTGTGTAACCTTGTTAATCTTCAATATTTTCTTATATAAATTATTGGTTGTTATATAAAAAAAATAGGAGACACACACACAGTGATGTTTGAGAAATGAAACTAAGCTGATAGGATTTACAGAAAGTGTGCAATAATTGTTTCAACAAAATTAGGCAGGTGCATAACTTTGGGCAGCACAAACAAGAAATTAGCTTAATATGTAGTAGCTCCTCCTTTTGCAGAAATAACAGCCTCTAAATGCCTCCTGTAGCTTCCAGGGAGAGTCTAGGTCTGGTTGAAGGTATTCTGGACCATTCTTCATGACCAAATATCTCTCCTTCATTCAGGTCTGATGGCTTCTGAGCATAGACAGCTCTCTTTAACTCACACCGCAGATGTTCAATAATATTCAGGGTTGAGGACTGAGATGAACAGTCCAGAACGTTCTACTTGTTCCTCTGCATGAATGCCTTAGTAGATGTTGAGCAGTGTTTATGGTCATAGTCTTGTTGAAAGATCCAGCCCCGGTGCAGCTTCAGCTTTGTCACTGATTCTTGGACATTGGTCTCCAGAGTCTGCTGATATTGAGTGGAATCCATGCATCCCTCAACTTTAACAAGATTCCCAGTCCCTGCGCTGTCCACACAGCCCACAGCATGATGGAACACCACCGTGCTTTACTGTAGGTAGCGGGTGTTTTTCTTAGAATGCTGTGATCTTGCTCCTCCGTGCTTGTTATGGCCACATAACTACATTTTAGTTTCAGCAGGTCACGGCACCTTATTCCAGAATGAAGCTGGCTTGTCCAGATGTGCTGAGGGCAGAGAAAAGCCTTCCTCTTCATCACTCTCACACACAGCACCTCCTTGTGGATTAGAGATTTTTCTTGGTCTGCCACTTGGAGCCTTCACTTGAACCGTGCCTGTGGTCTTCCATTTTCTCTGTATGTTCCTAACTGTGGAAACAGACAGCTGATGTCTCTGAGACACATTTCTGGATCGTTCCCCTAAATCATGATGATGAACAAGCTTTGTTTTTAGGCAATGTATGTATGTCATATCCTTATGTTTCCATTTTCAGTCACACTGCTACATTGTCTTCATCTACTATTGAGTTATTCTGTTATTCAGTTAAGCATTAATTTATTGATATATACACTACACGTTTAATCATTTACGACAATAGCGTATGGTGGTCTAAACCACCAAGGGGAGGATATGTAGGGGCTTTAAAGGTCAAGAGGTCATCTGTACAAATAGTATAGAACAGAATTGTGAATCTTTCGTTTAAAAGACTGTTTGCCTCAAGAAAATGTTCTAAACTGAAATGTTTATCATAATAACCAACAATTTATACAGGAAACTCCTGAAGTTAAACAAGGCTGCCCAAACATTTGCATCCCACTGTATTTCTAAAGATACTTACCATAAATTTGAAAACACAAAAACAAATGTGCAACAAGTATGTTTTTTATGTTCATTTGAACTTTGTTGACAGGCAAATTAAGTATACATTTTTAAAAATTCATAAATTCATTCACAGATATTTGTAACACCCTAACTCTACCCAAACATTCAAAGGCTGAATGTTGACATAAACATAAAATGTAAAACATAAACTCAAAGTGAAATGAGCGGTTACCTTCTATGTGTGATTTGAGATTTGTGAGGTTTTTGTTGAGTTGCTGAGACAAGGTCATGGTGTCGTCTGACTCTTTGTCCAAGCTGTTCACTAAACTCTTCACCAAGGTTTCCTGTAAAACCACCAACACAGCACCAAAGTCTACGGTAAGAGTTTAAGAGATGCATCTTTTTTATTGTAAGTGCTCAGAAATGCACTGATAGAAACTGCTTGCTGGAGTCAACTCAGTGTTTTTAAATATATATACCTTTGTGATTTAGAAAATCCACTTGTTAAAATGAATACATAACAATCCACATCACTGTAGACAAATGATGTTAAACAAAAACTCACATAACAAACCATTTTAACTACTTAGGTAAATATTGGAGTTTGCTACTTTCTTATGTGAATAAATAATATGCTCATGGCAAAAAAACAAAACAAAAAAAAAAGATAAAGAAAACAAATTAGCTTAAAGAGGTCCTTCACTCATATTTTTCATATATTTGTTGTGGTCTGGTGGGAATAAGTGCCTGGTAAGTTTTTCTTTGGGGTAAAAAGCTCCAGTGTGCCTGTTTGAGGACAGCTCTGCAACGCTGATAATTTATCTCTACAAACATCGTATCTCTACTCGGGTCAGCAGCGCTCAGCCACTCATTGACGCTACGACGAGCGACGATGTCACTTTTAAACATATCCTTAATATTTACACATTTCTTATCCGTGTTTCCTGAAAAAGTCATGATTTGGGGCAGATAAATGATAGAAATGACAGTTTTAACAGGTCTGATCTGAACGCGTTGGATGTTTTAAAGTCAGCATTATTGTCTCTGCTCCCTGGTTCCTAATAAAGGGTCACATTCCTGCGTTTTATCCCAACAGCAACAAAGTTTAAGCCCGTCTAAATGTATATGAGCAGAACTGGGTTATTTATGTAAAACTCACAATGCTGCCCTGGGTGGAAAAACATGACTGCATTTAAGTGGGTGGAACTTGCCACAATATACAGGTCCTTCTTATAAAAATTAGCATATTGTGATAAAGTTCATTGTTTGTAATGTACTGATAAACATTAGACTTTCATATATATTAGATTCATTACACACAACTGAAGTAGTTCAAGCCTTTTATTGTTTCTAATATTGATGATTTTGGCGTACAGCTCATGAAAACCTAAAATTCCTATCTCAAATAATTAGCATATCATGAAAAGGTTCTCTAAACGAGCTATTAACCTAATCATCTGAATCAACTAATTAACTCTAAACACCTGCAAAAGATTCCTGAGGCTTTTAAAAACTCCCAGCCTGGTTCATTACTCAAAACCGCAATCATGGGTAAGACTGCCGACCTGACTGCTGTCCAGAAGGCCATCATTGACACCCTCAAGCAAGAGGGTAAGACATAGAAAGAAATTCCTGAACGAATAGGCTGTTCCCAGAGTGCTGTATCAAGGCACCTCAGTGGGAAGTCTGTGGGAAGGAAGAAGTGTGGCAGAAAACGCTGCACAACGAGAAGAGGTGACCGGACCCTGAGGAAGATTGTGGAGAAGGACCGATTCCAGACCTTGGGGGACCTGCGGAAGCAGTGGACGGAGTCTGGAGTAGAAACATTCAGAGCCACCGTGTACAGGCGTGTGCAGGAAATGGGCTACAGGTGCCGCATTCCCCAGGTCAAGCCACTTTTGAACCAGAAACAGCGGCAGAAGCGCCTGACCTGGGCTACAGAGAAGCAGCACTGGACTGGTGCTCAGTGGTCCAAAGTACTTTTTTTGGATGAAAGCAAATTGTGCATGTCATTCGGAAATCAAGGTGCCAGAGTCTGGAGGAAGACTGGGCAGAGGGAAATGCCAACATGCCTGAAGTCCAGTGTCAAGTACCCACAGTCAGTGATGGTCTGGGGTGCCATGTCAGCTGTTGGTGTTGGTCCACTGTGTTTTATCAAGGGCAGGGTCCATGCAGCTAGCTATCAGGAGATTTTGGAGCACTTCATGCTTCCATCTACTGAAAAGCTTTATGGAGATGAAGATTTCATTTTTCAGCACGGCCTGACACCTGCTCACAGTGCCAACACCACTGCTAAATGGTTTACTGACCATGGTATTACTGTGCTCAACTGACCTGCCAACTCTCCTGACCTGAACCCCGTAGAGAACCTGTGGGATATTGTGAAGAGAACGTTGAGAGACGCAAGACCCAACACTCTGGATGAGCTCAAGGCCGCTATCGAAGCATCCTGGGCCTCCATAACACCTCAGCAGTGCCACAGGCTGATTGCCTCCATGCCACGCCGCACTGAAGCAGTCATTTCTGCAAAAGGATTCCCGACCAAGTACTGAGTGCATAACTGAACATAATTATTTGAAGGTTGACTTTTTTTGTATTAAAAACACTTTTCTTTCATTGGTCGGATGAAAAATGCTAATTATTTGAGATAGGAGTTTTGGGTTTTCATGAGCTGTACGCCAAAATCATCAATATTAGAAACAATAAAAGGCTTGAACTACTTCAGTTGTGTGTAATGAATCTAATATATATGAAAGTCTAATGTTTATCAGTACATTACAGACAATAATGAACTTCGTCACAATATGCTAATTTTTTGAGGAGGACCTGTATATTCAAGATGAGGTCTGATAACTGACATAATGAATTAAACATCCACATTTCTTTATTTCTGTATAAATAGTGTGTAGAACACTCTGTATGCTCCCTAAGAGTCCATTCTGCTAAGGAAAGACAATCATACATTTATTTAGAGGAAATCTACAGAATGATGCACAGATCTGCATCAGCAAGGGGCAGCAGTAGCCCAGGAGGTAGAGCGGGTTGCCTCATGGTCATGGGTTCGATTCCAGCTCCAGCCAGGGGTATTCTGCTGTTGTGTTCTTGGGCAAGGTACTTTACCCAGCTTGCCTGTGTTAGTGGTGGTCAGAGGGGCTGACGGCACCAAATGGCAGCCTCGCCTCTGTCAGACCACCCCAGGGCGGCTGTGGCTACAAAGTAGCTTACCATCACTAGCAGTGTGTGAATGTGAGAGTGCATGTAAGCGTCTTTGAGTGTCCTAAACAGCGCTATATAAGTTTGGTGTATTATTATTATTATTATTATTATTTTTTTTTTTAAATAAATTACTTACATCACTGTGATTATCAATGAAGTAAAACAACGATACCAGTCTGGGGATTGTTGTTTTACAGGATCTGGGGCAGCTGAGACTGTGTCGGTATGAAACTCACTCCGGTCTGACCCATACATGCGTTTGTTAGAGGATAATACTTTCATGTTTTGTAAAATTCAAAACAAAAGTATTAGTTCATTAAAACTAACTAGACTAAAAGTGAGACGCCCTCCAAGACAACACTGTTTCTTCGTGAAGAACCTCTTTAAATTTGTCGCAAGTTAAATGAAAAAGACAGTTAACAGTCATGCTGACCGAGTCTTGGAGCTCCTTGATGTCCAGCACCACCATGTCCGTGGTCTCCTCCAGCTCATCAGTCTGGGATTTCATCACAGATGACTTGTTCTGCCAACTCTGAAACTGTTTCTGTAAGTAAAACCATTCATCTTCTTCATTCCAGCACTTTTCCACCTGAAAAACGTTTTTAGTGAGTGGTGTGTCTCAGTTTTTTGGACACCACATGTGATGTTTGTTGACTTCCAGGAGGTTTTACACGTAGCAGATATAATCAGGCTTTAGATCGCATCATAGCCACAATTAGACGGCCCCGACCTGCAAGAGCTCACAGCCCCCCACAGCAGGCCCACCAAACTGATGCCGCAGAGGAAGAGGATGGACCGCCCTGCCAGATGCTGGTGGACACGGGTTCCACCATCTCTTTGGTCCAACTTGGCCTCCTGGAGCTCCCTAGTTGGGACACTGCCCCCGCGACCCGGACCCGGATAAGCGGAGGAAGACGAAGACGACAACGACAACATATTCTACTATTTTGTCAAATGTCATTAGGCCTGGTTGTAAAAACATCGGATCCGTATGATCCCTGTGTCCACTTCCACTAATAACTCACGGCTCTTCTCTGTACAAGAAAAACTGAACGTGTAAATATTTTGCATGTACTTCCACTCAAACCTTCTACCAGGGTTAGGTGGCCGCCCAAGGAGGCAATTAAATGAGCAATCATCATTTATATTTCTGAAAGCCGATTTTGTTTACAGCATTTTTTCACACCTGCCTCAACCCTCTGCACAGTACACACCTAGTTAACCATTTCCATCTGGCTTTTCCACGCGCTGCCTTCCAGGAACTGTAAAATGAGTCGGTTCGCACTGACACAACTCACACACCTTAAACAGAAAGCTTGTGGATGCCTTTATGTTTTCTGTGGCCTGTGCTCGGCTTCTGACCGAGTCCTCCAAACACACCCACATCACCCCGCTTCTCCTCCAGCTTCACTGGCTGCCAGTCAACTTCAGGGTTCATTTCAAGATCCTGGTTCTGGTCTATAGGGCCTTACATGGACAAGCACCATCTTACATTGGTGATCTTCTTAGTCCCTACACCCCCAGCAGGTCCAGTGACCAAAGCCTACTGGTTGTGCAGCACCAGGCTAAAGGTCAAAGGTGACAGATCATCTGCTGCTGTGGCCCCCAGACTCTGGACCTCTCTCCCCCTGAGCCTGAGATCAGTGGACTCAGTGGTCTCCTTCAAAAAGCAGCTGAAGACTCACTTGTTCAAGCTGGCTTTTGTATGACCTTCTTCACCTCTCTCTCTTTATTCTGCTCTCCCCACCTATTCCTGTCACGAACCGAGTTCTGAAGACCCGTGAAGACGCCAACACAGTAAAAATATATATAAAAAGGTCTTTATTGAAGGCAGAGGGACCTGGAGGGCAAGGCTGAGGCAGGTTCAGAGATAGGCAAGGTCCAAATGGCAGGCAGCGAGCAAGGCAGGGGTCAGGAGAAAAACGAGGTCTGGAGGCTGAGATCAGGCAGGGCGGATGGCTGGAGAATTACTGGCAGGGCTGTAATAATCTGGCAGGGAACTGGTGGCTTGCTGGTGAATATATAGTAGG